ATTAGGGTGTGTTTTTTTTTTTTTTTTTTTTTTTTTTGGTAAGATGCGGTGCGTGGTCCCTTTGCTTACAGTTTCTCAGGCTTGGGTTTAGCATCAGAGCCGGCGGATGCCATTTTGACTTCTGTCATGGTGACAAGAGTCTATATAGGACAGTGAGGTGAAGATGGGAATGAGGAAAGGAAGAACTGGTATAGGCGCTGATAGATGATCCAAGCGGCCCAGAAAAAAGTTGCGGAATAAATTTTGAATGGCCGCTTTTGTCCCGTCCCCGATGCTGCTGCGCTTAGAGCGGCCAGCGCGCTAGACCCGACAAAGCAGCCCGAGAAGTTCGAAAATGTTGCTGTCAGAATCCCCAAGTCCGTTGATGTTGGTTCACGCCGGCTATCAACTGCAACACCCCTTCTCTCTTCCAACTCCTTCCTCCTCCCTCCAGCTGCCTCCATTGACCGGTAGAAAACACTGGCCTCCGCGCCGGTGCGTCTCGCAATGGTTTCCTCGTTCTGCTGGGGCTGCTTGACGCGGCTTCGTCCGGCGTCTCGAGCTATCCTACCACCATCGTTGACAACAACCAGAGTCGCCGCGTTCCACTCGTCACAGGTCCAATATGCCATGCCCGCGAAGAAGAAGGCGAGTCTCGACGGCCCGCCCAAATACCGTCAAGCGAAGTCCGCCAAGATGAAGAAGAAGAAGCCTGTCGATAGGCCCCGTCCGCCGCCGGTGGGAGAGCGCAAGACCCTCCGGAAACGCATCGTCCTCAGCAACCCGAATGCTCTCGAGGTTGAGGGCATGCCAGATCTTACTGGAGAGACTATGGTCGATGCGCGCCTCCGTGGGACCGTCCTCGGTCTGCCGCTGCCCATGCTGGATCAGTTGAGAGCCGTCCAGGCTTTCAAGCCCAAGCAGGGCTGGTCGATATTCCGCCGGCCCGGCACTGTGATGAGACGCGAGACCGTGGAGCTGGGGAGGTTGTTTGATCAGATCTCCAGCGATGGTGAAGATAAGGGCAAGGTGGTTAAGAGAATCGTCACTGGCGTGCGGGGTTCGGGGAAGAGTGTGCACTTGCTGCAGGCTATGACAATGGCCTTTGGTAAGAAATGGGTTGTGTTCACTGTTCCTGAACGTAAGTCTATACTCCTTTTGCTGCAAGGCTTGAGGTGTATGAGTTCTCACAAGTTGTTTAGCTCAGGACCTGGTCATTGCTCACACCGGCTACGCTCCCCTCTCCGACGAAGTCCAGAACCTATATGTTCAGAATGAGGCTACTGCTGCTATGTTGTCTCGCACTGTCACCGCCAATTCAGAGGTCCTCGGCGGGCTCAAGGTCTCCCGAGAGCACCCCGCCCTTCGGAAGGCTGCAAAGGCTGGAATGAGCCTGGTCGAATTGGCCAATCTCGGCATCAATGATCCTGCCATTGCCTGGCCTGTCTTTGAGGCTCTCTGGGCGGAGCTTACTGCGACATCCGCCGCCCCCGGCTACGAGAAGGCATTCAATCCCCGTCCTCCCATCCTTGCTACGGTGGACGGTCTGGCCCACTGGATGAGAAATACCGAATACCGCAGCGCTGAGTTCGAGCCCGTCCATGCCCACGATCTGGTCTTCGTACAACACTTCCTTTCGCTGTTGAAGCCTGGAGCTAAACAGCCTACGCTCTCCAACGGCGGCATGGTACTCTACTCGACCTCTGCCTCCAACAACCCCACCATCTACAGCTTCGAAGTCGCTCTCAAGCAGATCGCCGCTCGCCAGGCCGGCGTGAGCCCTTCGTCTCCCGAATTTCCCCAGGCGGACCCTTACAGCAAGGCCGACAAGCGCGTCCTCGACGCCTTCGATTCCCCCAAGTCCACCTTGGCGAAGGAAGGTTCCCTGGAACTCCAGACTCTCGGCGGTCTGACACGCGACGAGGCTCGCGGCCTCATGGAGTACTTCGCGCGCAGTGGTCTCTTGCGCGAGAACATCAACGACGAGTGGGTCGGCGAGAAATGGAGCTTGGCGGGAGGTGGTGTTGTCGGCGAGCTGGAGAAGTTGGGCAGACGGCTCCGAGTGATTGCTTAGAGTTGATCTTCTTTTTCTCTCTCTCCGGGTCTCGCTGCGTTTTCTGCCTATCGCTGTCGTCTGAGGCTGCCTTTTTTTTTTTCTTGCGGCCGCTGTATAAACCTTTCATGGCACCCCGGGGTCCGTCCATCATGCTGTGCTATAAAGGATCGGATTTGGCGGTTTGTTAGAATATCTGTACTTTATCGGCTCTGTTGGGTTTCTTGTCTCTGTATGCTATAATGGAATTTCAAAAAGATACGTTCTACTCTGGGTTTCTCTGGCGGTGATGGAATCATTCATGCATACTGTACAACCGCACTGTTCTCTGAACCTGGGTGACTTTTAACAACTGCATTGATAATAGAAAGACTACAGGCGACAAATGGGTTCAATCAACACAAACTCTCTAAATCAACTCTAACATATAACGACAGCAGACTTACCACATAACTCTAACAGCACAAGAAATCAAAACCAAGACCAAGTACAGCGGTTTCAAGAAACACAACAATTAGAGGGGAAAGAACAGGCAGAGAGAGAGAGAGAGAGAAAGAAACAAAACAGAATCAGGCCATCCTTCTAGGGCTGTCTCTCCGACAACCTCAACCCAGGTATCACCCATCGATATGATGTACCCAGTTGCTCTCCGAAGAGCCCCTAAGCAGAACCGGAGTAACGAGGCTTCTTCGCTTCCACTTCCTCCTCTTCAATCATGTCGATTGCCAGGCGCCTGCGCCGCCGCGGCTGTACCTGAGACACCATATCTTTCAAGTATGGCAGTTTGGGAAAGCCGTCTTCCGCCTGCGGCGGTTGCGTGGTGGGCATGGTCATCCGCAGGGCGGGATCTAAGGCGTTCGCAGGCGGGGGTTGTTTGTCAGCCATGTGCACATACAAGCTAGGATCCACGGCGTCCGTCAGTGGAGGTTGCTTGTTGGCAGTGTTCGTCCCCGGCCCGGGATCTATGGCGGTCGTTGGCGGGGGCTGCTTGTTGGCCACGTTCGTCTCTGGACCTGGATGGATGTTGTTCGCCGTCGCGAGTGTTTCGTATGGAGGCTTATTGGGGACCACGACGGGGACCTCTGCGATACCAGGACGCACCTGGCCGGTCTTTCGGGCCATGTGGCGATCTCCTGGTTGAGGCGACTCGGACCGCCTGTTGTTATCGTCCTCAGGGAGTCGCTTACCTCCGCGTCCATCGCCGCCGCCGCCGTTGTTGCCGTTGCTGCCGTGGTCACCGTCGTCTCCTTCGTCGGCGGTGAGGTAGTCTTCATTGTGGTCGGACTCGGATTGGTAGTCGGAATCGTCGGCGCTGCTCGCATCGGATGGGATATTCCCACACTCTGGGCATGTGCATCGGCGCCCGAGCTCCCTTCTCATCCGCTTCGTTGAGAAGAACTTCTTTCTGGTGTAGGGGATGCAGATTTCCTCGCCCTCTGCTATGTCCTTGGTGGCCCATACGAGCACACGATTTCGAATAGCATTGTTTTTATAGTCATAGCCCCACTCCGCGTTGTGCGACGGAGGGCAGGCATGATTGAAGAGACTGAAGCCCGGGAACAAGTATAGTACCCGAAAGGACATGTTCATGGCTTGGAAGTGCCTGTGGTATTTTGCCATACTCAATTGCCTACGCGGGCTCCTGATAACTTTTGAGTCAACAATCTTATTCTTCTTTCGGCTTGCATCTTCGCCTGCGTTGGCGTCGTCCATCATGTCGCCCCAAGGGACAACGTTGACCATCAGCTTCTTCAGGACAGTCTGAATAACCCACGTATCGAATGTGAGGTCACTGAATATGTCCACCCCTAGCTGCATCAAGATGTCGAATGGGACCTGAATGTTTGCGGCAAATGTAAACGGGAATGCCGCCTGGGGATCCTGCCAGTCCTTCGAGTCCTCCAGCATGACGAGTTCGTCAACCTCATGAGCCATGAGCTCCGGATCATTCTTCCTCACACGTCGCGTCAATGTGATGTCGAATACATCTCGGAGTAGCAGACTGAGCACCGTCCCATGTTCTTCGTTTGTGTGGCTGAAGCAATTGAATGAAGGACCCCACTTCATCAAGCATGGCCGCATTGCATTCATGAGCCATAACCAGTTCTTCCCGCATGCCTTGTGATGGTACAGCTCCCGTGCGATTCGGCAGCATGTCTTGTTCTCTGGATATTCTTCATCTACAGCACAATAGTATAGTCGATCTTCTTCCTGAAGGCAGCATTTACATGCAGCCTCATCCCTCCCATACTTGATTTGAACGGCCCGGTCTGGGTCTTCATATCCCTTAGAAACTGTCCAATTAAGTTCTTTGCCGCAATTGTCGCACCTTTCTATTGCGGGCAGGTCAGGGTCAAGGTCATTGGTTCCCGGTCTCCTGTCCTGGATATGTCCCCTCATCGACGGTTCCTCGGCATAGATCAGCTCATGCTTCTTGATGGACTTAGTTGCAAAGATTCCTAGCGATTTCGTGTTGCCAGGAAGTCGATCAACTTTGCATTTCTTCCACGGCATGCTCTTATTTTCCTCAAACATTTTCTGGTTCAATTTGGTGACAAAGTCCACGTTGTCTCGCTCCTTCTCTCGCAAATCGTATGGGTATTGTCTTTTGCCCGGGACACTGCCTGCCCGATTCTCATGAAACCATTTTCGTCTCTCTTCTTTCGTCTCAGCCGGGGTAGGTTTCAAATGGTACTTTAGAGCCTTGGAACGACGCTCGAAAGGCTTTATATCGCGGGCCGGCATAATGACCCTCTCCGTGAGATAGCCTTCCATTAACTTGTAATCTTTTCGGGCTCGCATGGCAGCGAGGCTGAGACTGATGATGTTGTGTAGGGCTTTCCGAAGGGTCGGTACGAAGTAGTTTACTCCGTTGGGCTGGCGCATTTTCAGTACTTCCTCCGGGAGAGTTGGCCTGACTGAGCTGATACCTGCGAGGATATGCTCGGTGATTGCGTGCCAGATTCGCGTGTATAGTCCGGGCTGACGGTTTCGGGCACGAGCATCAACGAGCACCTCGCAAAGAAGCTGGGCTCGGTAAGCGTCTCCAATCGCAAGATCGAAGAAGGCCTGTTGATAGTGGCAGTATGCTCGGCTGACCCAGTAGGTCGGGTTGTACGGGCTCAGTTTGATGGCCCATGTGTACATGTCCAGCGGTTTCACTTCGTCATCTGGCTTCAGCTGAAAAGGATATCCTGTTTTCTTATCGATGCCAAGATGTGAGAGATTGCTTTGCGGCAAGACGACATATTGTTCTCGTTCGTGGTCACAAAGGCGCTGCTGTAGCTCGGCCCGTCTTCCAGTGTCAGCGAGTCCGCGGCCCCTGAGTGCCTGTCTTAGTCTGACAACTGTCCAGTACGGTGAAGTCATCACATCCTCATTATCAATAATCACACGGCTATCAGCTTGTGCATCTCTTCCCCAGGCCCTCAGGAGATCCTGGGCCGTCCATGTCGCTTCATGCAGTCCGATGTCAGCCCATTTCTGTTTCCAGTCCGCCTCCGTCAGCGGAACCATGTGTTCCAGTAACAAATGGTCATACACTTCCCGGGCGAGTACGTGTGTGTCTTTGACTGCTTCTTCATCTCTGGTCTCGGGACGGGGGAACGGGTGGGCTACTCTGTCCAAGGAGGCCCGAAGTCGAGCATTCGGCAGGTCCCACAAGGTGCGTGCCATCCGTGCATCTCTCGAGTTCACGTGAGGACGCCATTGAATCTCATCGAACAGATCCGGCCGCGGTGGCAGCTTTGGCGGTTCGAGGAGGCCATCAGGGGGATGAGTAAGGAAATGCTTCCGCAAAGAATCCACATTCTCCATATGGGAAGATCAAGCAGGGCAAAAAGGGTGTGAGAAAAGAGAACATATGTGAGTTGTTGCTGTGCACAACATTTCAGTTTTCTCAGATCGTTCGATGAAACCTCGGGTATATCTAGACCTCCTCAGGAAGAATGAGGCGAGCATCGGATATTTTGAGAGAACAAAGGGCCATCAATCCAACCAAGTAAGCACTGAAAGGAATGCTGAGCATAATGCTTCTTCTTTCAAGCACGTAAAGAAATAAACTTCTTGCATGTTCTCGCTTCAGGAACAAAGAAACGCAATCAGATACAGGCTGAGCGAACTGATGCACCGCTAGAAGCATGACGGACTTCCTTTGTGGTGTTCCGGTTCCTTACAGAAGAAAAATTGCCTCAAGCCATCATATGGTGATAGGATGGAGGTAGCATTGGACCTCGATTTCTGTGGTTCAGTCTTGTCCCTCGCGGGTCCAACGAGGACGATGAATATAGCGATATAGTTGCCCTCTTCACTCGTTCATCCGAGTCCGAGAATCCGCTTCGGTAATCATAATACTCTGGCAATCTTGTTAGTGTTCAGCCTGGCGATCGGCTAGAATCTCCATTTGTATTTGATGCGTTTGTCATCAACTGGAGAGTATCAAATCCATTCCGACTGAGGGAGCAGTCACCCGCTAGGTACTGCTTTGGTCTTCATCAAAGCGTGAAGAAAGCCCATTCTGGCGGTTCTCAGCCTTCAGAATGCCCTGTGACGACGCCAGTCATTTAGAGCCCTGTACTGCCAACTGGCAAGCTTCCAACACACATGAGGATATTCGCGGCTCTTCTACCGATATCCTCGGCATCATCGAAGTCAAGACGAAAGAATAATCTCGAAAAGGGCAGTGCCTTCGGACTGCAGTTCTAATGATAGCTGTCCAGTCAACTGTATCGCTCTCGAGGTTCATAATGAATCCTTTGGTGGGTCGTGTTGTTGGAGTGGGGGACAAAAGAGAAAAGAAGCACAGCCTCTTAGGAACGAACTTCTTCCTCCTTCAGCTTCATCTCGGGAACAAAACACTGCGCTGTCCTTGGGGGGGTCAGCAGGTCCTTCTCCTTTTTCTCCTTTTTCTTGTCCTCCTGGTTCCTCTCTGTTTCGATCAATAATAATCATCGTCTTAATCCTAATATTCTTTCTGCTACTAATAATACCTGTCTGGATAATCTGTCCCCTTTTAGACACTCCCGACTCCACAGTCTCCGCGGTAAGCCTCAAAGAACAAATCAAATCGTCATCGTACGTGTCTATGATTGATTTATTGACAAAGAATCTTTTCAGTCATGTACGGATCACATTTTGGCTCCAGTTCTTCTGGTCCGCCAGCTTCAAATTCATCCCAGCCGGAATGGCGTTTACCTGCGACTGCTCAACCTTCGCAGTCCTCATGGCCCCCGGCTCCTCCCCCTCCTCCTTCGGCGACAGTTTCACCACCTCCCTCATATCATCCGAATACGTATGGATATATCTCCAGTCCGCCGCCTGTAACAAGCGGGTCGCCAGGGCCAGGTACTGCGGGGAGACCGGACACAAGCTCGTGGGGCGTCAGATATAATCGGCAGCAACACGTTCAATCCCCGCCGCCGCTACCTGTGAGTGTCAGATTAATCGCCGACTGTTCAATGGCATCCGTGCTAACCTACAGGCTATGTAGCCTCGACCTACAAGTGCTTTGGAGCAGCAACAGTATCATCATGCGGCTCTACAGTCCCCAACTGTGGGCTCCACTGATGCCCACAAGCCACTTCCAGCTACTCCAAATTACGGAAGTCAGCCTACTCCATTTCAAAATGCACCGCAATGGTCCACTGGTGCCTCATATACGTCCCAGCCGGTTGCCGCGCCATTACCGCCCCCTCCACCACCTCCCCCGCCTCCGATCCCTCCTGATTATCAGAATCAGCTGGGAGCGATGAGCAATCAGACATGGCAGCAGCCACATCCTCCTTCGTACTCCGATCTTGCGCCAAGTCAGCAGCTATCTAGTGTACCGTATTACTCAGGAACTTCTGGCGTGCCAGCAGCCAATATGGCTGTATCAGGGACCATGAGCCTCCCTCCACCAACTGTAATGCAGCATTCTCCTCTTATGGAACGCCCGCTGCCTCAGGCTCCGTTCAGCCAGCTCAATCCGATCTCTACTGTATCAACTTATACGTCAAATGCGCCGCCAGTTAGTGCTCCGCCAGTCCCGCCCAAGACTGGTCCCAATGTGTTCCCGGCCCATGCCTCCAATCTAGGGCCAGTCAGTCCTTCCGACTGGGAGCACTTGGCGCCATTTCCGAGTGAGGTTGATGACGTGGGAATCTTCAGTCACAAACAGAATCAAGTGATAAACACCTCCGCTTTATCAGACTCACGGTTGGATAATACTATTCCCTTTTCTAGCGAACAGGACACCCAGTCAGCAGCGGCCATCCTGCCAACGCAAACCCTGCCGTCTGCGCAGCCTGCTCGGGTGCAACCACAGCTCTCGCACCAACAATATGCCGGTGGTTCGCCTATAAGTCCTAGCACTACACCGGAGATTCGTGACCATTCCCGTCCGGCCAGGGTGGACAGCGTTGACACCAAATACAGCGTCATCTCAGCGGCTGAAACATCTGAAAACATCGATGGCGTCATTGAGGCTTGGAACCAACCGATCTCTTCACAAGGCAAAACTACTCTTGAACACGCCCAGACGAATTTACCTTCAGCGTCTGATCGGCAGTCTCCGGCGTTGGACCATAATCAAGTGGAGACCCCGGAGCTAAATCAGGGGTTCAAGGTTCGCCGAAAAGAGGTAGGATCTAGGGCAAGCACTCCTGCGCCAACCAGTACAACGAGTGAATCTCCCGCGAAACCTGGTACAGCAAGCCCGCAACCCAAACCACAAGACCCCTTTGAGGACCTGGATCCTTGGTCTAAATCTTCGTTGGCGCGCTATATAGCGATGCTTCGAAAGGAGGAAGTGGCCGACTCTGATGCGGAGCGCTTTAAAATCTTCACAACTTTCATGGGCAAGGAAACAAAGCTGCGTGAGATCTTGTATAGCCTCGAGACCGAGCAGGAAAGTGACAAAGCGGCATCATCGCAGGCACTGCCGAAAACAAAAGTCTCCCCTCCTGTTGATTCAGGCTTGATCCCGGTCGAGTCAGAAGGAGACTATTTTGCTTCCACCTATGCTGTGGAAGATGCGGAAGGTGATAGTTACAGTCCAGGAGGGCGTCCCGTCCTTCCCAGACTGCATACACCGCACCCATCGAGCCTACACAGGTCAGCTTCACAGCCAAATGTATTCAAAGGAAAAGTGAGCAAAGATCCGTCAATCAAATCAGAGACGCCATTCTCTCGGTCTACATCCGTTCCGCCATCTATGAATGACAAGGTATATTCCCCCGTGGAAACCAACCCTCCGCAGCCGATATATATTCCTTTCCGCTATACTGAGGGGCCCCAACGAGGCTCCGAAAATCTCTCATTTGCCCGACCCGCGTATCAGGCATATTCTGCCTTGCGCCAGGCGTCCGCGGAAAGTAGACGTGTCATGTCCAATGCACCCAAGGCAGAAGTTAGAAACAGATCAGGCACTGTAACCTCGTCGGTTGCTCAGAGTGACTATGAAGAAACTTTCATCGGTCTCATCCGGGAGAAGAGCGTTGCTTACCGGAATAAGAGCTCTCGGAGGAAATCTTCGCCCCCACCACTGCCAGCGTCTCTGAGACAAGGCAAGGCTGATAATCCAATTGCCGAGCTACGGTCTATGATTTCATCGCCGCTAGCCCGGCAGTCGGGAGATGCATGGCACGTAACGACCGGAAATGATATTGAGAAGTATACGAACGATTTCAGCTATATCCGCGAGGCTGTGAACAGGTGGGAGACTGCCGCCGCAACCCGGCGCGCAGATACAGACAAGGAGCGTATGCGACGGCAGGAAGAGTCGGAAACACACATTGATGCGCTTTTCAATGAGAAAGAGATCGGCTATGCCGACATCAATGTTCTGGAAGAAGAGTTTCGCCAGACGGAAGCTCGCGTCCAGCTAGACGAGGAGAGACAGGAGCTGGACAATTTCGTTGCCGACGTTTTTGATCCGCTCGATGAACGCTTAAAGAAAGAAATTTCGGGGCTACAGGATCATTACGAGTCTGCCCTTTCTCGACTGGACCATGAGAACAACATGACCAAGGATTCAATGAGTGACAGGCACAACCTATCCCAGATGATGAAAGTGGTGAACGATATCTATCATAAACTGGAAGTACGGTATCAGAAGCGCCTTGAGATTGCTCTGGATCGGGAGCGTCGGCGCAAGAAGACGGAACGGCGCCCGCTTGTTTTCATGGGAGACTCGGCTGCTCTGAAAAAGCTCGATGGCGAATTTGACCAGATGGAGAGGCGAAACATCCTCGAAGCGGCGAAGGAGCGCGATGATCGGGCAAACAGGCTCATGGACTCTTTTGACAATGCGATCATACTCGGACTGGGCGAGAATCAGAGTCTCTTGGATGAAGTCACCGGCAAGATTATGCGGATTGATTCTGCGATCATTCAGTCATCGGGGCTGGCAGCTTCTGAGGTCGAGCAGTTGTTGAAGTCGGTCTTTACTCTTGTTGAATCTGTGCGTCGGGATACGGAATCCATTCTGCACAACTTTGGTGTAGCCGACACGGCCCTCAACAACGCCGACTACAGCCTTTCAGTGGCTGAGGCTCGATACTCGAACGCCGATCCTGAGATATTCCGCAAACTCGACGATGAGAAAAAGAAAGAGGACGCGAAGATTCAGCGCGAGCTGTGCGCGAAATTGGAGAGCGTGCGTGTCAGTCCATCCAAGATTGTCACCCAGATCAACGGTCTTCTCAAATCCTTGGGTAAAACACCAGTGGTAGAGCAACCGGCCACTTCTGATGACATTCCCGCCGTTCACCCCGTTGATGTTCTGTTACCGGGCCCTCGTCCGCCTACAGTGAATACCAGCCGACCCAGTTCGGATGGGGCTCCTAAACACCAGGAGCGACTTCGCAAAGCTTTGGAAGACGCGAAGAAGAGGAACGCAGCGAGAACCAGTGCATGATCAAGGGGTTGGTAGATGGGGACATGAGTCGAGCAGCACTAATCTAAGATATCCTCACCGACTTCTACGTCCTGCTTTTCTCTGATCCCTTTCCTTTGCTTGCAGCAGCAGCCGCCGCCGCCGCCATGACTGAACGAATTTCCTTTCCAATACCCTGTTGGTTTGTTTCTTTTTTCTTTCTGGATCCTCCGGTACTGCTGGCGCTGTTTATTTCACATTGAATTTTGAGTCCATACCAAGTCTGTCAATTCCATGGGGATACCTTTGAGAATAGTTCAGCTACTGAGAATGACAAGATATCATGAAAATAGCCTTATCTGTATATGATTCCTGTTGCATCCAGTGACGGAAGTGGTTGCTGTGCCGCATACTGGGGAAACCACTGCGCCTTGTGGCACAGGACTTCCTCTCCAACGGACTGGCGTCAGCTCTTCCTTCTTCCGTTCACCCCTCGGCTCCAGCATCTACAACCAGTGAGAGCGGATCCTCCTCCTCCTCTTGATCGTCATAGAATTAATCGTCAAGTTCAATCTACACGTTATCCCCAGGCATCAACCTTAGTCCTTCATGTCCTTGTCTTCTTTCAAGGAAGAATGCGAGGCTTCCAGTCCGTCTGCTCTGTTCAGGTCTAAGGTTTCTCGTCCTCCAGGTAAGGAAACGTAATTGGCTGGAACTTCGAGCACAGGATAACAGTTTCTAGTAGATTTCCAGGTCTGAGTTATCTTTTTGTCAGGGTCTTGTGATAGATTGCAATCTCCTGAGTTCTGTCACGCTGGACCGGCTTCAAGAAGCGTGTCCTGAGTCCTCCCATGCTGACACCGCTTGGTGCCCCAGTACCGTGGTACCCAATCCCACAACTCTGGATTTTTTAGTTGATCCTTGGCGCTGATGGTCGATAACGCGAGGACAGGCCGCTGCAATGTACTCTTGTACGGCTTCGTTGGGCCTGTCATACTTTCATGCCAAGACGCCTGTTTCTGAGGCCCTGCGGCGAAAGACCAGGGTTGAAAACTGGCGCTGTTCGATGCTCCTGCCCGTTTTGAAAACGGGATAAATTATCCGGCAGGCAACGATGAGCAAGACTTTGCGGCCGCTGCTCTGCTGCGCCCGCGAGCCTGGCTCGTCCTGTTGGCTCTTCGCTAGAATTTGCATCATGGTACCCGCTCCCACCCGTGGTTCAGCATGAACTCAGCGGGTGGTCGTATAAATTCGTCCTTTCCCGTGCAGTATCTGAAGCCGCTAAATACTCTCTTGGGATTTATTGGCCGATAGCAAGGTTGAAGTGGTACAGCTGGTGTTTCCCATGTCAGCCCCCACGGGCCAGTTTCGCAGGCTTTCTTTAGCCGGTGATCTGTCAGTGATTGAAGCACAGCAACACAGAGTGGACAAAAATAGTGCGCAGATGGATAGTTCCGATGCGGGGAGCCGGTCCGGTGAGGACGATTCAACTGGTTCGTCGGCTGTTCAGGCGAACTCGGGTATCACGTATGACCTTGCTCGACTGGACGGGGACTGCGAAGCCAGGGCGCTGGTCGGCCTGACGGGTCAGTTCGAGGTCGTAGGCTGTTACAAGGCGCGGGAGGGCTATGACTTTCAGCTATCCGAGCGGCCTCGCGTGCATATTGGACCGGATGCTTATACGTGCACCTGTTCGACCTATGTGGGCCATCCCGGTGTGGCGTGCCAGCATATTTTTGTGAGTGATTGAGGTTTTTATCATTGAAGTCAAACTTGAGCGCTGACTCTCGGCTGCAGTGGCTTCTGGATCAGCTACATGGCTGCTTCGTGTCTCGACCTCCTGCATCTGAGGTGACATTGCTGAACGATGGAGGCTCGCCCGACCTTCCGCGCGTTGAGCGGCTTCTTGATGGCAAGCTGGAGGCCGTAGCAGAGCAGCTTAATTGTCCGTATGTCCTGTCCCAGTCGGAGGGCGGTATGAGCCGCTCTCAGAAAGTCAGAGACATCATGTCTGCCTTCAACGCGGAGACTCTCTCGGACGAGTTTCGTCTCGATCTTGTCGAAAGCGCGGATCACTCGCGCACCCCAGAGCAGTGCGTGGTCCAGGGTGACTTCGAAGCCACGATTTTCCGACTTGCTCTGCACGACGACGCCGTCTACTCCAGTCTGTGTAAGGCGATGCCGTCAGGTGCTTGTGCGGCGATATACTTTGACAAGGTGCAAGAGAATTCGCGTAGGCTGCTCGTGGAATTCGATCACTATTGCCAGACCGGGCAGCTTCCTGAAGACCAGATAAGCATAGAAGTCGACGATGTTGTCAAGCAGCTACGGCGCAACGTCAACCGTATACAGCAGAACATTGTTTCTCGCGCACCGCACGGGTCCGAGGGAGCGGCCAAAGCACTGGTGATCTTGCTAGAGGACATCTGCAACCGCAACAAAGACGCCCTGGACGGTAACAGGTGGGAACGAGTGACATTTGACGGCGAGGACGAGGACCAAAGGAATTTGTATTACCAACTCATCGGCCGAGCAGACGAGACAGGCGAGTTCTTCATCCTCGAGACGCTCGAGAAAATACAGCCCAGGGCCCTGGATCAGTTCGGGGACAGGCTGGGCCGCATACTCCAGAAAGTCGAGGTCAACAGGGCACCCAAAGCATATATCTTGAGGCTGAGTGCCCTGGTACGCACTGTTGAGTCAGTTTCAGTTTCTACTGGCTCTGGGCAGAAGCGGCCAGCCACTGCTACGTCTGGGGGCAACACGACCAAGCGCAGCCGGTGAGGTAAGAAGGATCGGGTGTTTGCTCGGTGGGTTGGTTTTTTATACATGCCATTTGCTTGGTGTTTGTTCTGTTTTAGATACCCTTTCGAAATATGGATCAATCATTATCGTCGTCGAGACTATACACCCTTTGTTTTGGTATCGTTGTAGCTCCTTGCCTTTTGTCGGATGGCGCTGGCATAGAAGGCCGGCCGCAAGGAATATATATATCGTGGAAGTGAGGCCATAGAAAACACTATGCCTTAACAACGCATCAGACCGATGACCATCATTAGATCGTGTACAGAGGAAACGACAACATGAAACTATCCACAAGTCAAATAAGTCCGAAACTATATATATATATATAGCAGTCATATAGCAAGACATTATATATAACAACACCCGCAGTATCAAAGCCAAGCCGAATGACAGCTAGGTCGAGCGTCCACCCCTTATCTTAGTAAAAGTGGACTGTAATCTGGATCCTAGATCTTTCCGAGGTGAATATCGCGTAAGTGTATCGGTCCATAGATAATTTGGAAACTAACTATTCAGAAAGCCTGCTCTGTTGATTTTGCATCTTACGTAGGGTAAAAAGTTGGGTTTGGAATATATTGTCAAAAAGGGAACCTATTTCAACAAACCTGGCCGGCTGGCCCAATGGTAAGGCGCTTGACTACGAATCAAGAGATTGCAGGTTCGAGCCCTGCGTCGGTCATTTTTTTTTAAATTTTTTTTTGGTCTTTTTTCTTTCGTTCTTTCCGTTGTTTTCTGGCAATTAATGAACAGGTACGGCCGAGAAGAAATTTGGTTTCATCATTGCGACAGTAGCGGCCATGTTTTTTGTCAAGTCTCTTCATGATGGTGCAATAAATGAATATGGTCTGAGACAACAACCCCCAATGACCTTAGGTATAAAGGAACAGTTGTGCTGATAGAGGTAAGTACCGACATCATCGGGGAATACTCTGGCCCATGCTAGGATAGATCAAGTACCACTCTTCCCTGCAGCTTCCCCTCAGCCATCTCCTGGAAGATACTTGTCAAAGCGTCCATTTTCTCCGTCCGCACATGTGCCTTGATGATACCTCGAGCGGCAAACTCCAACGTCTCAAGGGCTTCTGTGCGATTTCCAACGGCCGAACCGGTGATCGTCGCAAGCTTCTCCAGGATGAAGCCAGGGAACGCAGTCGCAATGGGCTGGGGGCTGTGCTCCGGGACGCCGACACAAACGAGGGTGCCGTTGAAGCGCAGCATAAGGAGGGCCTGGGCGTACGCTGCGTTCGAGGCCGTACAGACGATGGCGGCGTGGGATCCCAGACCATCGGCCAGTGATTGGACGTGCGCGGCGATGGCCTCGCCCTTGTCGTCTGTGGGGAACTGGGTGATGTCCACGAAGTGCTCTGCGCCGGACTCCTTGACGAGTGCTTCTTTGCTACCGTGGTCGATGCCGATGACGCGCAGGCCCATGCCTCGACTGGCCAGCTGCACTGCGATGTGTCCCAGCCCGCCGCCGGCGCCGGAGATCACCACCCATTGTCCTGGCCGTGCGTGACTGCGCTTGAGTGCCGCATATACTGTGACGCCAGCGCAGAGCATGGGGGCTGCCTCTTCCGAGGCGAGGCCGTCGGGAATCGGAGTTACATAGTTTGCTGGGCCGACTGTGTATTGTTGGAATGTGCCGGGGGAAAAGTATCCCGAGATCTTCTGTTTGAAACAGAGCCCATCAGAGCCGGCCTGGCATGGTTCTACATGTAGCATTCGTCAGTTCTGTGGTCGTTTCTGATAGCGGCACACCGAGAACGAAGAGCACACATACGGCAATTGCCACAAGCGCTCGAGACCCATTTGACACCCACTCTGTCTCCGATTTTCAGGCCCGATTCTTCCGCTCCAGGGCCGAACTTGACCACTTTGCCCACTCCTTCATGACCGCCCACCTGTCCTGCCGGGGCAGGAAGTGGAAGCGACGACCACTAGAGATCTGTTAGCTGGACAGCGACGGTGAGATTGGGTGGACTTGCGCTATTTGTCATGACACCGTAGTCAGAATGACAAACACCCGAGTGCGTCCTGGAGAGTCACGTTAGCCTGCCCAACAGACATTCCAAGGCTTTCTTTTGGAGCCAAGCGAAATATACAGATTGATAAGGACTTCACCGGGGCCAGGCTCAGGCACATCAATCTCCTCAATCTTTGTGGAGTTGGTGCCAGGCTGGTCATAGACTACAGCCTTTTGCTTCTTGGGAATACCCAGATCAGTCATCTTGGCAGTTGTTCTTGTATTCAGTGTTGTCGAAGAATGAGAGAAGAGATGATTGCGTGAAGGTGGGTAGTAGTAGATTGATTGCCCAAGGAAAATTCAAATTTATTTCCTACAAGCACACGGCGCGTACCCCAAGTACGCCTTTTATGCTTGATCGCCCCTGTCTGCTCGGAGCTACGACGCCAGGCTTGTGCTACAGCGCTGTTCCGCTACTGTACTAACGTAGGGGCCATTCGTCAGCACAATGAGGGAGAAAGAGGAGTCGATCAAAGGGTGGATATGCACCAAGATCACCGCGGCACAAAAGCACAGGGAAGCATGCGCCTAGGCAGTAGACGCTCCAAATCAACCGTCCTGACTGGAGGAGATGATTAATGAATCAGTTGGGGTTCTACCGACTCCTACCATTGTCTTACTTACTCTTATCACCTTGGATTGGAGTACGAGGATTGCGGGAAATGGGCTACGCCATGAGGGGTATGACGAGTATGGCTGCACCCAGCGTGTCATCGATGTATCGTTTAGTCTTAAATAAGGAAAGATCGTAGCAATCTGGGCCAGCCAGCATGATCGCCTCGGCTGTGCTTTTGCAGATATGTCCAGACTCCAGAGATGTATCATTTGACAGCCTGTGGGAGACTGAGAGGGGACATGATCCGATCACTAAAGTCTTAGAGGGAGTTAAGTATGGGGAGCGTGAGACAGCCCCCGGGAGTCAAAGCATGATGACATTGAGGGACTATTATATATATATATATATATATATATATACTATACACTACATTCGCCAGATAGGCTACGGGTCATACTGATTGCAATGTCATCACAATAAACATCCACCCCCACTATGGGACCGCTCGGCGCAATGTCCGCTGATGGAGTCCTGTCCTAAGTCAACAAAAGACAAGGACTCTAGAAGATCTTCCTCCTGAGTCTCTTTATCTCGCTATCTATCAAACAGTGACTCTGTATTTCGTAAACACCTCAAGCGTAGTTTTGCCCTGGCGCAAACCGACAGAAAGACTTAGACTTCCCAACCGCCCACAATGCCCATCCCAATCGTCGACTCGCACATCCACCTATTCCCCGAATCCCACCTTCTAGCTCTCGCATGATACACACCAGACAGCCCACTGGGGTCCCGGCACTTCATCGACGAATGCCGCACCGCAACAGCTTCCACTTCTACCTCCCCAGATCCCGCCCAAGAAACGCATCTGCGCGGCTTCATCTTCCTCGAAACCGACCGCAGGTCCTCCGTAGAGGAGTCGGAGTCCGGCTTGGGCTGGTCCCACGCTCTAGATGAAGTCTCGCTGCTGGCGCGCATTGCGGCAGGGGAGCCAGTTGCGCGCGAAAGACACAGCGAATCGGATAAGGAGCTGTGTCTGGGGATTGTCCCTTGGGCGCCTGTGCCTGGGGGTCCCGAGGCGTTGGAAACGTACCTCGCGCTTGTCAGAGAGAGAACTAAGACGGAGAATTTCTGGAGGAAGGTACGGGGGGAGAGGATGGGGGGAAGCCGGTGACGCTGGTTATTAGTACGTTACTTCCCCCCCTTTCCTCCCGAGTCTTCTATCGATGACATTCTATACAGGCTGACTGACTGGAATTCTGAAGACCATCTTTGCAAGCCGAATCTCCGATTACCGCATTCCAGCGCTGATTCTGTTACTTCCAATCCTGGTTTTGTGGAGTGGAAGACCCTAATTCTTGCCATAGCTCGGTATCCGACTACGTACATGAAGCTCTCTGGCGGCTTCTCGGAGCTACCACCTCTTGTTACGACCCCTGACCTGGATATTGCTTTGCTGGTTGCGCGGCTACAACCCTGGACAGATGTGGTTTTTGACGCTTTCGGTTCAGAGCGAGTCATGTTCGGATCAGACTGGCCAGTCTACAATATTGGTGGCGGTGGTGGTGGAAATGAAGTCTCTTGGGGGCGTTGGAAAAGCGTCGTGGAGAGTATCCTGTGCAGAAGAGGACTTGCCGACGAACAGAGAATGGGAGTCTGTGGACAGGTTGCAGTGGCAGCGTATGGAATAGAGATATAAAGTGCAGCTTATAATGGAAGTATATACATATCACATAGCATACGCCTCCTCGTTCTTTTCCTCATCATGGCGGAAATTAGCACGATCATTGGAGATTCACAAACAGTCCTCCATCCACAAGAAGCTGTGCACCAGTCTGCCCAGCCATCAATCAGCAAAGATTCCGGATACTCTGTCCCATGAATTGCACAAATTACACTCACCACATAGCCACTCAACTCCTCACACGCCAAAAACACCGCTGGACCAGCCAAGTCGGGCGGCTGACCCAATCGCCCCAGCGGAATCCTGCCCTCCATATACGCCCTCTTCGCAGGATCACTCATATCCGCATCATTCAACTGCGTCCGGATGGTCCCGGGGAGTAGTGCATTGCACCGGATCCCGTACTGGCCCAGCGCCACCGCACACGACTGCATCAGGCTGAGCACCCCGGCCTTGGTGGGGGTGTAGTGCGTCTGCTGCCCGCCGCCCACGAGCGCCGAGATCGAGCTGATGCCGATGATCGAGCCGCCCGGCGGCGACTGAGCCTTCGCCATCTGCCGCGCGGCGGCTTGGGTTGCGTAGAAGGCGCCGCAGAGATTCGTCGAGACCGTGTGGCCGAGGAGGGGAGGATCGACCTTGTGTGCGTGCGGCGAGGTTTTGGTTGATCAGTACGCGGAAGTTAAAGAAACGGGGGCAGAGAGAAGGTAAGGCAAAGCGCGAGCGTACTCCAGGAAATCTTCAAACTTGCACACGCCCGCGTTGCTCACAAACACATCTAGCCGTCCGAACGCCTCAACCGTCTTCTCCACAAATTCCCGCCCCGTTGCGGGCTGTGTCACGTCCCCCGCGACACTGAGGAACCTGCCTTCCTCGGACCCGACGATCTCAGCAACGTCCCTCCGCAAGGCTTCCAGGAAGGGCTCGTCACTCGGGCCCCCGAGATGATTGACTGCCACCTTGGCGCCGTGGCGGAGATAGTCGAGAGCGATGGCCTAGGGTGGGAGAATGTCAGCTGCGATGCGCAGGTGCATGATGTATTAAGTGTTGAGGCTTCAGTACTCTTCCGATTCCCGTTAGTCCGCCGGTGATGGCTGCAACTTTGCCGATTTGGGCAAGAGGCATTGTGACGTTTGCTTGCTGAACCTGTGCTCTGTAGAGCGCCGACGCTTAACGCTTAGGACCTGGTGTGTCTCTCTGTCTGCAGCGAGCGACTAACACGCGTTGTGTTAGAAAAATGATTTGGGGGATATAGTCCAGTGCACTGTCCGCCGATCTGATGATTTGCTTCCATTCTTCTTCAATATCTGATTTTCTAGATGAGAAACTGCTGGAACCCCGCCGAGGGGTAGCTACTCAACTACTAACCTAGCTATGTCCTGCTGAGTTGATGCTGGTGATAAGGCGATTGGTGGAGCTGGATTTCCCCCTCGGGACTTCGTGCGATTGATACCCCGAGACCACAAGTCCACACAGTTGGAGGTTACGCCGGGGTGGAATCTGGCTGAGGTTGGTGCTACAAAAATGGTATGGGAATGAAGTTTATGATTGCATGGGTAGAGATATAATCAACAAGATTCAAGGATTGCGTCTATCTAAAAAAAACTATGTAGTTCTTCTCCCATATGTACAGTCGAACAAGAAGCGCAGGGTAAGCCGCCAGTCAAAAAAAAAAAAAAGGTTAACAATCTATTGAGTCGTATCTTTCTCTTTCTCAGCGGGTAATGCCAAGCTCTTCTGAGGGGCCGGGGTCAGTATAGAAGACGCAAGGATCAAAGGCGCTGCGGGATTCAATTCAAGCCCGAATCCAGGCTTGTCCAGGACCGAAACGTCGAGGTATCCCTGCGTCGGGATGGGTTCATTCAGGAAGAGATTGCCGAACACCGGCTCGACGGTCTTTCCATCAGCAGAGTTGGCCAGGTGCTCCTGAAACGGCGAGTTCGACTGCGATACGACAAAGTGATATGAATAGGGACCCGATGCGTGGGGGACGACGGGGATGTCATACGCCGCTGCAAGTGCGGAGACCTTGAGCAGCTCTGTCATGCCGCCCACCCACATCACGTCGGGCTGGATGATGTCGAGGTTGCGGCCCTCAACGAGTTTCCGGAAACCATAACGAGAATACTCGTGCTCACCGGAGGTGAATTTGACGGTAGGATGGGCGCGCTTGAGCAGAGCATGGCCGTCAAAGTCATCTGGGGTGAGACACTCCTCCCACCAGTCGATATTGATTCCTTCGGCCTCGCACCGCTTGACGAGCTCGATGGTGTATGGTACATTCAACGACATGTAACAGTCCACGCGCAAGGGGAAGTCGGGACCAACGCTCTCTCTCTGCTTGCGGAGATATGCGACGTTCTTCAATAATCCTTCCGTACCCTCATCAGGACCATGAGGCAGGGCCACCTTGGCTCCGGAGAAACCCATTGCTTTGGCTGCGCCGGGCTGCGAGCCTGTGCAGTAGAAGTCCAATCGTGAGCGGGTTGCACCGCCGATCATCTTGTAGACGGGCTCGTTGCGAATCTTGCCCAACAAGTCCCAGAGAGCGAGATCGATGACAGAGATAACGGCGACTGGGAGACCCTTTCTGCCGTAGAACATAGAAGCACGGTACATCCTCTCGAACAAGTCGTTGGTGTCACGGGGATCTGTCATTGGAGATGGGAGTTAGCGATTTTCACACTTTCTCACACAAGTAGACGCTCTACTGTGAGTTATCTTTTTTTTTTTTTTTTTTTCCTTCTTTTTATCACCAAGGGCGTGAATCTTACCGGCGCCAATGAGGAAACGCTCGAAATGCTGGTGTACCAACCAGCAGGCTGGGGGACCACCGAATCCAGTCGCAAATCCCTTGGTTCCGTCGGTGGCTCCGACCTCAACACAGAAGGATCCCAGCACATTGATACCCCAGGATGTCCGGGAGCCGCGATATTGGGCCCATTTTGTCATGGGAGTGGAGATGTCGCTGTCGATCAACCAGTGACCACCTTTGACCTATAGATAGGGAGTGTACCCTTAGCCATCGGAATCGAAGAGACCACGAGCTAACACAACGTCAGGACGATAACTTACATTGTGATAATCACCTCCCGATCCTACTCCACCAATGATGAAAGACCGAATCTCCTTGATGTGGGGGAAGGCTGATGTGGTAGTCATGTTGGGCTAAGAGGATGTATTGCTTGCCGGTTGACCACAAAACAAATTAGAAAATATAGAGAGACAGATCAGAGAGATTCGGGAGGTTTCTCGCTCAGCAAGAAGAGGGAAATGGGGCATATTTGAGCACGAGTCAACCCGGTCTCCATCGAGGGGCAACGGTTGATTCTCTCGAACATGTTCCTATATCTCGGGGCATTGCTTGCCCGAGATCAACACGTGCGATTGGCGAAGCTCAGTGTGTCTGTATAGCACCCAAGTAAGGTAGGACACTTCTCCCCGGCTGGGATCGGTGATTGAAATGATCAGTTAGTATGTTGAAAATAGCAAATCCCCTGTTCCTTCGTGCCATCTACTGTTCCATTTGCGGAGAATCAATTCCTGAAGCTGCCGCCAAATCAGTGAACTCTTCGTGATGGATTTTGCGGCGTCAACAAAAAGCGACTTGAAACTTGAGACTTGAGAGAGACCCGCGGTGGCTGCCTCAGGCACCGACCCGGATGCTCGTGATCATTGTTTAGTCCCGATGGCCTTCTCGGTCTTCCTTTCTCTCGTTCCTATTCTTTTTCTCTTTGCTTCAATTCCCCATTTTTTGGGCCTCTTCTGTTGATTTTCATCATTTATTGATCTCCGCTGGCTATCATTCGACACCCCTGGCTCCTTACGTCTGTGACGATCATGTCTCGTTGCTGCTGATGGTCTGCTGCTACTGGAAGCTTTCCATAACTCCGAGCCGAACTCGCTAGAACACAATGCCGAACGCTGTTGTAGCTGCAATTCAGAAGACTCCACAAGCGTCACAGCCACGGCACAATCAGACTGATCAGAATCAGAGAGAGGAACAAAGTGCTGATGATTCCTGGTCTGCGGGTGAGAGCGATAATGATCATGTCGCCCAGAACGGGTCCAGTACTGCCCGAGGTTTGAAGAGGAAGCGCCCGCTCACGGTATCGTATGTTGCGCTCCTCCCTGTCGATATTGCTGCTATCTCAACGATGTTCACATAGCTCTGGCCTGTTCCAGCTGCGGATTCTGACGTATAAACTGTAGATGTGAGCTTTGTAAGCAACGTAAAGTCAAATGTGGTATGTATTGGCTGTCCGGCGCTCCGTCGCATCCTCTATCTGGTGATTCCCTCATCTGACAGGCATAGATCGAGCCCAGCCAAGCTGTGGGTGGTGCGCTCGTAATGGCCAATTGTGTGAATATAAGGAACGAAAGAAGCCCGGTCTTCGGGCTGGGTATGGGAAGGAACTAGAGCAGCGGCTCGGTATGCAGAATACTTCCTTGCTGATTTCTCTCTCGCTCGCTGACAATCAGGACCAGACCGGCTAGAGCAAGTCATTCAGAATCAAGCCCGTCTTATTGAAACCCATATCCTTCAGAGCCAACCCCGTCTGAACCATGACTTATCTCACCCGGGGCCACTTTCATATAGTTCCCCGTCGGAACCATCTGCAGTTAACGGCCCAAGCCCTCGCAAGGCGCTCTATTTCCATGAGGCCTCAGCAACCCCCATGTCAACTCGCGCGAATGATGTATCTATAACCAGTCCCTCGGACACATCTACTAAGAACGCTATGCAGATCCATCTTTCAAAAGGCATATCTTCAGCGGGTCTACTCCCATCACTACCCGAACCTGGTCCACATAACGACTACATAGGCAACGAGTCATCATTGAAGGTGCCGGTGAACTTATTCTCCAGTCAGGAGCACTCCCTTACTGATCCGGAACTTGATCTGCCTCCGTATGACCTTCTATATGCGTTGGTGGACCTCTACTTCGAGCACATCAACACGTGGTGTCCTATCCTCCACCGAAGAACAACCCTGGATACCTTTTTCGGACCGACGCCTCTCGACGAAGCCGATCGCATGGTTCTTTATGCCATAGTCGTGACAACTCTCCGTTTCTCGAGTGATAGTCGTCTAAGTGAGCAGAACCGCAAGCGCTACCACGACTCTTCTAAGCAGAAGGTCCTCCTATATGGGCTGGAGAACTCGTCCGTCAAAGCACTCCAAGCATTAGTGATTCTGGCTCTAGATCTGGTCGGATCCTCCAATGGCCCGCCTGGTTGGAAACTGCTTGCGCTTATCACGCGGTCAGCCGTCCAGCTGGGATTAGCCGTCGAATCCAAATCTTGTCTTATTGCTCCTGTCTATCCGTCGATCTATACATTAAGAGCAATCACTCTACCGGAACCAGATTCCTGGATTGAGGATGAAGGTCGACGAAGATTATTTTGGATGGTGTACCTCTTGGACCGGTATTCTACCATCGCGACAGCATTCGACTTCGCCCTGGATGACAAAGATATTGACCGCAAGCTTCCCTGCAAGGACGAATATTTCACGAAAAATCAGCCAGTTGAAACTAGGTGGTTCCAACACTCCCGCGAGCGCCCTGGCTATCTCAGCCGGGCAGAGAATGTTGGCTCCTTCGGATTGTACGTGGAGGTTCTCGGTATCCTTTCACGGGTACACGTCTTTCTGAAAAGACCGGTAGACATCGGCTCCTTATCTGATGTAGAGGAGTGGCAAGCGACGTACCGCAAATTGGACAGCGATTTGACTTCATGGGAGTTCAGTCTCCCGGCTGAATACGCGTACGAAAACTCCTCCCGGCTGCTCAATGGATCGAAACACACCAAGGGTCTCCATTGCGACTGGGTACAGCTTCATTCCACTTACCAAACGTAAGGTTTCCCTCCTCTAACATGACCTCATTCACATGATAGATCATTAATGGCAATCAGAGCTGTGATTCGACTTCATTCATCCGCCGCATATCCGACCACAAGATCTCCGATCTTCACACCATCGTACAGTGCCAGTCAACGATGCTTGCTGGCCGTCGATAACATCTTATCAGTAACACGCTTCGTTGTAGAAAACAACATTCTCGACAAACTGGGGCCACCATTCGCTTTTACTCTCTGGGTCTCTGCTCGTCTGTTGCTCGTGCACGGCTCTACCATAGCTCGCACCGTGAGCCCTGACATTATTTTCTTCGTTGACACGCTTGCCCAGATGGGCAGATACTGGAAGGTGGCAGAGCGTTATAGCTCCATCTTGCAGCGCGTCCTTGACGAGTACGGCGAATACCAACAATCCGGTGCAACCGAAGGCGAGCGGTCCACACCGTCGAGCGTGAAGATCCTTGCGGACATGCGCCGTTGCGCATTTGACCTGGACTTCCTCATCTCCCGACAGCCACGCTCGTCACCGGCGACCAGCCACCGCGCAGTGCCAGTAGCACCCGCACCACCACGCAACCTTGCACCGAACGAACTCGAATACCTCGATGTCTTCGGTTTCTTCAATGTTCCTCGTGTGCCCGCCGGACGAGCCCCGGACCTCATCAGTCTGGACATGAATACGGCAGTCAACAATCCCATGTCAATCCATGGGTTGACCGACACAGGCCCCACAAATTCTATTGTGGATAATGCTCATTCAAACTGCAACGAATTCAACATCACCAACTACCTGATCCCGACTCCCGAGACGGATTGGCTCTTTCGGCCCGGTGGATGATCTCCATTGCTGTCTTCATTGACTTCCTCATCGACTTTCCACTCGTGGGACCACCATTCCCCGCGTGTGATCATGGACATCGTGTCCACGATGACACGCTCGCAAGAAGGATCCTTGGCTCTTCCTGCCTCAAGTTGTCCCTTGACTTGACGCCTTAGAGTGAACCAACTAAGGCGTAGAGGCATCCCATTAGCCGTTGAGTTCAACACGTCCTTTCAGCTCTTGTAGTCGTCAGGACTACGCCTACGGCTATGGCTTGCTTCACCTATACGACCACTCCGTTTTATTAACGGTGGATACATGTGTTTGTCATGCAGCAAATATATGGACCAGCCTGCTACTCAGCACTCTTACTACTGCTGGGGGTCTTAGAGAGCACAGAAAATCCTCTCAAATCAGCCTGCAGGTGAAGTATAAGACATCATCAGAAAAATGTTGCAGGAATTCAATTTGTATCATTACTCATGCTTCTTGACTCGTGTTGACATGGTCCCTCTTGTACATTGATTGCCCTCTGCACGGCGAGAATCCATTGTTTCCACTCACCAGAGTATCCCCCAGATGCAACCCTCCAGGAGTCAGAACGTGACACAAGAGAGGCTCGGGGATACACACTCTTAGGATCCAGCCCAGAACAACACATGAAAGTAGATGACAAATTAAGAACCTAGAAAATCAGAGAAAAACAAAAGACTGATGATTCGTTTCACATGTCGTAATAGAGGAGACCAGAAAAAGTCATTGAGTGAGCAAATCAATGAGCTTGCACCCTTCCGCAAAAAGTGATAGTCCCCCAACTTTTCGAAGTAACACGCGAGGTCGAGCCTTAGAATACACCCTTCCGATTTAGAAGAAAGAACAAAGTGTCCCTTAGAGAGCATTGAGTCGTGACCAAAGCGAGCCAGTCGCCATCACGCACTAAAGGGAGAAAGTCATCAGGTCGTAGATGCATTGGCCGTGATAGATGCGTTGGACGTGTCGGAGGTCTCTGTTTGTTTACCTTTCTCGTCCTCACCGTCCACAGGAAGCTCAATACGAACGAGAATCTCCTCGAGGAAGCCCTCAAGGAACGAAACGACGCCCGAGCCCATTCCAACCGGCGATTCGTTATCCCAACCGTCAAGGCGAGAGAACGAAAGGACGAGATCGTTGACAATGCTTTCAACCATCTCCTGAACGTATTTGCGAGTGGCATCAATCTCGAAAAGCTTCTCTGGATCTTCGCCACTATGCAGCATAGCCTGGCGTGCAATAAGTTCTGTCTGACCCGCACGGCGACGTACAGCAGCTTTCAGAGCGGGGATGATAACACTGGTGAGAGGCGTGACTGCTTCGAGATCAGGATCTCTGGTCAATATTAGTTCAGTGTCCTGGATCTGAGCATCAAGCGGCCTGGGGGCGAAATGACGAAACGGGTTGTTGGGGTCGTCCATGGGGCGTGTTGTGTGTTTCGGTCGAGGCGGCTGGGATGAGGTATGCTTTGGGGTGGGTGGAGGACGTGGATGTGGGAGATAGTGAGGATGTTGTTCAGATCGAACCTCCACTTTTGTGGAAGGTTTTTGTTCGGTGTATTTTGAAGGAGTAGGAGGTGGCTTTCGCTCATGAAACGACACGTCTTTCGGTGCGGCTGAAGCGCCGGTTCGATGCTTTGGTTGACCTGATGAGCTGCTTGGCGAAAGGTCGAGTTGAAGAAACACTGAATCCTGTGCTAGAGACTGTTGTAGAGCTCTGTTGTACTCGCTTGTGCTAGGGCTCTCTTTAGGTTTCCCAGCAACTGGTTTCTGAGCGCGTGTAGGGGTTTGTGGGGGTCTGACGTCTGCAGCTTTCTGTTTCACTGGCGACGGGGGCAATGGGACCTTAGTGGGAGATGCACTAGTCACAGGAGCAGAGCCTCTCTTTTTCGGTGAGTCTGGCTGAAAGTAGCTTGGTTTCAATTTCTCTTCGCGATGCTCGCCCGGGATTGATCGTTCTGCATGATCATGATTCCTCGCGTTTGCACCCGACGCTTTCAAATGGTTCAAAGCTGATGTGCGTCCGGCAGGGCGAACTGTGCCAAAGTCCCACAAGTCTTCCTCATGTTCGGTGTCTTTCTTACCAGACAGAGGCTCTTGTAAATATTCCTCATCTGCCCCAGCAACCTGGACGCCACTGCGAATCTGCCAGCCCTCGAAGCGCTCAATCAATTCAGTGAGATATGTCGTTCTCCTTGCCCGCTTCACAAATGGATGCTCCAGTAATTCCTTGGCTGAAGGTCTCTCTCTTGGGTCACGCCGCAAACACAATTCGACAAAATTTTTGAACGTCTTGCTGAACGGCCCCTGCAGTGTGGGAGGAGCATTCTTTGGGATCAAGAACAAGACCTTCATCGGATGGATATCAGAGTAAGGTGGTTCGCCAAGAGCCAACTCTATGGCGGTGATTCCCAGAGACCAGATATCAGCTTTATAATCATATCCCGACTGTTTGATGACTTCTGGAGCCATCCAGAACGGGGTTCCCACGAAGGTATTTTTCTTTGTCATCGTGGCTGAGAGTTGGCTTGAGACACCAAAATCCGCGAGCTTCACCTGGCCGTTAGAAGTGAGGAGGATATTGGCAGCTGCACAGACTGTTAGCATCGCATATGGGTGTCAATGGGACACCAGTATAGGTAGGTACCTTTCACGTCACGGTGCAGCTTTTTGTCATTATGCAAATAATCCAGGCCGCGCAACAGTTCTCTCATGATGATTGTGATATATTCCTCTGGGATTGGCCCCGGACGGAGTAGGTCGCTGCAACTTCCTCCAGAGCAGAATTCCATGATGATCCACAAGTGGGAGCCCTTGAGAAAGGAGCCATGATATTTCGTCACGTATGGCGAATCAAGTTCCGACAAAATGGCAATCTCCTGAATGATGTCTTCAACTTCATCTTCGGCATTTTCGACATCAATGATTTTGATTGCGACGGACGTTCCTGTACGCTTATCGACACTGCAACGAACGGAAACTTTGGTCAGCTGTCTGGTTTCTGCATTGGGAGGGGGGAGGCACAGCTTTACCCCTTGTAAACTCGTCCAAAGCTTCCACCACCTGTCAACCAGAAATGTCAATAAAGCCTGGCGAAGCGTACGACATGTCATCGGGAATTGAAACGCACCGATGCAGTTCTGTCTCATGTAGATGGTTTCTGGATCTACCATTCCTTCCATTGTCGCGGCTCCAGAGCAATCACAACGAGAGAGATGTCAGGTCCTTGATGACACTACAGCGTTTTGATACGATCAATTAGCAAACCGCAATCCAGAAGCAATTTATACCCGAATTGAGAGGGGTTGTGGTGACAAGGGACTCGCGCGCGTGTAGAAAGGGCGCATAGCATAATCAAGGGTTTGTCCGGAAGGGCGATCCTGAACAAATGTCTGATCCAGGAAAAGGGATACATACCAATTGCCCTGAATAGGCTAAGCGTGTAGTTTGTTAGGCCAATGCAAGAAAGAATATGACATTGGAGAACGTCTTGACGTGATGTCGTTTGGGAAGAGCGTTGACTATCGACACAGTTAGTGAGACATTCATGCATATAGAGATTGATGGTCGATATGCTTGACTCTGTACTGACCTGTTGTCTGACTTTCTAGGCTTGAACAGATTCCACGGAGTCTAAGCAGTCGTTAACAACCAGGCATACTTCGAGAGGCAGAGGACTAGCAGCTAGGAAAGAGTGACGGGCATAGAATCTTACTTACCAGGAGCCCTAAGTCCAAAGCATCAAAGTTCAAAGCAGGTACCAGTATCCGCTCCGGTCTTGAATAAGTCAGAGTTGAATTCCCTTGCGTCCCTGGAGAGAGCAACCAAGTCAACAACAACAATAACAGAAGCGTTGATTGGGACAGCGCGGGGTTCATTCTGCCAGGCGGTGAGGTTTATCTCCGCACTGCTCTTGCATCATTTTGTTAGGCGGTGAACCCCCCCTGATAGGAGATCACATCTATAAGGAGACTACGATTCACTGCAGTGCATACATACTATCTCATAAGAAAGGGATTCCGTTTGCCTGTGTGAATGTATTAATTGTGCATTCATCCTGCGCTAAGGAGGGAATCCTATCATTATGTTGTGCGGTCTAACTATCTCCCAGGCATAACGTCTGTGATGCTTGGGCTCCAGTCGTAGAAGGTAGCGAACGAATTGGTTTGGATTCCTCAATCTTCAAGATACCCTATCATTACCGTGCCGTTCTTCAGGCCGGCCTCATCAATGCTCACATCAAGTGAATCAATCAGATTGCGGCCCATCGAGTTCAACTCAAATTCGACGCCAACCTTATCCAGTAACGGGGGATCCGCTTTGAGCCACTCGTATATCCTTCTCACAGGATCTGTCAAGGCAAATCGTCGGATCACTCTTCCTGACGGGTGTCGGAACTGGATGCGGGTGGTAGTAGCAGGATCGGCCGGCGGCTCCGTATGTGGTCGGTCGTCTGGGATGGATGCGAACACCGATAGGCTTTCGGGAGTCTCTTCTGCCAGATCATTCTCCTCCATTTCGACATCTTCAGCGACAGCGACCTTGCCCTTGCCCTTGACATCTTCAGTGCTCCGAGTCAGCTCATCTGGATCTTCCACTCTTGGAGCTTGCGCAGTCCCGTCTCCCAAGCTGTTCCTCATTGCCATCTCCAACATTTCCTCTTCAGTCATCGCGTCAATGGTCTTCTCCTTCTTCTCGAACTTTCGTTTTGCCACGGGGTTCCGCACATTATGTTTGAGGCTGTACCGGTCCAAGAACTCATGTAGTTGCATGAGGAATTCCGCCGGCTTCATTATTGGCGGCCCTGACCAGACCTTCATTTGCTCGCCTGTCCGGGGATCCACAATGGCTATGTGAGGATAATTGTCAGAAACGTCGCTCGCCTGGAAATAATATTGCAGATAAGGTGTCGCGCGTTGGTCGTCTTTCGAGTACTGTAAGAATATGAAGTGCTCCTTGATTGTATCTTTGACACCGGGATCTTTCCACAAGTCTCTGTTCAAGACTTGACAATCGAATATGGACTGATCCTGAATATTGACGAGCAGCCATTTCTCGTTATCACGCCCTTCTTGCCGTGCAAGATCCCACGGTAGCCTCGACATGATATCGAAGGGGGGCCTATACATCGCCGCCAGCATGTTTTGTTTACTGGAGGCCTCAGACGCTCCTCCTGTGGCCGCTGCCAGTGTCTCGCGCTGTGAGTTTTCATCTCCCGCCCAAATATCTGCTGTGTCCGTTTGATTGAAGATTCCAGGTCGACCTAGCACATAGAAAGACAAGTTAGATATATGGCTGCTGACAGATACGCTAGGATAATACTAACCACGATGCTGCTGGCGTGCTCGTAACTGGCCCAATATGCTCGTATGCATTTCCCCATCATCAAAGTCGACCTCCGGTCCCACAAGCGTTTCCGTTGTTCTAGCCATCGGAGCTCTTACATCATCAGAGCTGTCCCTGCCCCCGTGATACATTTCCTCCTGCAAACGACGAGCCATGGCTTCATCATCCTCATACATCGATGCTTGCGGGGCCGGCTGGGATCGTGGTGCGGAAAGTGTCTCGTCAACAGCAACATCGTCGTCAGAGTCAATATGGACAACCCCGGATGCATCCTCATACCCAGTAGCACGCGAGGGCCTAGATGCAGCAGTCGATGATGCCGGTTCTTCAGTCAAAGATGCACCTCCATTCTCAAAGTAGAGTTGCATAGCCTGCTCAATATTGAAATCGGCTAACTGCAGATACTGTGTTGCCAGTGAGGGGGTTGAGCCCGTTATCTCGGTGAACTGAGCCACCACGTCGCCCTCCATGGTGAACAAGCCGGAGAGGAAGCCGCACGGGTGATAGATGAAGATGAATAGACTTCAGAAAGGCCAGAATGCAGTGTAGGAAGAAGGTGTGGAGGATGATGATTGTTAGTTCAAGACCAGGTGATGCAAAGACTGTCGGATGCGAAGCTAGTGATGGGGCACAGTCTCGAAGACGATAGAGGAGGATAGCACCATTCGTTTGAAAACACCTTGTAAACTAGATTTCGATTTATGCAAGTGCGTCCATTCGAGAGATGTCATGGAAAGAGCGGTATGTCAGTGCTGCCAGAAGAGACTCGTTGTGAGGGATCTGATAGCCTATCTATCTTGTGTCTAACTCAGCATTTGATCAGTGACGCACTTGCCCGCCGCTCCGGAGGAACTAATTCTCCGATTTCCGATTACCTCGTGGTTACCGCTAGTTGTATGTAACGGTATCGCGATTACGCAAAATATTGCAATGCTGCAGCCCATCGTCAGGTGACTGTTGGCCAATGTCTCAAGGCGCGACACGGTGCACGCGTCTGATGTCGCGTCAAAACAAATTATGCCTCTTTTGGACGATCCTTCAATGGTGTCCTCCATTGAAATCTCCGACTGACCTCAAGAAGACCCGTCTCGACATATGATATTTGGCAGTAGTAACCTTGCGACGATATATCGCGCCTACTCTCCAGATATCTCTTTCAACCTAGCTCTTGCTGAAGTCCACAGGATATTGTTAGTCAGACGTCCTCATGGCTGTCTCCGTCCTGGGGAAGCGCCAACGAAGTGCCATCGAGGCAGAAGGTACGACTACCCCCAAACCACATTCTATTTACCCTGATAATTCCAGCGCACTGGGTTCAAACTGCTGACTAGATCCTTTCCAGTGTCGACGTTGCCGGTGCGTAGTTCAAGCAGACGCCGAACACAACCGCCACGCATTCTCCAACAAGACAACGAGCCTTCTGTATCCTCAACACGACAACTGAGATCAAGGACAAGAAACACCACTCTTAGAAAAGAAGAGAGCGAGTTGGAAACCAAGAGCGCTCCTTCTGGGGCCCCGAAAATCAAACATGTTGTTCGCATCACTCAAATTACGTCCCCTTCGAAGACAAATCCTCAACCTCGAAATTCGGAATTGGTCAACGGTAGGCATATAAAGTTTCCCTGTGTTGAGTTTACATTGACAATCTGCAGACGAAAATACGCAACCTGTCGAATTTAAGACGCCTTCCAAATCTAGATATCGAGATGCCCTCGACTCGCCGCCAATTACTCCAAAGCACAGAGTACAGGTTGGAGGTAGTAAAGCGTTGACTCCCCGCACACCCCGGCAGATCTCGACACCGACGACCGCTCAAACAATCTATACAAACGCGAGGCAGTTGTTTGCGCGAGGTGCAAGTTCGGGTCGATTGATCGGGCGAGACTCGGAACGGGAAAAGTTGAAGTCTTTCATAAAGGAGGGCATCGCCTCACGAACGGGCGGCTGCTTGTATGTCAGTGGGCCTCCAGGAACCGGCAAAAGCGCCATGGTTCACGAAGTGTGCCACGAAATGGATCTTAGCAGCCTCAAGCTTGCACACGTCAATTGTGCCAGTATGCGGTGTGCTCGTGACGTGTACGGGAAGCTCATCGAAGATCTCGGTGATGACGGCCAAGTCTTCAAGAAGAGTGAAGCTGATCGACTAAAGGCTTTGTTTCTCCCTGATAAGAAGAAGGACGATCTTTTCCTGGTTACCCTTGATGAAATAGACCATCTTCTCACAGCAGATGCTGGGGTTTTGCAGTCCTTATTTGAATGGTCTTTACATGGCAAATCATGTCTTATGCTCGTTGGGATCGCCAACGCACTTGATTTGACGGATCGTTCGTTACCGCAACTGAAAGCAAAGAACTTGAAGCCTCGTTTACTCCCATTCTTACCCTACAACGCTGGGCAAATTGCAAACGTGATCTCCAATCGTCTCAGGTCTTTGATCCCTGCGGACCTGAACCCGGAGCCCAATTTTGTCCCCTTTGTCCAGCCCAATGCGATTCAACTGTGTGCGAAGAAAGTGGCATCGCAGACAGGTGATTTGCGAAAAGCGTTCGAGCTTGTCAAGCGTGCCATTGATCTCATCGAACAAGAAACTCTTCAGAAACTGGAAAAACAGAAGTCAAACACTCACAGCCCTTCCAAAACGATTCTGGTAGAAAACAATAACCTTTCGTCTCCTGCCAGAACTGCAGCATGTAAGCAACAACCCACACACGGCTATACGACTCTCACGGCACCGCGTGCCAGCATTGCACATGTGGCTCGCATTACCTCAGCTGCCTTTGGACAAGGGACCGTCCAAAGACTCCAGGCCCTCAATCTCCAGCAGAAAGCAGCTCTTTGCGCTTTGATTGCTCTCGATCGGAAACGGCGTGATGGTGAAATCTTTGGCACAACATCCAAGTCCAAGATCTCGGCTCCTACGATCAAGCAAGTTTTCGACACCTATTGCACATTATGCCGGGCGGACAACATTCTCCATCCCCTCACGGCTACCGAATTCAAGGATGTCATCAGTAACCTGGAAACTTTGGGTCTGGTGGGCGAATTCCAAGGCCGAGGCCGGGGTGGAACAGTTGCTGGCGGCTCCGACATCAGACGCACTCCTTCGAAGTCGATGGGCGGCCCAATGACTCCAAGGAAAGGAATGGATGAACAGGGCCTTGTGTGCTTTGTCTCACAGAAGGAAATCGAGAGCCAAATTGACGGCCCAGGAGAGGGCATTCTCAAGAGACTACTGATGGGTCAGGGACTATGATACTATACTGTCAGCGTCGATTTTGTGGGAACGGTCGGTGGTTGAAAGCCTGTCTTCAAGCGTTGGTTTACTAGCATTTTTACATTGGCGTCTGGTTATTGGATTCAGCAACAGACGTAAGGAGTTGGTGCACATCAGGGATTCAGGTCCGAAGAATTGGTTAGATATCCCCAGATACGATTAATGAAAAAAGTCAAATTCAATATTCTCTCAGAAGTAACCAGAGAGTATCCCGGAGGTTCTGCTCGACACTTGACTTTGGATGGTATACAATCAAATAAATTCATTCAATCGCTTTCCGACGAAAGGCAGCATGACTTTAAAACACATCAACAAAGGAAGACAGAAAGATATCACAGGCGTCTTGGACAGACAAGGGTAAAGGTACATGATGAAAATTGGGTATGTCAAAGGGGAAAGATAGGTTGTTATGCACGAAGAAAAAGACAAAAAAAAAAGAGAATTTATGTGTCGGGGAAAATACAGCACGAGTAACATAATATGAAAAAAGAAACAGAAAACAACCGCCATCACCAGCTCGACTGACAAGAACCTGCTGAAAGCTCGAGAGGCGACAAACATATAAGCCCATCCTGGTCTTGGTGCGCATTTTGAAGGGGTTTTTGTGTGCATGTGTGTGTGTGTGTGTGTGTGTGTGTTGTGATCAAGCGTCGCTCCGGGTGGATCATGACGACATTGAAAGCATGAAGACGTTGATGGTTAGAAAGAAACTAATCATCCATAGGTTTATCCTCCAGGGTCACACCCTTGGGTTCACTCTCGGCAAGGCTGTTCCGCTTGCTGCCTGGTTCGGAGTCCGTACCTGTGGCAATGGGGAAGCTGGCCCGATTGCCCAGCCCGGGCTTGCGAGTGAACAAAGCGCCGGAGCGGGGGATCGAGTTGCGCTTTTCAGGCCCGCCGGTGGCTGTCACGTAGCCAGGGGTGGGCGTAGGGGTAGGGGAGCCCTCAGATTCGGGCGCTGGGGGAGAGCTAGATGACTCCGAGGTGGTGCTCACGCTAGCAGCAGCCGAAGTTGGGGACTCGCTGGAAGTGCCATTGGTAGCGTTCTCATTGGTCTGGATGTTCACGCTCGTGAGTTGCTCTGCTGCCGTGGGAGACTCGACTTTGGGAGGTACTTCCAAGCTGCTTCTTGTGGCTGCCCGCCTTTCAGTCGGGCTGCCGACGTGGATCGGGAATCGTCCAGCCTCTGAGGCACCGCTGGAGCGGTCACGACGATGCTTCCTAGGAGGAGCTGGGCTATTTGCACGGCTGCGATCAACGATAGCACGGTTTCGTGCCTCCATCGCCGCGCGACGGTTGCTCTCATCTGTGCTTATAGCACGTGGGCGGTTGGCGGTTGATCCCAGACCAAGAGCACTCGATTGACGCTTAAGCTCGCCAAAGATGGCATCCTTGTGGGCGAAGAGGTCGCGAATCAGACGATAGTTATGGCGTTCGTTCATCGTAAGACTGTTCTCCAGCCGGGGTCGAAGGATGCACGGAGCCAGCGCTTGTGCCAACGCAGAGATGTATGCTTCATCAGCGGAAGTCAATTCTATAAGTCGCGTAAAGTGGGTCATGATGGCGTCAAGCGTAGCGATGTTGTTGAGACGGAGTTGGCCAAGTGTGCTCTGCAACACTTTGATCCGTCCTTCTTCCGTAGTCTCATGGGCAGTGGTGGAATAAATGGTCTTGACAATCTCATAGACTTGCGAAGAGACGAGAGAATCTAATAAGGAATCAGCACACTGTCGGAATTGAAAGTTCATGGAGTGGGCACAAACCGGGCAATTCAAGAAGATACAATTTTAATACGCTTGCGATAATGGGTATCTCGAATTTCTGCAACACTTCAATGTAGTTCACTTTGCTGTTGTTCAAAATATTACGGAGATGATGAGTTGCCGCCAAGGGGACATCATAGAGCCAGATGGCACGTCGTGCTTCATCGCCTTCGAGTTCTGGATAGTCTGAAGAGACCAGTCAGTATCATATGGGGAGACAAAGATAGGGTTGTCTTACGGTTATCCAGGTATGTCAGAATGGTAGTCAAGAGGACAGGAACTCGTTTGCGATCGGCTCGGGCTCTAGCCTCAAGGTCGACACCGAAATTTTGCTCTGCAGGGGTGAGCAACCGGAGTTTTTCAGTTTCGCTTGTTCTCGGGCGATCATACCTTCAACGGATCCATAATAGTTCTCGTAGGCCTGCACACGGGGGACGAAACCGCCTGTGCGATAGTTTTCCAGCAGGTATCGTAGATCTCCCAGAGGCTGGATTGTCTCCTGGTAAAGCATCATGTGGTCCACTGTGCTTTGCAGGTTGGGAATGACATTGCTGATGGCACCCGAGAAATCGAGCACAACGGCTTTGATCGCTTTGAGACGATCCAGCTCGCACTGCTCCATGAAGCGGAGGTTTTCCACGATCTCCTCCTCCAACTTGCATCTAATCTGGTCCAGTTTCTGCACAGCAGTCCGGTACCGTTCGTCAGCCTCGCGTGCTTCCCTCCGAAGCTTCTCAGATGGAGTTTCGTTCGGGTAGGGATTGTTGAGAGGGTTCCAGCCGGCCAGCATTTCTGATACCGAAGAAATTGGCGACTCGATTCCGTCCTCGCTCGACGCAATCGATGTCACACGCATCAGAGGCTTCTTCTTTTCTGGGATCCCGGTGATCTGGAACACTCTTGGGCGCCATTGATAGTTCATCTTCGAGCTGTTGGCGAAGGTGCTTCCAATGTTGCCCACCAGGCGAAGGAAACCATTATCGACAAGATCCTGTCCGATTCTCTCGGCATAGCTGACGCTGGTTCCGTTCATATATTTCTGAATGTACTCAACAAGATCCGCACCGTTGGAGGTATTCTGGTACGTTCCAATAATAGGAACCTTGACCTCCCTGACCTTGATGTTCTCAAGCATGTGGATCAGGAGCCTCTTCACCTCCTCCGTGGAATAGATTTGATCACCCAGCTCAACTGGCTCTTCCTCCTCTACCTGCTCTTCCGGCAAGACGATCTTCGGAGTCGCCTTGATTTGCGGACTGGTCTCGGGACCCTGGAAAGCAAGCTTGTTCTCTTCCTCCAGATCTTCTACCACCCGGCACTTGTTGAAGTAGTGACTGCGCAGTTTCTTGACCAGGTCCACCTGCTTCGTATGCTCCTTTATCCTGGCCTGCAGATCGTCATGCGAGTTCTGAATCCGAGCCTCGTGTTGGTCGCACCAGCGTCGAAAGGGGGAGACGACAAGCTCGCGGATGTTCGACGCAATTTTTTGGTGGTTCTTCGACGCCTCGGCCATCTCCGAGCGAACACCTTCATATGCCTAGAATCGCCCCGGGGGCCCCCCAGTCAGCCAACAGAAACGCCTTTCCACGCATAAACAAGGCGCAGCCTACCTTCCTCACGCTCGCCCCATCATCCTTGGCGAACCCAGTCGTCATCCGATCCACGCTCGGCGCAATGTCCCCCAGCTTGAAACCATACTGCTCCTCCGCATCCGCACGCAGGCCCGCAATGGTCAGGATCTGCTTGTTCTCGACGACACCTTGCTGGAGCTTCCCGTACAGGACCCCGAGACCGGTCGCATAGTCCGGAGTCCAGAACGAATCGGCGAAACCAGGCATTGCTCAACTTGCTCGATATCCTAAAGCCACAACCCGGGTGAAGTCCACTGGTGCGGGAATTGCCCAATTGGTGTCTGAGCGACTGCCGCAGCGGGGTATCTCGAAATCGACGGCAGTGCGAAGGGGGGAAAGAATGGCTTCCCCTGCGGTCCCAAAAACTTTTTTGCAACCACGGCGCAACCTGAAGAGCCTCCACGAACCTATTCTCCGGGGAAAGGTGCAGTAACAAACAGAGAATGAGCGACCAGCCAGGTTGGGAGTGTTTGTCTCGATGTTTTCTGCGAGTTCTGGTGTAATACAGATCGGCTGCACGCAGCTGTAGGCCGAAGGAGAAGCCGTGGGAGAGCGCTTAACGTCGATCCAAGGGCGAGTGAAAGCGCCAGGCAGCCAAGAAAAAGCAAACGAGAGTCACGGGAAAACCAATGAAATGAGGGATGCGTTGGGAGGATCTGTGCTGTACACACGACTGATAATTATGACAACAATAACAACAACGATAAAACAACGACAACCAGTGCAGCAAATATTAAGGGAAGCAGACAACAGCAAGGAGGGATAACGAAACTGTCTTGCTGGCCGCGATCCTGAAAAGCGTCTCGGTCGGTCTTTTGGGCTGCCGTCATGTACTGTGCATGTAAACCGTGGTAAAATACGAGCCTTGGAAGCCTCCACTGCACGCTCGTTGTTCCCCTCGCAACCTTATTAATATTTCATACGCACATCGAGTATCTATTTTTGGGTACGTTGTTTCAAAACGTTACCTAGATTTACCCACACTTGACGCCGTTGCGAAGCATTTGTGGCTTTCAGCTCGATTATTACAGTACGGGACAGCGGTTAGCGATAATCCTATTCACAGCCATCCATAGGGCCTGTATTCGCGTTACATGAATGTCTCAGGTTGAGTCCTAATAATACCCTATTACAAACGACCAGATAACAAAGAACGGTACCAAACAGCCGGTTAGGTAATCGCTGAGTCTCCAGATACAAACTCGCCAAGACTGGAGAAGTCCAAACAGTGTAGCCAAGGCCCAAGCCATGATCGATGGACCTAAATGTCTATTCCCACCACTACAACAACTGCTGAGATCCAATTGTATTACGATAATTTGGTTCATGTGGAGCAGAAAGTTCATCACAGTTGAAGGGAGTCAGCAATCATTAATTCTTGGGAATAGAAGATTAACTGTGATCTCTGACTCAATTCCTAATAGCAGTCATAAATCGGGCTATCGAAGCCTGCATAAAGGGACGTCATCATGATTTACAGTGGTTTCAGGTCAAAAAAGTGAAAAAAAAAGAAAGGAAAGAAAATAAGCAACCACCTCAAGAGAGGAGAGCTTCTATCAAACATATATTACCTCCTAACAGAAGACCTTGTAGACCTTCTTCCAGAGAGGCCACGCTGCCTGCTCGGCGCGCTCCTCCTCAATCAGATGTTGGATGTCCAGCTCCCGACGACCAGTGTGCAAGTCCATGTCCTTAGCCCGCAGGAAGGGGGTTCTGTAGTAGATCTTGTATGGGATGTAGAAAAGAAGCACGACAGGGGCAGCTAGGTAGACGGAGAACCAACTCTCCACCAGATCTCCGGAGCTCATTTCGCCATATCCGATAGGCGCAAAGCCGATCCAGAACTGGGCGACCAACACAAGGCAGTTAAAGAGGAAGCCAATCCAAGAACCGATAAGACCGGCCTGAGAAACAAAGGCGAGTTCATTCAAGCTGTGGCCCTGGACCTTCCAGGCTTTGCGGAAGCGGATGTGGGCTAAGCAAACTGAGCCCCAGGTCAGAACGGACGACAGACCGGAGATGGCCATCATCCAGGTGAACGCATCACCCTGCTTGTCGGATGCGGCCAGGAATCCCAGCAAACCGAAGGCTGACGCGATTAGGATGGCCCAAAGAGGACGTCCCTGGCGGTCAATGTAAGAAAGGAATTGAGGGGCTTGTCTCTGGTCAGCCATCGCCGCCAGAGTACGAGAGGAACCATAGACGGAAGCGTTGCCGACCGACAAGACAGCAATCATGATCACAACGTTCATGACAGAGTCGAGACCGGAGATTCCAGCGTTCTTGATTGAAATCACGAAAGGCGAGGCCTTGGCGTCCGAGCTAGACGAGCCGTTAAGAAGTCTTGGCTCGTCGTATGGCACGAGCAGGCCAACCAGAGCGAGGGCAACAATGTAAAACAAGCAGATACGCCAGAACACCTGCTTGACAGCGGTGGGAAGAGACTTGCGGGGGTTGGCAGTTTCAGCAGCGGCAAGGCCGACCAGCTCGGTACCGGCGAACGCGAAGGCAGCATTGACGAAGACACTGCAAAGACCCTTGAATCCATTGTTGAAAGCACCGGGATCATGCCAGTACTTGCCGCCGATGTATCCACCCTTCGGACCACCACCGCAGTTCAAGACAATGCCGAGAATGCTGTTTATTATCAGTCAGAATGTACACTCCGTGGGAGGGGTAGGGCTGAGCTCACATAAAACCAATCACGGCAACGACCTTGATGATTGAAAAGACGAATTCAGCTTCACCATAACCCCGGACGCCGAAGAGGTTGATCGCCACAATGACGACCCAGAAGATGGCGACCCAGACAGCATTGGAGATATTTGAATCCCAATAATCAACCGTGATAGACGCGGCGACAATCTCCAGAGGAAGGACGATCAGCCATTGTAGAGCATAGTTCCAGCCCATAGCAAAACCCCAGGCAGGATCAACAAATCGAGTCGAATAGTGTGCGAAGGAACCGGCGACAGGGAATAGCACAGCCATCTCACCAAGCGCATGCACCGTGCAGTAAAGCATGCAACCAATCAAAGCGTATGCGATCAGAACGGAGGCTGGACCACCAGCGGCCAGAACCTTACCAGAACCCACGAAGAGACCAGTACCTGCGGTGTGGAGAAGTCATGGTCAGCGACAAAGAGGTCTCACAACTAGGTGTCGTTCCATACCAATAGAGCCACCAATGGCAATCATCTGCAGATGTCGATTCTTCAGCCTGCGCTGCAGAGGCGAGGCGGCAGTGTTCTTCGCCGCCTGTTCGATATCGAAGGTCTTGCCATCCGAACCAGTAGTGGGGACAACATGGGCGTTAGGATCTCTCTTGAAGCTGTCCCATATCCGCCGACCAAGACTTCCCTTGGTTGTTTCGGTTTCACCGTAGATGGGAGGCGAATCGGACGACGATGTCGCCTCCGCCTTCGGTTCAATGATGTCTTTCTCCATGGTTGAATTGTTGTCACTGGTATTGAGGCAGTTCGAACATCAATACTGGAGGGGAGGGGAGGAGGAGGGAGAGGAGAGAAGAGAGCTCGAAAGGGAGAATGGGTTTAAGATGTCCAGGAGGAAGGGGGACCACTGTGTATTTGAAACCCACAGATACGAAAGAGGAGAAGGGGGGAGGGAGGGTCTGGGGTTCGAGGTAATTATGTATTATGTTCGAGGGTGAATGATAAGAGACAACAGGGTATAGAGAGCTAGGTAACCGGGGGGAGGGGGGAGGACGGGAAGACAATCGGTATAAATAATCTAAGAGCTGGGCTGTCTATGGAATGATCAGGATAGTTGAATAGCACAAGAAGTCATTTGCCTTTCTTAGTGCCAATCACTTAAGAAGACTATCCACTAGATAGTTTACAATGATAGTAAGATACACGAAGAAGAGAACGGCATCACCGCAATAACAGGCAAGATCCCCTCGTCCAGTAACCCGAAAGAGAGAGCGAAAGAGAGTGTGTGTGTGAGAGAGAGAGAGAGAGCGAGGGAGAGATAGGTTTCCCAGAGCCAAGGTGTGGTATCGTATGGTTGGGTTAAATCGCTGAGTGGCCAAGAGCCCGCGCTTTGGCGTCCAGCCTACCTTAGTTCGGGAGAAAGCTAGAGGGGACAGGTGGTCCACCCAGGGTGACTGGGGTAGTTTACTACTACTTTTTAGTCGTAGACTCATAGTAGTTGATAGGACTAGGCAGTAATTAGACTACCCTAGACTCCTGGAGGGATGACTTGGACACTAATCAATTAGACTTCCACTTGATACTTTATTATTTATTTCGATTATTATTTGCGATTACCATCGGGCTTTTTGCCCACATTGATAAGTGAATCAATAATAATGATAATAACAATAATATTCCTCCATTAATGCGGGAATAATCCAACTCCAAACCTGAATGAGACTGCGAGCGGACCAGCCGTGTCTTGCATTGAGCTAGCCGACAATTTTAAATTCTCTTGGACGGTTGGACCATATTAACTATCTCAGAGTTAAAATTGTTAAACTAAAATAATAAATACTAAATACCCCATTTTCCTGGAGACAAATAAACTATGGATCGACCTGGAAAATATCCGCTATCATCCGCGACGAGCTGACATTGACGAAAACAATCATTATTCCTTCGAGATCTGCTTCCTCTGAAACCCTCCCCGCCCCCCCCCCCCAAAATTTTTTTTTTTTTTTTAAAAAAAAAAAAAATTTAAATAAATAAATAAAAGAGAAGTATTAAGCGAGAAGAAATACGCATGAAGGATCTCTCAAACACAGGAGAATAACCAAGAATCATGGTGCATCTAAGCGACTTCCAGTATGGTGCCAATGCAACACAATCTTTTCTGCCCAGAAGGAACGAGTAAATGAGTTCAGCTTGTTTTATCGCGTGATTTAACCTGTCATGAATATCCTAGGAATCCAGTAAGGTACCTGTCTCACCTTTAGGCAGTACTGAGATGGCGAGTAGTGCGAGGGCTATAAGTGACCCAATATAGAGAACGGGTCTGGAGCCCTGGGGCAACCTTGGGACGTATCATAGGCACGGAGGAGTCCGTTCTCGGGAATCTATCTATCTATTGATTAAATCTCACTTGTGTGACTGAGACGGTTATCTAGATAGATAGTCTAGATAGTTAGTTATCTACTCGCAATTAAGACTCGACATGCTCGTGGCAGGGATCCATCGTTCTGGGTGGGGTTTCAGGTCTCACTCAACCAGCGAACTGATCCAGGTTCCAGAGGACGACTTATCTCTAGTCTCTACTCATGTCTAGCGCTATCGGCTCTATCACTGAACCTCCCCGGCTAGTATCATCCCATTGGTAAAGGACTGCTGTCAGTAACGATTCATCATCAATATTATTATTCGGATTCTGGGTTACTTGTTATTTCTACCTATCTTGTCTACACTGTCCGTTTGCAGCAGAGGTGAAACTGGTGGTATATACCAAGAAACCGGAGACTGCCAAAGGACACGAGAATACTACCTCATCATCTGGCCATATCCAATCCGAGGGAAGCTTCCAAGAAGCTCCGGCAGCCCGAGAGCCTCTCGCAATATGGGTGAAGGAGCCCGAGGCGAATAGTGAATGGCCAACGGCGTGTCCGGTCTCAATTCGCAACCCTGTAATTCGCCAGAATGGGTGGCAACCTAGGTTCTTGTGAACCATGATTAAAATGACGCCCGGCAATAATAAAACTAAACAATAATAATAATAATAATAAATAATAATAAAAATCAATAATCAAATTGAGCAAGGCTGTCACTACTACTTACTTCTCACCACTTCACCAGATACATAGATGAAAAGATAGCACCTCAAACAAGGCGGACAGCCAAGGAGGGGCGGCGCTATCGGACGTTGCCATTCTGACTTGTTCCTTCAAAGTAGGTAGGTATGAAACCTCACTAGCCCCAATGAGGGTCGGGCCTCCGCACCTCCCTTCCACGTGAGTTGTACCCACCAGCCAATCACCATTTTTCCTGGCACGTTCTTCTTGACTCTTATAGATAAGAGTGTCGGGCTCAGTCTTTCTGGACCAACTCCAGTAATTCCATTGCATTGACCTACTCCGTAAACCTCACTTGCTCGCGGGAACCACACTCAGGCTGTCATGTGTCAGGCTGAACCAGATAAGACATCCAGATGAACTTACGACTCCAGTAGTTAGTACGGAGTACAGTCTTGTCAGTTGTCACTTGCCGCTTGTCAGAATAATGTCGCGCTCTCAGACGATCTAGATAGATATCGACATTCTGGAACACCCAGGGATCACTTCATAGATCACTAGGAGTAGGAAGAAGGCTGATAACGAGGTCCGGGTCGTCCTTTACTTGCCTTAGCAGCCCGGATCCCTGACAATGACAGCAACAATTGATGGTCGAACTCTACGACAATGCAGTTAAAGCTCTGACTCGCGATGCTGGAGTGCTTCCTACTCGTCTGATGATCTGATCCATCTGTGCTAGAAGATCAATGCATGGAAGCACGGTAGAATCCTCAAGACAACCACTGTCAGCCACACATCGATCTCGCAGGTACATCTATAAATCTTCTTCGACTAGGCCTGGTAGGGGAGCTCTTGTTGATGCGCACGACTAGGAACTGGATTTCAAACCCCCGGGATCTGGCCATGTCGCTCTCTCGTTCTAGGCAAACATCTCTATCTTGGAAAGATGCAAAACGAGCCTCAAAGATCTTGATGCTTTTTGTGGCACCTGTTCGTTTCATTCGTACCTGCAAAGGTCCAGGTGATGGATTCGGAAACCGTCGGACATCCCGAGTCGTGGTCCGTTATCAGGCTCATCGAACCCCTTGTATCATGTATGTACATGGATCCTATCTGCGCCGCACGCCATAGATAGCTACCTAGCTACCTAAGTGTCCTGGTGCTGCTACATACCGGCTACCTTACGACTTACGAGCCCTGACCAGATGGCTGACAGTACTCCGTACTGTATATAGTTAATATCAATTTCCTGGGCTGTTATTTCGTTTGGATCATTTCTATTACTCTATCTATATGTTTGTTCCCTGGAAAGTGTCGCTCACATTTCCGTTCGATTGCCAGCATAACTGGCCGAGGCCCAGATAAAGCCACGAGTCTTCCCCCTTACGCCCGCAGGACAGTTTTATCAGTCTTATTCGCATGGGTATGCCATAGCTCTTAGCTATTACGTAGTCTACCCCATAAAATCAGAACTCACCGCAATTCTTCCCATCGTCATTTTCCGCAAGCGTGCACTCTGTCTCCGATCTCAATCTTGAATAGCCGATGTCATGATCAGGACGTGTTTCCAGGTTCGTACATATTGGCCCTCAACAAAGACCCAACCTCTCAATTTGTGGCGACTGGCGAGTGACTTTCAGAGGAGAATCGAAGGATTTACCAAGCCTTGGGTGGCTGCCATGGTCGGGCGCCAACGACCACCCCAGATGACGAAGTAGGTTGATGGACCGGTTACCGTAACATCGCGTGTAGATGGCGCAGCTTTTAGCCTTTGGGGGCGTTTCTGGATTCCAAAGGGAACAAAGGAGCCAATTCAGGCAAATGAGTTTGTTTTCCTACCCATGCTTGTCAGCATTATCAACTTAAATGAAGATGGTTATTCTGTTTGGGGGGGTGGTGCAAACAGTAGACATGACACACACATGTGACCCAAAGGAATCCTCAGTCGATAGCTATTTACTCCATAGATAACTCGACAACCCTCAAATTACACACATTCTTTGCGGAAAGGAAATCTTATCTTGCCTGACATGTCCACCTCACGATGGGCGAACGCATGGAAGCCTCGTGGCCCGTAGTGAAGTCTAAAGAGGTCGCCTTCCCTCGGCCCATATCGCACCACCGATTGCCCTGCTTCTTGCATAGTCCATTCGTGTGACCTGACCTTACGCCACGCTGACCGAACAATCTTGGAAATCTGCAATGCAATAAATTCCCTATTGCGTCGCTGATTTCAATAACCTGTGACGAGAAAGGAATGCAAAAGTACAAATCCAGGAGAATCGTATCGAGAACAGGCCAGATAATGAAATCGCGACTGGGGATTGGATACACTGGTGAGAGCTCGACCGGTAACTGGGCATGTCATTCATGTTCGTCTTTCCGCTTTCGACATGGTCAACTGTACAAAATCGCGCAATGACGCCTCTACCTGCTTTCCAAAAACACTTGGTCTAAATAATTGTATGATGGCGTCGTGCTGACCTCGCTATGTCGTGGCGCTCCTGCAGTGCTGATTCTCACGATTGGGAGTGGTAATTTTCTTTCTTTCTTTTTTTTTTTTTTCTCTCTTTTCCTGTTCGCTCAAAAAATAGAGTATCTACAGTATACTGCCATGGGTCAGTAGTCTGACATCGCGGTCGCCGCTCCACTGCGATGCAAAACGCGGGGATAGCGGAACTTGTTATGTAACAGTTTCCACTTGGTGATCTAGGAAATCCTGGGGAAAGAAACCCGGGGCATCAGAGTGGGCGATTGAGCGACTGAGCGACATATCAAAGTCTCGACAGCAGTATCTACCACTCCCCACGAGAATGATCACTTCCAATAAGCTCTGCGATTACGAGGGATCAAAGCTGCGAATGGAGCCGATTCGAAATACCCGCGACTACTGGAGACAGGCGAGGTGAGACCGGGGGAGAGTATCGATTGTTTATCGATTATTCATCAGACTGCCTTGGAGGCATCGAGTATTTGTACATCATACTACATATCCTCCCCCCCCCTATTACTATCAACGATACTTTATTCGATGGATGCGAAAAACGCGCCGATCAAATATCTCAGACAGCGCAGATATCACGTCGACAAGTTTCATGTACTGGGGAGTGCAGGGTGTCTGACAATCCTTGAAAATCGACATCAACCGTAGTGCAGGATCTCCAATCGGAGAGAAGCGAGTATCGGTTGCACGCGGCTAGCTGACAGGGAAGGATGCACCCTCGTGGGCTGATTGAGCATGGGGGCAAATGCCCAACAGCCTACGGAGTACCACTACCCTACCAGGTTGCCATGGTTGTTCCCATACCCCTGGCAAGGTCCAGACTCCAGATCCCAGCAAAGCCCGCCATCCCAATATGTTAGGGATCGACTCGCCCCCGTACCGGCTTCATGGGCCTCTAAACGACTCTGACTCGACAACAATGGCATCTCTTCTTTGAAGTTTCGAGGCCCTTGAACTCTCAACAAAAATATCAGGCGAACTAGCAGTCCGCATAAACTAAGAACGAGGCTTGTCTCTTTGTTCCCCCACCAACTCACAAGAAATTGTCGATGTTTCTGGTGAACAAGCTGATCGAGCGACATAGCAGTTGCACCCTGGTCTCTGAACACTTCCCAGAGCTGGGGGTTCCCTGTCTCTGCATCACTGATATTGCAACTAGTCTGAGCACCTTGTTTGTGATATCCTGAAACAAGCTGTTTGAGAAAAAAACCCAGGGTGAGAACTAAAAATGAATGCAGGTAGATCATCATGTCTATGCACAAGGCGCCACTTTTGGTAGTCTTCTATCAAATATCATTGCGTATCATTTGCAGGCCATATTCGTCGTACTGATCAAAGGAACTGGATATCATAAAACTCAAGCACTACCAACAGGCCCTTCACCACCAGGAATCAACTGGATATCAATGTTAGCGCCTTGCAAACAAAAATAGGGCACGAGGAACGGTTTGATGCCCATACCATGCAGACATTGTTTCCATTGAGCAAGATCTTATTAAGCTTAATCTGAGCTCCAGAGTAATCGCTAGTTCGCGTTAATCATTTCGTCCGTAGACATACTCTTCACAGAATAGGAGGGAGTGGAAGAGCCGTTGGCCTGTCTAGGAGGGAAGAAAATCAGGACACATACAATTCCGTTACATCCTCCAAGACCATATCTGCCGCAAATCAGTATCAACAGAGCAATCACGATGATAAAACTAAGGGCACCGGATTGAACTTACTGACGTAGTCGTCGAACCCAAGCAATGTGCCGGAGAATTCTTTGGGTTGTCAGTGTACAGTCTTCCTAGTCACTGCAGTCACCTACCTTTGTCGCCCTTCATAATGACCCAGATTCTGGATCCGACACACTTGTCAATCAACTCTGCCGAGGTGTTAGCCAGTAAATCCGTGTAAACATGACTGAATCTGAGCATTACCTAGAGGAAGAAGCTGGGACGCCATGATATAGGTTGGTGCTTTTGATCGGACTTAGGCTCAGGGATACCTAAGTGAAAGAAATAGGACTCTTCTGAGTCAGAGTAATTGACTTTCTAGGATAAAAAGCACTTGACCTGGAGTTTCAATACGTCGGTCGTATAGAAAATGAAGCCTTAGAGCGGATCTTCGACTCTCCCACCAGACAACCTTGGCGGGTATGGCAGCATGTTGATCCGCTCCGGAGGCCCAGTCCAATCATATCCGTTTCTGAACAACAACTTTACTCCGCCCAGCCCACTATTTTGTTGGTAGAGATGTACATCCAAAGGTACGGAGTGCACTGATTGAAACTGCGGTCGATAATTCAATGAATACGCAAGGAGGAACCAGATCACTACTCTAGTTGATCACCGTCTTTCTGATAACTCAATCAAACAGATGAATGGGGCTGCTGGTCGACTCAGAATGCTTCATGTAGTCTACAATGCTTTATCGTTGTCCAAAATATCTTGGATGCCCGTCTCGAAACGAAGTGGAGCATGATGTTCGATCATTCCTCGGTTTGAAAATTGAGCTTTTCAGTCGTCGACTATACAGGTTCAGGTGTGTAAAAATGTCTACTACTCTACAGGATATTGCTAAAAACATTCCAGCCGGCCGCGTGACGTTGAAAACACGCCGCACAGAGGACTTGCTACACCTAATCCTCGGCCTCTCGAGTCCAGGATCGGACACAGAGAAATTTCCAATGACCTGAAAAGGCCATTTCTCTTCGCTCATCGACCTCACTCGGCTGTATCTTACCAATTAGATCAATTTTGGGATAGTTACAGCTATCGAGGCTCAGCTCGCGAGATTGCCAGACAAGATAATAGCTGGCGGTCTGATTGCACTAATTCGCGGTATCGTGAACAGATTTCCAGGCGACCAGCCGTGCCATCCATACTCATGTCGAAGGCCGCGGCAAGCGATCAGTATCGCAAGACTTTTCGGCCACTCAGCGGTGATATGCAAGGCCCAGCGATGAGTTTCAACTTCAAACGGGTGAGGCGGTGCTATAGCTCTCTGCCAGCGGCTGTTCGCGCCTCAGATGATGGGGATGGCCTCGATCTGGCAACGCAAAACCAGTCTTGCACAAAAGGAAAAGAGATATCACAAAGCACGAAACCTGAAGATCAGATAGATATTCGATTACCTTCGGATGAGAAGGACCTGGTAGCGCAGCAAGCCCAAGCCAAACCAGATTCTGCTACCGTTCCTGCAGTCCTAAAGTACTGGAGCCATCGGCTGCATAAAACCCCAAGCGGAAAGGACATCATCGTGCACTACTGCAAGTCCCTTGAGAAAAGCGAAGAGGTAGCGAAATATTTCCTCAATGATAAGGTCATCGGGTTCGACATGGAATGGAAACCTCAGGCAACTAAGTCGGCCGGCATTCGAAGCAATGTCTCGCTGATCCAGATTGCAAACTCAGAGCGAATCGCCCTCTTCCAAATCGCTTTGTTCAAGCCCGCTAAAAAGGCAGAAGACTTTGTTGCGGCTTCGCTGCGCAAAATTCTCGAATCGCCCGAAATCATGAAAGTCGGAGTCACAATAAAGGCAGATTGTACGCGTCTCCGCAAGTACCTCGGGATTGACACTCGCGGAACTCTCGAACTCAGCCATCTGTATAAGCTGGTCAAGTATTCCGAGTCAAATCCCAAGCTCATCAACAAGAGACCCGTAAGTCTGAGCGACCAGGTTGAAGAGCATTTTGGCATGCCTTTAGAGAAGGACGGTAATGTCCGCTGCAGCAATTGGGCTACGGCTCTCAATTACCGCCAAGTCCAGTGTAAGTATGCCATGATACCACCACGACGAGGATATTATTAACATCGCCTATCCGCAGATGCTGCAACCGATCCATATGCATGCTTCCGCCTATTCGATACCATGAATACTAAGCGCAAGGCTTTGGATCCAATGCCTCCTCTACCTGAATATGCCGAGTTGGATCTGCCAATTCGTTTAGCGGAAGCCGTTCTGGTTGAAAACGAGATAGAAGCCGAGAATGACGCCAAAGTCGGGGCCGATAAAGAGGTTAAGTCTGGCGCAGATGACGCTCAAGATGTTGATACGGCAATCGGTCTTGGAGCAGTTGTGATCAAATCCGAGCTAGTATCTGTTACATGCACCGCCTAAGCATTGAGTTGGTAGCATAAGAGTGCTCCAGAATTGCTCGATTGAGCAGGTTGCGGTGCTGATCTCAGCTCTTTTTCTAAGACCCCGACCTACCAGTGTACACCCTAGTATATCAGAGAAGATTTCAAGTGACATGTCAGATTTATGTTACTATTGGATATGCCACCTGGTTTAACTCGAAATTATATGATTTCATGTGGGTATATATCACAAGGCAGCCCCGCGTCAACTCGTCAAAATTCCAATACAAGCGCTCTATAAAGACAAAAAAACCGACAATGAGATCGCTGAAGTTGTATCACCAAACTAACCCCTCAATGGCAAGACTTTGGATAGAAGAACCTCTTGCCGGCAGAGGGGACACTCAGGCTTCTCGCGAACCCAATCGCGAACACATGTCCAACAGAAGACATGGCCACATGTTGTGACACTTGGATCTTTGTAGGACTCCAGACAAAGGGTACATTTGCTTTGTTGGCCGGAAGGGATCCACGGAATGGCATTCGAGTCTTCACTAAGGTCATATCGAGGCGAAGAAGCGGGGAGAAGCGGGAGACTCGGAGGATTTTGAATGGAATGGATCAGAGCATTATCCGATCCTCTTGAGCTGGCCGAATCGGCCTCAAGGCCCTCATCCTGCTGTTGAAGGACAGTCCGAACATGCAGAACACCCTGTACGGCTATTTGTAGAACAAGCAAAACTCCTAGCACTTCATACCCGACCCTTTGCTCATTTTCCTCGAGCTTTTTGGTGAAGACGTACCGTAACCCCCAGAAGCGCTTTGACAGGTGGTAGTATGAACCAGTGAAATAGAAAGTGGCTATACTAAGGGCGTAGATCGGCGAAAGCGAGGTGATCGAGTCGAGATGCTCAAGGATGTATTTCTGAATCCGCAACATGGTAAAGAGACCATTCTTCTTGGAATCTTTTTTCTTCGCGAATCTCACTTCCTGTGCCTTTTGCTGCGCCTGCAATTGTTGTCGGGCAATGCTCCGCTCTAGTTTCGCGCGCAGTCGCTGGCGAAACCCAGGAAGAATCTTCTGAAGCGTCCATGGCACCATAATAGTACTTAGAATGTAGCCTGCCCTCCGGGAGACCGACGGAAGCTGAAGCGAGTCATCTTCCAGCTGCACAAGATCACAGTATTCTTCTCCCAGTGTCCGATTCCCGATCAGTGTTGTCAAGGAGAAGTAGAGTAGCTCAGTCAGGTGTTTGATGGCATCTGAGTGGGTATGGGCAAATCGCGCACCGCGGAGAGAACGGGCGATAGACTGTGCTTGATTCACCAGACTGGAGGACAGAAAGGCGTCTTTCTCGTGGGAGCGAATGATATCCGGTGATGTCGCGAAAGGATAGAAATGCGCCGAGGAGCCGGGAGTTGTTGGCGAGGGTGCGGCGGGAGTAGAAAAAGAGAGCTGAAGGTTGTCGTCTGCCATTGTGAGATCTGGGTGTCTAACGACAGCTGGCCTAGACTCAAGTAACGAGTTCAAAAAGGAAAATCAGAGTCACATCCTCCAAGAGCGTGTCTTCCCCCCAGAGAGCGGAGGTTCCCCAGAGTGACCACAGTCCGCACGCCGTAGTTAGTCCGCAGCTCGGCGACCACGAAATGCCTCGGTAATCAGCACGTGATCTGCCTTACGATATCCGGCTCACGTGGGGCAGATGCTTCCATTTTTGGAAAGCCTCCTCACAACAAACCGCACTAGCCCCAAAAGAGGCAAGGCGCTGCCGCATCTAGAAGCCGCGCGGAGCCGCCGAAACCATCATTACTCGTTAGTATTTCTTTCTGTCCCTGAGCTTCTTCATGGACAGCACTATCATGTTTAGCCTCAACCCCTATGACGATTGATTCGTGACAGTGCTACCTCACCCCTAGTCGCTCTTTTGCTCCGAGTTTCTCGCCAATCTCATGAATCTAATCGCTCGTGTTCCTGTTTTTTAATGCACTAAAGATCTCTGTTTCACTCTGTCTCTCGGATCCTTCTTCCCCTCAGGGTTGCTTAATTAGTCTCTCCTGATTTTAGGTGCTGATATTCGGCGCCACTTTCTCAATGGAATATGGGCCCTGATCAACGTGCTCAGCTGGATGGCTTCAGTCTTTTTCTTCCCTTCCCTTATCGGGTCGCTGTAATCTTGGTTGCTGGTATGTATGGGAATAAGTTTGGGCGAGATACAATATTGATTCATGCTTAGGTTTCTGGGGCTGGGGTGCTAACCTTCAATATCTCTCCCAATCTAATATTGTGGGCCGAATCCCTCTTTTCTTCTTAAGACGTTGTGCTTACTGTATCCAGGATTTGCCAGCGCTCATCCGTTATCCTGCTCGTCAAACCGCTAATCAACCATCTCATCACACCTCCACCTACCGTCTTGCGACTCTCCTGACCGTACCCCTCCTGCTCTCTCTCGTCCTCTTTTGGGCGCTCACCCATGGCTCCGCTGAGCGAGTGGAGTCGTTAGACTTCATCCCACAGTCATATCTATTCGTCTTTCTCATCCTTCTAATCCTCCCCATCAACCGATTATCACGATCTGGACGAAGTCGATTCCTTACAACTTTACGGCGTATTAGTGTGGGAGGTCTGGCGGAAGCCCAAGATGGGAAGTTTGGAGATGTTCTGTTGGCAGATGCGCTCACCAGCTATGCCAAAGTCCTGGGTGATCTCTATGTGACGTTTTGCATGTTCTTCAGCTCGGATATGTCCAGCACATCCAAGCCGAACCGCACCTGTGGGAACGATTATATTGTGCCGCTTCTCATCGCCGTTCCCAGCATCATCCGACTGCGACAGTGCTTGACGGAATTTGTTCGTGTGCGTCGAGCTAGCCAGAAAGGCGAGAGTAAAGGAGGACAGCATCTGGCAAACGCCTTGAAATATGCCACCGCGTTTCCTGTTATCTTCCTCGCAGCCAAGCTCAGGAACTACAACCCTTCAGACTTCTATTGGCTGAGCGAAATGAGTATCTCTCGGCTGCTGTACGTGTGCATCTTGGGATGGTGAATATCAGAAGAATGAAAACTAACAACGTTCATGCTGCAGTGCCTTTTCAATGTTCGTGAACTCTGCTTACTCCTTCTATTGGGATTTGAGTAAGGATTGGGATTTAACCCTGTTCACTTCGGCCCGTGAGGCTGCGGATTATCCTTATGGCTTGCGGCGCCACCGCTTTTTCTCGGACCGGCTCTACTATATTGCTATTATCGTCGACTTTGTCATTCGGTTTTCGTGGGTCTCGAGACTTGTGCCCGGCTTGACTTGGCTAAGTGAGAAGGAGTGCGGTCTCTTCCTGCTGATGTCTCTGGAGGTCGCCAGGCGATGGCTGTGGGTTTTCTTCCGAGCAGAAGCAGAAATGAGTATGTCGCTTCCTATCCTGTTATTTGATTATGCTGACTTGAAATCTAAATAGTCAGGAATAGTCGTGGTCCAGCACCAGACGACATTCTCCTTGGCGACTTCAGCGGCAAGCTGGATGCAGATTGAACGCCTCCAGACGTTCATCTTGGTCGTCATATCGATGGCATGACTCCCTTTCTGGGAAAGGATCTCATTGCTTCATTGATTATTGATTGTATATGTATGCTTGCTCATCTTCTTAGGGCCTTCTTTTCATCTTTGCCCCTGCGCCCCTCCTACTTACTGGGGCACTCATAGACCTCTTACTATTTCCTTCGGCTCTTTCAGGCATGATAAATGTATTACCTCCGGAGAGTCATTGCTGCATTTTTATTTTAGAATAGATCAAGCCTTTTCCATCTGTATCATATGGGCAGCGCCCTCTAGACTTGGTATTGGGCTTGGTTTTTTCATTGAGATTCTCTCTTTTTGTGTTACAACTCCGTGTATACAATTATAGAATTAGCTTCTCAAAAGATGGAAGCATGAAAAGATACACAACATGAAAAGACCAACAACACATATTCACATTGAACCAATCAATCTGCAATAATCTCCGCTGTAAGAACCAAAAAAAAAAAAAAAGGTCAATAGAAAATAGAATCTCATGAACATGACTATGCTTGAATCATACAAAGGCGTCGACTATTAACATAGAGTATATGACAAGGGTAAAATCTGGAATATGTCTCAGGGCCTAGATACCGAAAATAGGAAGGGGTGGGCGATTGAAGAGAATTGAAGAAAAGAATAGGGGAGCAAGCGTATGCGGAACATTCATCTATGACTGATATCCGACGACTGCGGAGCATGGCTTTCGAAGAGGTCCTCGAGGAAGGCACTGGGGGTTCGCCCCTGCGGAGGAGACGTCAGGTTCAGAGAGCTGGTGGACCCGCCGACATACGAATGTCTGGCATGGTTGCTGTACTGGGTATCACGGGGACCACCGGGCGACAGGCCCGGCGATCCCGGGGGACTCGGGTTGGATTTCGTTCGGATGTAGCCCTGCGAGTTGGGCGGTGCCTCTCCCGGCGTCAATGGCACGTTCCCACTACCGCCTGGGGTCACGTTGCCGGCGGCGTAGTAGCCCGCTGGCAGGTAGCTGGAGCCTCTGTTTCCACTTGTATGCATGCCTGCACCCGCGGTGGGCGAGAAGAAAAGACCGCTGCCGGTGCTTGGGATCTGGGACGCTCTCGGGTTGTAGCTGCCGCGGTGGTGTGGGGGGAGCTTTTCCAGGGACATGTTCGCTGTGGGTACGCGGGAATGCCTTGACGATCTCTTTCGCTTGTTACGGAGGAGACTCTTCTTCTCCGAGGCGTGCATGAGGGCTGCGCGGCGGACGGAGCGGTTGACGGACCAAGCGACGAGTGCACGCCAGGCCAGCACCGACAGCCCGATCAGACCGAGGGCTGCGCCTACAGCTATGAAGACCGTCCCTTCAGGTGTATTCGATGCCTTCATGTATGGCGCATCCGCTGTCGGTGGTACGGTCATGACGGGGAATCCATTCGCAGCAGTCGAGCCTGTGGAAGTGGCCGTCGCCGAGTCTGTTGCACTGGTCTGGGAATCTGTCGATGCGGTCGCTGCATCCGTGGTTTTAGCATCGCTTTTGTTTTTGGGGTCAGTCGTCGTCACAATATCGGTTGTTGCTGGATCAGTAGCCTTCGTGTCCTCCGTGGTTGCTGCGGCATTGCTGTCGCCTTTATTTTGGGCATGGGACACCTGAGCAAACAACACTATCGCCAATAAGAGAAGAAATATAGCGGACAGCCGACGGGGTTTTGAGCGCCCCGCATATAGAAATCGCATTGTTGCAAAGGGCTAACAGATGATCGAACGAAAGAATGTAGACGGCCCCGTGGAGGAGGAGGAGGAGAGGGGAAAGGAAGAAGAGTTGTCTGATCGACGATATCCCTGTCTAGCGCATCGATGGAAGCCTTCTAGGCGCAGATATGGACAGAATCAAAATTTGAATGACAATATATCCAGAATGCGGCAGTCTCAGGGTGTGGCATGCAGGCTTTTCTGGCGGGCTGGAAGGATGTCAGCTAATACTGAAGGGTTCTCTGACCAGATAATTCGAAAGTGTTGCGACTGCGCTCATCTACTGTGAGAAATAGAGGTGAACAAACATCAAATGCTGAAGCAAGGAGGGAAACGAAGCGAGGGACAGCCACGACGATGCAGCGCACCACGACAAGAGCGGACGAAGCTTTCGGACGAGTCTCCTGGCGCTATGAATTAACTGATTGTTGCCCCGTGCCTGTATGGTGCCTCAGGCCACAGCGGCTTTGAGATTGCGGAGGCGGAGCTAACCACGTGACATCTATATATAGTCGTCAAACAAGGAAGGCAAATGAGAAGATGTTACAGCGTACGATGCTATTCCTTCGAACGCTCAAGTCATTTGTTCATTCTCGTTATTGTTCAATGGCTATGCAGTCTAATCCTTGCTTCTCCCAGGCCTCAGAAAGGTGAACACACATCATGTCAATTTTCTAAATTTCACTTCATCTAGAGCGTGCCAATATATTCAGCCTTACCAGTATACATGAGAGAAAACCCCACTTATGTTAGAACCGCAATGTAAACAAATCTTCATCTAATAGCTCATAGCTATCAAAACAAGCCAATCTAAGGCCCGAAGATAACCAGAGTATATTCGGTGGTATGATCATAATTCAAATACGCCAACAATCGATCATTGCTGTTTCTTCTGGACGCTGGCAGCCGTATCTTTCTCAAACGCCGCATAAGGGACCTCGAGACTCAACAGAGCTCGAAGGGCCACATAGAGGATCATTAGGCAAACGAAGGAGGCAAGAAGGCCCATGAAGATGCCTAGACTAGGTCAGGATTTTGTTCGTGCTGAGCTGCTTGTGAGGAACGAACCTGGAGTGAGGAACTGATACTGTTGGAAAAGGGACTTGTTAGAGGCAGGGACACTTCGGCTTCCATGAGCCGAATAATCCCGCTTCAGGTCCATATGAAGAGGGTCTTGGGCACCATTCTCAGGATGATATAGGACGCCCTCAGATCCCTCAAACTCTCGCGGGGACGTTACGTAGACGACAGTGTACTTCTTCGAGGAAGGGATGCGGTCGATTATGTCCGCAAGAAGACCATCTGCAAGCTATGTCAGATGGACCGTAAGATCTAATAGTGGCCACTCAAATACATACCGTTATCCGAAAGTTGTTGTGCCCGGTCGGACCCTAGCGAGAGCATAGGGAAGTTCACAGAGACCACGCGAGGCTCCGCACCAAGCTCGGAGGGATACAACCCAGCTGCAAACACATGTTAACCAATGCTCCGCAGGCCAATTATAGAAAGATTTCTGGCTTCCCGAGCAAAGAAGACTTACAGGAGGCATCGATCACGGTAGACTGCGCCCCGCATTCCTTCTCAATAAGCTGTTGAACCTGCTTCGCCTCCAAGACACCCACAACCTCATTGATAACCATCTTGGAACGAATCGCCTTATCCTTGCCGGTCATCTTCGCGCCAAGGCGGGGTGCAGACTTGATGGTCGAGAAATCGGTGCTGTGCACCCCGGGTTGGGAGGCAATGACATAATAATCCGAAGGGCAAGTGCTAAGCTGTGAAGACAGATCCTCTAACAAGGCGTCAGCGGTCTGGAAGTTCGATGATGTAGCAAGAATCCTGAAAAGAAGCTTGTTAGCTGAAATTGGCTCATGTATAAACCGTCTGCGACATCAAAGGTAAGGTGGTCCTGGACAACGTACTCGGACGTCGATGCGAGGAAGAACGGAGAGGTGTCCCGAAACGCGTTTGCAGTCGCGGCTCCAAGAGCGAGCAGCGTGAGTCTTTTGAATACATGCATCATGATGCTGTCAACCGACTTGCAAGCAAGCGTAGTGAAGACTGGAAGATGGTGTTTCGGTTGAAGCAGCCTGGAGGGATGGCCGATGAGCTCCCGTCGGAGGCGGTCGAGCCAACCACCGACAAGGCTTAGCTTTGATGGCCGCGATAAACCATATCACGGGCTTTTTTTTCCCGCCCATTCTGAATATTGACAAAATTTAATCATCCCCGCTGCGCTCAATTGAACCAGGAAATAATTGTTAGAAATTAAGACATCTATATTTAAGATCGCCTTCAGAAATACATACAGAGAAAATGGGTCCTTTATCAAAGAAGCGAAAGCTGGCACCCAAGGTCGAAGAGATCAATTTCGATGATACCGACCGCCAACAATTTCTCACTGGCTTTCGCAAGAGAAAGCAGCAGCGGATACGACAAGCCCAGGAGATCGCCGAAAAAAGAGCCCGGGAAGAGAGACGAATAGGGCGGCAGAAGGTTTGTCTTCTTGTCCGATCGCCGAGAAAATTGACTGAGCGCGTGTCACTAATCTATTGCTTGGTTCAAGATGCGCGAGGAGCGACAATCAGAGTATCAGCGAGCGCTCGAGGAGCATAAGAAGCAACTTAAGCTGCTCAAAGCACAGGACGGCGATAGCGACGAGGATTCAAACTCTGGCGGCAATGACGACGAAGACGAACAGGGCGAGTGGGAAGGATTCGAGGAGCCTCCTGCAGTCGATTACGAGGCCGAATATATCGACGAAGACAAATACACAACCGTGACTGTGGAAGAAATGGATGCCTCGAGAGAGGGCCTTCTAAAAGCTGGTGAGGACACATCAGACGAGGAGGAGAATGCGCAAAAAGCACACAAGTCCGAGAGTCAGGATGACTCCAAGAAAGCAGCCGATAAGAAAAAGAAGCAAACCGACAAACCCAAGAAAAAGAAAAAGAAGTTTAGATACGAGACCAAGGAGGAGCGCAAGGTTACTCTCATGAAACAACGGCGGTCGAAACAGAAAAAGGCCAACGCTCGACGAGAACGTCAAGGATGATTTCCTAAGCGTGCTACAATGTATATCCATTCATATAAAGCGTATAATACCACAAGGTTGACTTTATTGATTATGTTCTATATACCTCAAACAACGCATATGTGCGAAAGACAAGGGGGGAAAAAGCCCAGACTGCAAGAAGGAGTGGGTGTTCGAGGAAGAGATAAATAAGGATGCAATAGATCCTACAGGGCCGGCTGGCTGCCGTGGACGAGAATAGCAGAGAAGACTGTGATTTGCGAAATAAGATAAATACCCGTTGGAACGAAGGCTGGTCCCAAATATCTCTCCAAAGTGTACGCCGATACCCGAGTCTGTCTTTACACGTTGCTAATAGAGACCTCCAGGTCGTGCAGATCCTTCTGCAGCTCAGCATACTTCTTCGCCATCTCCTCGTACTTGCTTTCCCACTGATCCCGAGACGCTTCGAGAGCCTGCACCTTGCGTTCGTAGTGACCAGCCTTGACGTCGGTTTGGCGAAGTCTAAAGCGTTCCCCACGGTCAGTTAAGTCGCTTCACTGGAATGCAACGGGATCTATAGCCGAGGGCATACTTCTCGTTTGTCTCTCTCAGATTCCGGTCGGCCTCCTCGGCCTCCTCTTCCAGCAGCTGCACTCGTCTTTGCAGAGCCTCGTTCTGGGTGTCGTGCTGAGCACTCTGGTTGGCGGACTCCTTGGCCTCCTTGAGGGTTGTCTCGAGCTTCTCAACCTCGCCCTCCAGAAGCTGGTTCCGGTGGTTGAGGGATGTGATCTCCTGTTCCTTTGCCAAGTTCTCCTGCTCCAGCGTCTTCACCTTGGACTTGAGCTCCTCGACCTTGTTCTGAGCCTCGTCCGCCTCGAGGCGGAGGGCGCTCATTCTCTGTACGAAACCATCTGTTGTCAGTTCCTGTTCGTCATAATGTGCATTTTCTACCCAGACCGCCCTCTACATGCACTCGGACGCCGATTTGTGCATGATGAGGTACATAAAGCAAGGGCGAGAAATGGTGCATTGGTATGCCTGGGCAGCTTCCAAGCTACCCCGCCAACAGGGGTTTAGGGGAGCAACTCACCTCCTTGATCTTATCCATTTTGGGCGACGAAAACAAATTTATTGGCAACAACGAAAGATGTGATATGTAGCAGAGAATGTCGTGTTGAGTTTGGAGGCTAAAAAGGCTTTCGCTCAGCGAGAAACCAGATGGAAAAGTGGACAACAAAGAGGTATGAAATGGGGGAGAGGGGTGGGTTTTGGTTAGGAGATTGGGGATCTTCGGGAGAGGAATAATAATACCACTAAGCAGTGGAGGAGTGCCTGCCTGAGTGCCTTAGTTGGCTGTCTGTATGGCGGTCAGCTAGCAAAACAACTAGCCTATTCAGGCTTAGCGCTGTTTCTAATTTGGATCTTAGCTATTTGTGGACAGTGATGTGGCTGGTGTGCCTGAGGCGTAAGGGGCGGTGACCTGAGAGCTAGGCTATTATAGGTAATTTGTGTGTCCTCAGGCACTCAGGCATAAATGTCTTCACGTCAACCCACGGTTGGCCTCCCATTCGTCCCAAGGGATCACATCCGGTCTCCACGGGCAACCGCCAAGAACAAACACTTGATGCGTCCTGCATCTAGAACTAGTTTCTTCGACCTTGATTCAACGCAACTACGCCTATCGACCCGAGTTGGATGATCATTACTGTGCCGACCACCCATCGCCATGCTGGCTCTTCGCGACCAGGAGAACCTGGTGCACACCCACCAGACTGTTGCTGCAGCTAAATCTTTGAATCAGGGAGTGAAGCAGTTGCAACCACGAACTCCCGGAACTCGAGCCCCAAAGACACCGTTTAAAGTGCCACTGAACGACGAGAACGACCCATTGACTTTTGGCAAGAAGACGATCAAAGCCGCTGGAAAGCAGAGGGAGAACACCAAACCCGCCAAGGATGCCTTTGTCACTCCGCTGGGTATGCATGGGAAATGGAAGGGTTTACGATGTCCGATGGAAGGAGGCTAACTGAGATCCTGTGATAGAACCGCGCAGTCGCGCGCCTCTTGGCATGAAAACGACGAACGCAAAGGCAAGAGGCTTACAGACTCCAGGATTAGGAGGCACCATCAAGCTTGAGAAAACGAATAAGAGAACTTCCACCCAAAAGATCAGGAAGTTTGCACCGCTGGTTGATCAACCTAAGGTGGAGGTGCAGGAGGAACAGCCTCAGAATGACGTTCCGGATATTGAATACATGCCCCCCAAGCCACAAGGTGAGAGGACAACACGACCTTGTTTTCCCTAGGGACTATCTTGTCTGACAAACTTGCTAGAACTGCCGGATGACCCTGATTTTATCACTTATGACACTACGTTTCCCCAGTTTCAGCCGAAGAACCTGGCATTGGGATTGGAAAGCGTATATGGCGACAACGAAGTAGGCAGCGACGGTCTAACCAAGCGACAGCGCAAATTTCAGGAGGACTCAGCTGCATTTGATCGGAAGGTGGACGAAATGATCTTGAAACAACTCGAAGAGATTGATTTCGAAGACAAAACCGAGTTGGACCCTCCTCGAGAGCCCCATATGGAAGAACCCCCCAAACGCAAACTCGAGGCGCGCCGCGCGAAGCTGGCATCGACGAAGCCGAGATATACTAGCAATATCTCAACCATTCGTGCTCGTGATGCAGCAGCAGCTCTCTCCAACATTGAGCCTTCAGTCTCGCGAACCAGGCCAATGGCCTTCCCAAAACCAAGACCTCGGGTTGCATCATCTTCTCTCTTGACGACCAAGAAGCCGCGGGGGCCCATCAATCCGTCCTCTATGCGTCACACTGCTGCAGTTGCAGCTTCTAGGTCGACCGTGGGATATTCCCGGGGCCGAACTATGTCGTCTAAGCTTACTGGGAAACCGCTCAATCCTGCCAAGCAGCCGGTCACCAAAGCCATCATGTCTCCTGAAGCCTATATGGAGGCATACGGCATGCCGCCACTGGGCTCAGAGATGTGGCACCGCTGCAAGGCGGCTGGGTGTTTTGATAGCGAGGAAGACCGCCTGGCAGCCGAAGCCGAGCGAAATCTCCCGACATTTGACGAAGACGAAGAGGCACAGAATTTTCAGCTGACTCTGTGAGGGGCTTGAACACGGCCAGTTGTCTGCCGGGGGGGCGGGGGTTCCCGGTTTGGGAGTATTTCACGGGAGGCTTTTCATTTTTCCACTCGGTTTTTCCTTTGGGTAGGTATTGGGATGGTTGGCGCGTATGAATGACCGGATGACACGACGGCAGACCCGGTGAATTTTCAGACGGCGTTCTTGATTCATTGAATGACTACACGATAAGGGCTTCATGGGCAACAGCGGGATTTTGTATCATTTAGATTTCTAGGACAATTAACCCAGTATGGCTAGCAAGTGATCTTTTAGGTGGTGTGCTAGCGACGTCTTAAATAACGTTCGAGATGCTCTTAAGCCTGTTGGTACGCCCAAATAGTTGTAACTACCATATATGCATATAATGTATACAAATTGCCATAAGGTCTATGCAATTGATTGTAGTTATAGTAGTAGTAACACAAAGCTGGGTGAGACAAAGCCCCAAGTGGCCAGTTGTCCAGTATCATGATACCTAGCGATCTCATGATGGACCATACATAGAATGGTAATTTTCATGAGACAGATAATGGAGGACCAGGCTAGCTATCCAATTATCTATGGCTATCTCCCGAGTATCGAATCGCAATCCCATGCCTATGGCATCAGGAGATGACTGATTGGGATTGTGGGAATGGGACGCGCACTGCCCGTGTTTCAAGGGCTTCTGTCAACCCTGGATAGAAATGGGCCGGCCGATCCAGCTTTCTCGGGACCCGAGGAACCCTCGGTTCGTGAGGTAGTAAATACGTCGTATCGTACACATATTTAGTAGCAGACCGTAGACGAATGATTCGGGTCGCGTGCAATCCTGGACATATACCTGCAGTGGTGGTGGGATATCATGTTTGGGGTGTTGCGTCTGTGATACTCTCTCTCTTCCTGCCACCATATACAGGCATCATCTCGCATTTCCCAAGCCAAATTGTTCCGATATCAGATCCAATTACAAAACAATAGTCAACTATTTTTCTCTTCTTACATACTACGTAGATATCCAAGTAAATAGGTACTACTCACTCCTTTGTCCATTGAGAATACCTACTTCCCAATTGTCCATATTATTCAGACATTGATACCGTATACGTACAGAGTATGCTCTTCTCTCTTTCTCTTCCACACAACTCACCGCTCGTCCGCTCTCCTTTTTTCTTTTTCTTTTTTTTTTCTTTTTTTTCTCTCTCTGGGAAAACCAGCAAGCCGTCCCGCCGGTTCCACTCGTTGTTGTTGATAGTCATAATGAAATAAGTAATAACATGAAATATTACGCTAAGGAAATCATAAATAATAGGTATTACCTAGGGAAAAGCCCAAGCAAGGTCCAACGCCAACTAACTGTTCACTAACAGCAGGACGAGCTAGAACAGCCTTACTAAGTAAGGACTTGGACTAGATACTATCTAAGCCAATTATTACCCAGTATCCAGCAACCTCAACTAGCGTAACGTAAGCTGTTGTCACTGATCACCACTCCGTTGGTCTATCTGTCGGCTTGCTTGCTTGCTTGCTTGCTTCAACACTTCAATTGTTATCAAGTTTGCTGTTCTTCCTTTTCTTTTCTCTTTCCCCCCCCCCATTTTCTTGCCCTTGTGGCTTCTATTTCTTTTCTTTTCTTTTTTTCTCCCACAGAGCTTCTGTCGTGTTGGCTGGGCTCAATTGCTTTCCGCTTCCCCTTTCCTCCTCCCTTAATCGCCCCTGCGTGGATTCGTCCACCAAGTCATGACGAAAATTCACCCCGAGTCCCTCGAGGACTTCGAGTACATCGAAACCCCTCCTGCTGCTTGCACGACCCCCGCAGATGACTGTGGTGTGCGGACGACATCGGTGAGTCCGGTTGTTTGGGGAGTGTGCGAAGCTCTTGGGAGCTTGAAGAAGAGTACCCTTGTGGTCAGAAAGGATGGCTAATCCGTCTCAATTCCCCTCCAGTATCCAGCTATCAAAAATGCCCCCCTCCCGGCAGACGCTGCTGGCAGCGATAGTTTCTCCAACATCCTGCTCTTCTCGCTGCTCCTGTTTGTCCCGTGGTACTTGGCTCGCCAGATCGGTGGTGGTTTCTACACCACTATCTTCTTTGCTGTCTTCACAACCGTCCCCATCCTGATGGCCTTTTGGTCTGTGGCTTCTTCCATCTCTCCTCGTAAGAACGAGAAGGCCAAGTATGCCGGTCGTCCCGTCGAGCACTACCTCCATTTCCACAATGAGCACGACCGTGCCACCTACCGTGGAAAGAGCAAGATCCCCATGGAGGTCTTCTATGAGAAGTACTTCAATGGCGAGGTTGATTTCAAGGGCGATGCTCTTGAGGCTTTGGAATTCAGACACGACTGGGCCAACTTCCGCTTCACCATGGGTCTCTACAAGCACTTCCTCTTCGGATTCGTCCCCGAGTTGCTGGTCCACTCTCGCTCTCAAGGTACAGTTCCTCTCTTCCCAGCTCAATAGCACGCAATTGGTTCAAAAGATCTAACCCCTATCTTTCTTTTTAGATGAGGAACAGGTGCGCGACCACTATGACCGCGGCGACGACTTCTACGCTTGGTTCTTGGGCCCTCGCATGATCTACACCTCTGGCATCATCAGTGACATCAACCGGGAAGAGACTCTGGAAGAGCTCCAGGATAACAAGCTGGCCGTTGTCTGCGAGAAGATCAATGTCAAGCCCGGTGATACCGTTCTCGATTTGGGCTGTGGCTGGGGTACTCTGGCCAAATTTGCCTCGGTTCACTACGGCGCTCAGGTCACTGGTATCACTCTCGGTCGTAACCAGACTGCCTGGGGTAACAAGGGTCTCCGCAACGCTGGCATCCCTGAGACCCAGAGCCGCATTCACTGCTTGGACTACCGTGATGCTCCCCGTGTCGATGGCGGCTACAAGAAGATCACCTGTCTCGAAATGGCTGAGCACGTCGGTGTGCGCCACTTCAGCTCCTTCCTGTCCCAGGTCCACGACATGCTTGACGACGATGGTGTTTTCTTCCTCCAGATCGCCGGTCTCCGTAAGTCTTGGCAGTACGAGGATCTCATCTGGGGTCTCTTCATGAACAAGTACATCTTCCCCGGTGCCGACGCTAGCACCCCGCTTGGATTCGTCGTCGACAGACTGGAGGGCGCTGGTTTCGAGATCAAGAGCGTTGACACTGTTGGTGTCCACTACTCCGCTACTTTGTGGCGCTGGTACCGCAACTGGATGGGTAACCGTGACAAGGTCGAGGCCAAGTACGGCAAGAGATGGTTCAGAGTAAGTAATCCTGTGGCTAAGTTTGGCATGTTTTTGATACTTTCTCGAGCACCCACTGACTCGTTTCTAGATCTGGGAGTACTTCCTGGCTTACTCTACCATCATCTCCCGCCAGGGTAGCGCTACTTGCTGGCAGCTCACTGTCGTCAAGAACATCAATTCGACCCACCGCATTGAGGGAATTGACTCCCAGTATGGTCTCAGCGGCGCTCGCCAGGCTGCGATCACCAACGTGGGCCATGGCACTCTCCCCAGTGCCCATGTCCCTACGGTCAGCAAGGAGTAAATCTCCCAATGACTTTTTCCTATGTCTGTCGAGGTGACGTGTATCTGGCATGGATTTGTAAACGTCGAGTCGTGCAGGTATACAGCCTGCTGATGGAGAATGTGAAGACAGAGGAGATAAGGAGAAGGGAGTTGACCTGTTGCGAGGGGATGCCGGACTCTTGATGATCGCAGGAGTTATGGGAAAATGAACGGTCCTTGGAAAAAGGGCAGGCAGGAATGTATGGTTGCAAATGGCAGCAACTGTTCCTATGTATGATGGAATCCGATTTTATATAACTTTCTCTCGGGTGCGCGCGGGGGAGTTGTGTATTTCTACGGTCGGAGGGAACACATGGTAATGAAAAATAGAGGTCATGATTCCTGATAATTTGAGACTTCAATCGTCTCGTCTCTTAGAACTATCGTATATTGTAAAAAAAAAAAAAAGAAAGCTAACTCAAAATGGCCAACAGGTGTTTGTTCCAACGCCGAGAAATGCTGCAAACACCTTCCTGAACCATGCACAACCAAGAAATGCAAGACACGGGCACTAAGGATCTAATCGATGCGCTTGTAAAGCTTCGCCTTAATGGTACCTCCCGCACCGGAGCAGCATGCTGCTGCAGGGGCAGGGGCAGGTTGAGAATGGAGAGTGGATTTGTTGAACGACTGGGCGGAGGCAGGCACGTCCAGAGCCGGGTTCTTGGTGAAGAAGCCATCCGGCTTGAGCATGACGCTGATTCGCTCCATGGGCATGATGGGGAAGTCTTCAATGCGGGGGTTATGGGTGAGGCCGAAGGTGTGCCAGAGGACGACGTCTTCATTCTCGGTGTTGTCGTTGCGCTGCACCCAAGTCTCGACGCCCTCGGCGCGGCGGCTCTGGTTGGTGAATTCGCCTGCGGCGTACAGCTCGTCGTCGCGATACTTGGTCACCCAAATGGGTTTGGTGGCGAACTCGGCCCGGCGGTAGCCCATTGCATTCTTGCTCATGAGCAGCATCTGGCTGGGTGCTGTCTGGAGCTTGTATGCGATAGGCTTGTAGGTGATGGGGTTGATGACGTTGTCGTTGCGGATTTTGAAGACTCGGTGACGGCTGATGTCCGTGTTGGCTGTGCCGGACTTGCTAATCACTGTCTGCTCAGTGGTGTAACCGACAAGCCATGGATTATTTTCATCCTCGGGCATTGGTACGCTATCCTCGTAGTAGACGGTGTTCTTGAACCCATCAAGTGCCGGGTCGATTCGCAACGAGAACATATGCTGGTGGAAGGGAGCCATGACTCCTGGGCCGACGTTGGTGCCCCAGGCAACTGTCTGGCCATTCTCGTTGTCGAAGGGAACCGTGGACAAGATACCAGTAGCCCGGACCTCAAGTTCCACATTGGCCGCTTGGTCAAAAATGTAGGCAAAGATGTATTCGTAGTTTGCAACGGTGCAAATCATCTGAAGCACCAACTGGCGGTTTCGCACCACGGTAGCAGCGCCTGATCTGTAGTTGGTGTGTTTATGCTGGAGACCATTGTCCTGTTCATGCATGCAGATGATGTTTTTGAGAAGAACAGGGTTGCCCTTTGAATCTGTCCGGTAGCCGTCGAAATATTTGATATGACCGAGACAGTCACATCCCAGTGTTAACTGGTTGGCATTGAGGCCAAAGCCAGCATCTCCCACGTCAAATGCCTGTTTGCGGTGGTACGGGGCTCGGGGATCTGCAGTAATCCGAACCATTAGTAAATTGTTGCGCCTTTAACAGCTTGGAGGGATATTAGCCCACCTCCATAAGGAACCGTCATCTCTGATACCGAGAGGCGATAGAAGACGTTGCGGTTGTCGTATGTAAGATTATACAGCACCAGACCTTCCCGATTGTTGAATCCAACCCGGAAGCGCCACTTCTGCCAGTACACAAAGTTTCCATCAACGGAGAAGGAGGCGCCCTCTGGCTGTTGCACAATATATGGCTTGAGGTCTTTTCTGAGTGGCTCATCCAGGAGATCATGAGCATATTGGATTGTTTTGACGGTTTTCCAAGGCTGAGTTTCCGTGACCTGAGAATCACCACCACCCGGGAGGTAATCCATGCGTACTAGCTCCTGAGTGATAGCATTAAAAACTGGTGAAAACTTGCAGGGCAAAGAGTAGTGGTTGTTCTCCGGGTGATCCACCTCAGTGATATACATGAAGCACTGGAACAACCGCCGGGTTTCATTCTCATCGTCCGACCCATACATCCATGGGTCGTTGCACACGGACATGCCTGGTGGCAACTTCAATTTCTCAATTTCTGCCAGCACTGCCGGATGCCGCAAGCAGAGAGCTTCAATCTCAGTGACCTCGTCCACGTCAATTGGTCCCTTTATGCAATGGTCAGCCACCTCATTTCACCAACAGAGCAGCCCAGAAGATGGTTTACTTACCTGAACATGCGCCGGGAGCTCCTTGATATGAATGGCTGACTTGGTATCGGCATTCAGCAGAGCCTTGTAGAAGATGCCACTGTCAAGACGGTGAAAGTAGGCGAATAAAAGACGGGATGGCCTGGGGGGCAATGGCTTTCGGAGCCGCTCCGCCTCGAGATATGCAACCACATGTCGCTTGATGGGTTCTTGCAAGTCAATTCGCTTGTACCGCAGCGGTACGCCGGGAAACGTCTCTTCGAGAATGCGGACAACTAATTGGATTTCTCCTGGGGTGATAGGATCAAAGGGATGAGGCCTAGCCGAAGTGGCCATGACTGGGCTCTGGGATGCCTGCATTATGGAGGATGGAAGTCTTGGATGGAAAATGAACACACTGCAGACTTGAACAGGTCTGGGGGGGAGAAAGAGAAGAAGATCATTCTGAAGGAACGACGGGGGGTTTATATATAACGTTCATTCTAGTCTATGGCCTGGAGGCTGGAGTTGATGGGGGTGTCCGTGTGAGTGTAGATGTGTAGAACAAAACGAAGTATGGATCGGTGATGGTTAATCAGCAATATTCTCCATAGTCCGCATGGACTTGCCGTTTTGGGACAAACCGCCGCCACATCTGGAGTGGATCTGTGGAAGATGGAGATAACTGCACGATATCAGGTCGCTAACCGATACAGATTGTACATGCTGATGACTATCTACTCCGTCCTACTATCGACTATCAGATGATGGCTCAATCAGAGATCGAGATTCTGGAACAATTCGCGATAATGTCATCGACTCATCGGAAAGCGAGGGGAGCCACAATACCCCGTCCTCCACTATACTCTATCTATAATCTATATAACTAACCGCTATTCCCGTCTTCCGGGCCTTCACTTGGGCTATACTACTAGCACATCTTTGTTCTTCTAAGACGTCCCTCTCCTGGACACCTTTGTCGAATTTCGAGTTGATCGTGAATTGGCAACGTGATACAGACCGTACAGTTGGTATGTCTTCCTCCTGTGTGTAATCTGGCATCCGTCTGATTAGCGCGATAGATACCTGATAAGATAAAAATGAAAGTGGCTCACTATGCCGCTCTGCCAACTGGGCTTCCAATGAAGACTCAGCACGCAACCTCAGCCGAGAAAAGATGCAGAAAGAAAGGCGCAAGATGGACTCGATCTGGTTGTTTGACTTGCAAGAGGCGTCGAAAGAGGTGTGATGAGGCTAAACCTGCGTACGCACCAAATCAAATGACCTTATCACAATCCCGGGGCCGCTGACGATCCAAACCAGATGCCGAGAGTGTGCCCGATTGGGACTCGACTGCGAAGGCTATGGCTCCATGTGGGCAAAACCATTCAACCCGGCTGCATCAGCCCATCGGGAAACACGAGCATCCAAAAGACAAAGGGTGATCCGTTCATCATCCGAATCCACGCACCCCCGGATCTCCTGCGAGGTTCCGTCCTCGCCAGAATCGATCTCTAGCTCATCGGCCTGGTCTGATACGTTGCCTCTGTCGACTTGGAACTTCGATTCTGGTAATGCATGCATTTCCACGATTGACTGGGATGGAACGAATGAGCCAAGTGATACCTTGAATTGCTTTGATGGTTTCAATTGGTTCACTGAATCTTGTGGCTACGTCACTCACTGGTCTATCCCTGAAATGCTTTCCAATTTCCAAGATCCTGTGATCCAGTACTCCGCGTCTGTGGATATTAATGGATTTGCGCCGTGGCCTCTACTATCTCTTCCTTCCTGATACCAAGCAGTTGGCAAGTATCTCGATGAAGAAGTAATCGGCCAATAGTTCCACCCCCCCCCCTTCCTGGGCATCCGTCGACCAACGCACCGAGCCTTGAGTCTATTCTAGGGCACAGTTGAAGGGAACGCTTCGATTACCCCCATTTACGAGCTTAAGCTTCGTGTGAAGACCTACAGCAGGCATATGGGTTGCCACATATTGGAGACTTTGGCAATCGATCGGAAAACCACGTCAGAACCACGTCAGAAGCAGTGAATGTCAATGGTGTAACACTACTTACTATGCGCAGTATCAATTGTGGGGAAATCAGATGAGGGGCCCCTCAAAGCCCTAAGGGATGTATAGAGATCTTGATATCATAGGACCGCTTATACATATGTATTATTTATATTATTTATATTAATTATGTTAAAATGACATGGGTCGAACTGGTTACCACCCGAGGATTGATCCAAGCAATGACTAGAGTCCTACAAGTGAAGCAGCTAGACGAACCATAGCAATTCTTTGACATAAGCAAGGTTACAAGAGATATCAGAATTAGAACACACCTTTCACCGTACGTTCTAGAGATACCCAAGCTCACCACGTCGAAAGGCCTCATTTTGTACGAGCTTATTGTGCCGAATCCGCTGCGAGGCAATCTGCTCCTCTAGACCCTCAGTCGCCTTCTCAAATAACTCAAGCTTCTGCTCTTCTTCAGCGACGCTCGCGCGTGAAATGCACCACGGGCGGTCCCTTCTTCTCTCGACTCGAATTCTTTTGCCGACAAATGCTTTTCTTTAGTTCAGAGACTATCATCTCCATGACAGTCTAGTATATTGAGGTCACACATTGTGAATAGTCGGAACCAGAGATTCAGTCGTACACTTTCCTTATTCAGAAATCCGACACCACCCATTCAATGCTCGCAACAGCGCCTTCCCTAATGAAGGATTCTTTCCTATCGTGGCAGTACCCAGGAAGACCAAGCTGACAAGGTCCAGTACCAGAAGCGAGATCGCGCTCCTTATCCCTCGCGTGGCCGTGGCGAACAACGAAGCCAGCGACGCGACGACAGGCCGGACCACTACCGTGACAACGAGGACAATCCGCGTCTGCGTAAGATAAAAGATGTGGTGGACAAACTGACTCGACCAGTGAACATACTACGGTTGTTCCCTGAAACCTACCCTGTCCGTGCCAGGCTACCTACGAAGATACCATTCGACACACCTGACGAGCCGCCACATTGGAATGATTTCCACTTTCCTGTTATCAAAGCTAGTATGACGCGTGTCTTCAAAGTAACATGCACAGAGCGTTTAGCTTTCTGGTCTAACGCTTATGAACTGATTTTCCTCCGCCCCAAACTCAGCAAGCCGTGGTACGAATATATTGACCACAGTGGACGCCTCATAGAGGCAGAGCACGCGTATCTCGACCCATCCCACCGGATCACTTTCTTCAACCTTAAAGCTGCTTGTCATCGGACGCACAATCGTTGTCTGGTCTCGCCCTTTCTGCGATTGTTTCGTTCAACCCAGAGAGCACCCTGTCTACCTTTGCCCACCACTTACCTCGTTAGGTTTGTTTGTTTTTGCTTTATGCTTTATTATTATTATTATTATTATTAGATAGCCCCTAGCGATGAGCTTGCACCTCAACGTGGTGCTGGGGTCCAGTAGTCCCAGTGGATGAAGCTAAGACAAGCTCATGATAAATTAATTGTATGCACCCTCAGTTTGAGAAAGTACTATAGTAATTGTAGCTAGAGAACACGGCCGTGAGATTATGTATATTGGCTCAAGAGCCACTTAGCAGTAGTAATAGTACTTCATACTGGCTCACCATTGGAATCTCGAACTCAACCCGACGTTGTATTTCAATAATTTCTCATACTTCAACGATGTCCAAAAGGCCCCACTTTTCTAAAATCCTTGAGGCTTGAGCGGCTGAGCCTCTCAAGCTTCGAAGCACCATCTGATAAGATTAACCCCATATTTCTCCACATCACATGATTCATTATCTTGTGCACCAGGTCTACTCTTATTAGAAAGGCAGAGAATGACGGTCATATCCATTCATAAGAGAATACACCTTATATATAAGCTTCAAAAACACGAGAAGTGGCACTTCAACCAAGCACCTAAGTCAATTTCAACTCAATCCCATGTTGACCTCGTCACCCAGCCCCAATTCTCGCTCCGCTCGCTCGATACCACCTGTAGCTCGAGTGCCCCAGCGGTCCAAACGGTCTTGCGCATGGTTTATTTCCTTATCCCGAAGACTGCTGCTCTCACTTTTTGAGACGCTTCCCGGCATGCTACTGGTTCGATCAAGACTATTGAAGCTGGCACTGCCAGATTGGCCGGATGGGTTTCGAGAATGTTCAATATCAATCGGTCTGGAGGCGGGGGTTCCGGAGGGGTTGTAACTGGTGGCAGAGGTTATTTTTCCAGGGTCCACGGAGGTAGTACTGGTAGAGGCTGATAGCGCAGAGGATATGCTACTGACTTTGTCGCTTACAGGTTTCGAGCCCCCGAACCAACGTCGTCTCCGGGCCGTGGAGGAAATGGACGGGGCGGGACTCACGGTATCGGTCTCGACTGTTGAAGCGTCATTGTGGCCAGATTGTTTCTCATTCTCAAATGCCTGTGTTAAACCAGACTTCACCACGGAAGGTGCGGTCTCACTCGACTGTTGCGTCTCGGTGAGTTCAGCGTCGCGGCACCACTTCCGACGACGAGTATATCGGTCCCAGCCGTCTTGTCCACGACGGCCGTCGTTCCACTGTAATCATAAAACGGCAGATTAGATATAGGGCAATCGTGTCCGGATAGAATTATGACCTCACCTTATTATCATAATATATCCACCCGCCCCCATCCGCTGCCTTGGATTCGGATTTATCTTTGGTGCCGTCGGCGCCTTCGATACGCCATTCGCTGCCCTCTGCCCATCGCCATTTGGCGTTCCCACCCTGGACTTCGGGGAGCTCAAAATCGTCCTTCGGCGGAACTGCATTAAGATGTTCGTCCGTCCATGGAGCTCGCTCAGATGGAAATAACGAGTATGTCCACCCAATTCCAAGCCATCGACGTTGATTCTCGTAGATGACGAAGGTGAAGCGAACGCCCGAGGAATCACCCCGCCGTCTGGTTGCAATTGTTGCAGCATGGCCATGGCTCTGAGCCCAAAGCGATTGAGATTTGTTGGCATCCAAAGAAAAGGAGAGGCCGGTAATCATGGAACATATCCGCCGCACGGTCAAGGACCTCCATAGAATGACCCGCGAAACCCTCGCTGGTCGGGAATGGTAGGTGAGGATGATAGTACCGATGCTCATGACAACACGACGAGTCGTGATCAGGTAGAAGGGAGGAAGGGTCAGGATAATCCAGATCGGAGTCACAAACAGAATTCGGATGAAGAGCGTTGTAAGAGCAGGTTTGGTAGTTGCAGAAGTGGCGGTTCTCTGCGTTGACATGAATTCAGTCAGCTCAAGGAGAGGGTCCAAGAGGATATTGCATCGGGTCGTGAATGTCCTTAAAGTTTCAACGATTTCGTCCAGAGTTTCATGTTGATGAGGTGATGTTTCCGACGCCTTCTTCTGGTGGCGTTTCTCTCCTGTAGTTGCGGCCGATGATAAGGGGGAGAAGCGCCGCCAGTACATGCCCAGAATCAACCCGATGACCACAAAGATCGGGCCAGCCCAGAGGATAATGGCATCGCTATACAAGACAATGGTCCAGAATCCGGCGACAAGAAGGAAGCTTTGCCATGGGTCACCCGTGGTCCAGGTGAGCAAGCCAGCCAGCTTATTTAACGGAAGTATGAACGGGTGGGAATAGGCCAATGCTCGTGTGATGGCTGGGGGTGTGGCGACAAGAAGAGGAGATTTGCGGTGTACGATGATGCTTGATCGCTGTCTAGATGTCAAAGACGAGCCTGAAATGGTCGTGGGCGAAAAAGCAGCGACCGTCGGTGGCTGCGAATCTGGCTGTGAGCCATGTTCCTGTGCGTATGACGGGGCCATGGAATCTATCCACGGAATATCTTCTGCGGCAACATCAGCATCTAGTATCTACCATCTTCCACATGGGCTTCTTTTCCCCGGATTATGAGCAAAATGGTGGGAGAGTGTCACATACCGAGTGCTGCCATCCAACAGAGACGTCATATGCATCCAGCAAGCGCATTGCGGGCGGTGTGACACGCGAGAAAAAAAGGGGGAAAGGAGAGGCAGGAGAAGAGATCTATCTTTTGTCGGACTAGCTACCTAAAAGGTGATCTAAGAACCGACGCAGACGACCAACTAGCTAGTCGGTACAGGCAGACTGATCGTTCGACTGCGGGGAGGGAAAGACTGGGGATCCGCGGACAAGTTGAAGCTTTTGCTTGTGGTTCTCGGGACATGTGACTGAAGGTGTGTGTCCTGGTAGGAAAAGAAGGCAAGGGAAGTCAACCGATGCAGCTGATCGGATCTGCTAAGAAAAGACATCGGATTGGACAACTTCTGACACTTTTATTTAAATCATGACAAGATCATGCAGCACTCAACCTCTCATAAAAAAAAAACAGACAATCCCTGATTAGTAGTATAGTCTAGTAGAGTAATATTATTCCTTCCCTGCCTGTTGAGCCGAGCCCGACAACGCGACTGGTTCAATTCCGCCGCCGAAATTTTTGCCGTGGAGAGACTTTTGGCTTCAACTTCGATTTCCAGTCCTCCGTTTGCCCAGCGCCATCTGCCCATCACCAAACAACCACGCTTTTCGCGACAGGCCGAATACTGACTGTCACTAATAATAATCTCTGATCCTCTGCACTTGGTCCTTGATCTCATCTTCGGCATTGTGTCTCTCCTTGCATTAGGTCAAGCTTCGCTTTCAACATGGTAAGTGCTCTATTCATGTTCTCCCCGGCTTTTCGCCCCGACGCTGTGAGTGAAGGACATTTATATCTGATGGGGGTTTTTTTTCTCCGTTTGAACAGGCCCACCGTATCGTTACCCAGGTCGTTGTTACCGGCGCTCGAGTCTTCGGTCGAGCGTTCGCAGAAGCTTACAAGCAGGCCTCCGCATCATCCAAGTATGCTCAGGCAAACAAGGGCAAGAACGGAAATTCGACTTTCGCATCCTCTGGTTTGACCCTCGATGAGGCTTGCAAGATCCTCAACGTCAAGCCTCCACAGGGCGGAGAAACGAATCTGGAAAATGTGATGGAGCGGTTCAAGAAGCTGTTCGATCTCAACGACCCGCAGAAGGGCGGCAGTTTCTATCTTCAGAGCAAAATTCTCCGAGCGCGCGAAAGGATCGAGATGGAAATTCGGCAAGCGGAGCGCAAAGCCGCTCAGGAAAAGGAACTTCAGGAAGGCTGGAACCCTAAGGTGTACAAGGACCGGTGATCTGCCTCGCTTCTTCGGAATTCGGATGTGTCGACTTGAGTGTGCTTGACTGCCATTTCCGGTGTCATGCGCTTCCGACTCTATCGACAATCTGTCACGCAGACCGCATACCTCGGACGGCGTGGATCTGGTCTGTGGTTGAGATTGAGACGGACAACAATCCGTCATCGCTCTCCATCTTTTTCGTCATATTTCTTTCGGTTCTTCGGCATAGCAAGGCGTTTCTTCGGTGACTTCCAATGTTGGCATTGGAGACAATATAGACCCCTACCCCTTGTATTGACTATTTCGATGCTCTTTGCATGAGACTGTGTCAGAGCGAAACATTGCGTTGCTCAACAGAAACCGACCTATTCGTTCTCCTGCTTCTCCGCCATGTCCTTGCCCTACTCCGCTCTTTCTACCTGAGTTCATTCATGTGTATATTATACTCTCAGAGGGAGCGGATACGAAGGATCACAGTCATAGTGATGAGTCGGGAGCCTTGGAACATAAAGGCCATCTCTTCTTTTCTGGGCGGTTATTCTCTTTGCTTCAATCTGTTCATCATGCGCTCTTCTCCACTCTTCTTCTCTTGAGATACGAAAAGGCTGTCTTCATGTACCCATAGTATTCATGTGTGATGTCTTGCTCTTCCCTGACATGTGCTCTGCTCTGCCTCTTCGAGACCCTTTGTCAAATGAGTGGGCTTTCTTTAGCTTTGTATAAATAACAGCATTCCTCATTACATATTTATATTCATATCTTCATTCATCTCAGAGTCGATCATTGAAAGAAAGTCGAAGTCGGGACACTCTGGGTTTTGCTTCTGCCAAATTCACCGCCGCCTTGAGATCGGCTTGACTGACAAAGCCAACAACCATCTCTCTGTCAGTCCAGAAACTCACCATGATGCCGGCAACCCTTGCAGATTCTCGATCGATCCGATGCAGCGCTGAATCGGAAATCATGATATTTCGATAACCCCCCGATCTAAAGCAACACTAACCGGTCCCAGCCCATGGCGCCGTTTCCGAACCGGAAGTCCCCCCGCGGGTTAGAAATCAAATTTCAGGATGGCTCGCCCTCACCCCTCCAAGTGCGACAGCCCCTCCCTCTTATCTTTGATTTTCCAGTCTTCTAATCTGCTATCTGACACTTAGAGATTGCGGCGCACGTCTCTTTACAAGTCTTGAAAATAGACAAAAAAAAAGGATTGAGTGTCTTGCATACAAACACAACCTTCTACAATGGGCCGTCCCTCTGTCCCGCTGTCAGCGGACATGCCGCCACTTGTTATGGGCACCGCGACTTTCAATTCCCAGTACAATGCTGACCCCTACGCTCTTCCTACGACCGAATTGGTTCATCGCGCTCTTTCCAGTGGAGTACGCGCCTTCGATACATCACCCTACTACGGCCCCGCGGAGGAACTGTTGGGTCGTGCTCTGGCAACAGACTTTGTCCGATCTGATTTCCCCCGCCATACATACCGATTGCTCACCAAAGTGGGCCGAATCGCAGCGTCGTCCTTTGACTATTCGCCGAGATGGATCAGACATAGTGTACAGCGCAGCTTGCGCCGCCTACATACCGAATACTTGGACGTGGTCTACTGCCACGATGTGGAGTTCGTGAGCCCAGAGGAGGTCCTCGAAGCTGTCCGAGAACTGCGCCGCATTCGCGATACAGAAGGCACCGTTCGTTACGTCGGCATATCGGGATACCCAGTGGACGTACTATGCGATCTTGCCGAATTGGTCTTGCGCGAGACCGGCGAGCCTCTCGACATCGTGCAGTCGTACGCCAACTTCACGCTACAAAACACTCGGCTACTCACCCAAGCTCTTCCCCGGCTGATCGCCGCCGGCGTCGACGTGGTGCCAAATGCATCGGTTCTGGGGATGGGCATTTTGCGGCGTGGAGGCGTGCCCATCGGAAGCATGGGTGACTTCCACCCTGCCCCTGATGGTCTTCGGCGAGCCGCCCGCAGTGCAAGCGAGTGGGCCGACGCCCAAGGCGAGAAACTGGAAGTGATCGCCATCCGATTTGCGCTGGAGTCGTGGCTGCACGACGGCGCCAAAGCCGGAGCTCTGGGCCCGCCTCTTGCGCGCAGCCCCGGTGTGGATCCTGGGTTCCTCTCCGTCGCCCACGTGGGCACCGGTGAACGGCTCGGCGTCAGCGTCATGGGCGTCAGCAATGTCGACGAGCTGAACGAGACATTGCGTGTCTGGCGCAGCATCATCGATGGCTTGGAGAACCAAGACGATGACGAGGAGGAACCTCAGGCCGCTGCCGTACCTACCGCGCAGCACGCGCCCGCCATTCTTACCCCCTCGGAAGGCGTCATCACCGACCGGGCCTGGTCCAAAGCTCGCCGCAGTCGCATCCTGACGCTCGCGCAGGGAGTTCAATCGATTCTCGGACCTGATTGGGTTGACTATAGCTGGCCGAGCCCTGGGACGGACTTCGTCAATGTCTTACCCGCCGAGCATCTTGCTGCTCTCGAGGAACTCGAGTCCAAGGCCGCTGGCACTCAAAGAGACACCGAGACAGACACTGGGAAAATCGATGAGCCTATAGTTACTCCGCCCCTGGAAGCGACGGACAGGCAAGTGGCCATGGATACAGCGCCATCGAGTGTTGTTTATGATTGACATGTCCATGACTTGAAGACTTTCACTCCATGATAATGGCTATATGCATTGATGATGCATGGCAGGTGTCTTGGGGGGCTATGAATCGGTCTCTTTTGTGCATATTTTCGCTTGCCTTCCTACCTTTCAAGTATCTTTGTATAGACGTGTTTTTCCTTTTTCCAGCATCCTCAGTCGGCATGACCATAGAACGCTTTCCCATCAAACACAAGTTTGAGCTTCTCGGTAGAAAAAGAAATCCAGCCAGCACAGAAATAACCTTCAAATCATCCTCTCCAAGGAATCGCATGTAGCGCTTCCTTGGTGAGAAGGAGGTGGAAGGAACTTGTTGCAGGTCAGCATGGCGACCATGCACCTGCATGACCTGTAGCATTTCGCATTTCTTCTAAAGTCAATATTGGTTTGAACTATCGCATGCCATGTTAATAAGATTCAATAAGCGCGGCCGTGCGTGGACGTGAAGGAGCTTCCGGTGCCGGGACAACTCATCCGACAAAGCAGGATGGCTGGCGATGAACGGAAAGAAGTCCTGGGATGAAAAGGCTCGCCCTGGAAACCACTGTGTCTGTCAGTCACGGCACACTGTTGAGCTGGAGATCTGCCCTCTAATTCATGTCAGGCCAAAAGGCTCGGCTTTTGGTGGAAATGTCATCTTCAACTGAAGGCCAAACCAATCGAAGACGATGCCACCATTTCTAGAAAGACTCGAAGACACCCCTGATACCCAACCGTCCCACCCTACTCCACAACCTAATAAAATCGCACATGTATTTGAACACGGGTATCTGATGCAAATCATGAAAACAAAGAGAAAGGAGCTGAATACGACAAAAGAGACAAGGCTAAAAACCGGTGCAGCCAAATAACCGTCGATGGAGGTGTATCAACCAGGGGAGGAACGTCAAGTGAACGTCAAGGTCATCGAATCTTTAGCGCTTCTTTGCTGATTTTTTCATTTCTCTTTTTCGACTTGCGAGGTCTCTGTCCATCTCCGATTGATTCTGATAGCCACCAAGACTCAAAGCTTGCTCGTTGCTGATAGTGTCTGGAATTCCTGGTATGTCAGGGCGAAGAAGTTTCAAGCAATCGGCGCGTTCCCGTGATGCTTGCTGCTTCCGTTGCATCTTGGTCAATTTGTCTTTGGGATCCTGGGGCGGCGGCGCTGCAGCAGATTTGCGAGAACCGGGTTTCGCAGGTAATGAAGGCGGCAGAGGAGCTGGCTCCATGGAAGGAGGAGGCTCTCGCGGCGGCGGCGGCGGAGGTGTGGGAACTCGACGGTACTGAGCAAATCTAGGATGAGTATCAAACACTTTACGCAGCTGCGATCTCTGCTCTGCATATTCATCATAGTTTGCACCAATGATCGCTTCCAGGATGCTAGCCTTTGAGTCTCCGGAGACCGCTGAGGAGACCATACGCTCCTTGAGACGCTGGAAGGCCCTCGAGAAAGCCCTAAAAATTAGAGCGATCTCGCGAGTTCCGCCTGACACATCATTGTCTGGATTATTGGGGTCTTCTATGGAGAGACGGGTGTCGTTATTCTCTCTATGAACCTTGTAGACTCTCTGGTATTACCACCATTAGCGACTGGGAAAGATTTTGCCCACAATTTTGCAATCGAAAATCTCACCTTGTTGAAATAACCAGGCGGATTCAAGCGTATGCCCACATTCTCGAAGTCGAAACTGTTACCGTAAAATTCGAAAAAGTCCATGAGTATACACCCCAGGTTAGATGCCGTGTGGCCATGAGGCAGATGCTGGAGAAGGCTGGTAACAAGACAAGTAATGGAGAAACCTCCTAGTCCACCAGTAGGGACTTCATTCAGGCCGCGGAGGAGCAAGAACTGCTTTACTACAGATAAAATAACAGGCATTGCGGGATACTCGGATTTCCAGCTCTGGAAAGTGTTGTTGGCAATGAGACCACTGTCATTATCAAACGACAGATCCACCCTCAAGCCGGTCAGCTTGTCCACAAACTTCAAAATCGGAACACGCGCATGAGCGATGGTCTCGATGGAATTAGGGACAGCTATATCCAAATTCTTAAGGAAGGCCGCAAAGGCATAGATCTGGCCTTTACGCTCGCCAAAAGTCTTGATGCCGTTGCGCATGAAGTTTGTTGATAGGAGAACAAGGTCGATATCAGCGGTAGGCAGATACAATCCAGAAGCGAAAGACCCAAAGGAGCGAAGTTGCACGCCATGATACCGGCTTTGGAACGCCACTTGTAGCCTCGTAATCAAGTCTGCGCGGACGATCTGTTCATACTGCACTGGTTTCACCCAGTGATAGAAACTCAAGATTTCATTATGCAGTCGAGATCCCAAGTGCAGCGAGGGCTCCATAAGAGACATCCAAGGTCTTCCATCGTCCTGAGGGTGCCTTCTCCACTCATCAATGATCGAACCATCATCGTGAAACCGGTTCATAGGTCTTCCACTCTTCTTGGAGTAGCCCTTGATCTCGTCATCATATGTTCTCTTCCGGTTTCCAAGAGCAGAATCTTGTCCTTGAAAATTTCGCTTCGGCCCGTAAGGAGCATTGTCCGGGACCTTCATCTTAGCTTCTTCCTCGTCCACCAAGCCATTAAATGAAATAAAGTCCTCATTGGTTGTCACTGCATCTGCTGCTGCTGCTTGCTTTGCATTCTCTGCGATTCGCGCCTTCCGAATCAACTTCACGACGTCGACTCTCTTCGGCGCGTTCTCATCAGTTGGTGGGAGGACAGTATATGGATCTGGGTTGGACCATTTTGGAGCTGCTGGGACTGGCGCGGGAACGGGGGCAGATGCAGTATCCGTTTCTAAAGCCCGCTTTTTGCGCGGATGCGACGCCCCATCATCATCTTCTTCTTCTTCAGACATATCCATTTCAGCTTCCTCGCTGTCACTAAGACTGGATACAGGTGCAAATCGCAGTCCAGGTTGCTCATCTCCCAATTTAGCGCCTAGGATGGGCTCTGGAGTGGACTCTCTCTTGTGAGTGAGAAGCGGCCGTTCGGCCGTCGAGGGTCGCGCATACCGAAATGTGAATTCGTGTCTTGGTTTATTATTGTAGTGCGACCGGCGATCGTTTCCTCGAAACTCGAAAGCTGGCGGCATTTTGCACCGCAGCTACAGTATTTCAATAATTCAAGTTCCTTAAGAGTAGAGAAGAACAATGAAATTGAAGATACAATGTTCCAGTGGTGATGATCAGTAGTACTTATGCACGCACCCACAAGACGCGACCTTTTTTTTCTCAAGTTCATCTTTTGGCGGAGGGGAAAAAGTCTCAGAGCCGACAATGAATGAGGAAGGCGGTGTAAGGGGGATTATCTGATGCATTGCTGACGAAATAATGGGCACAATTATCTGGATTATTATTATTCTTTCTTGAACAACAGATCAAGTGACCCGTCGAATGTCGAGTATGTGAAACAACTTATCAACTCTGGATGGATACGCCAAGCCCCGGTCCAAGCATTCATATTCCACAGAAGGAGTCACAAAAGGTGATCAAGATAAGTCTGCTTATTGTTTTGATAGAGATGTGCCCCTCTCTCTTGGTCAATTGAGAGTGGAGGTATTGCTCAATGACTGGATGTCTGCTTGCGTTTTTCCTAAGCCCTCAATCCGCCTTCCAACAGGTCTATGAAATCCCGGTCCAATGCCATCTCCTTGAAACTCACTCTTTTCGGTAGCCCAGTCTAGCTATTCCTCTGCTCTGGCGCCACTCTTGGCTCGAAGCAGACCAGTACTCACATCTATAACCTGTGGTCTCTCCTGACAATGCCAGAACAAAGTTGCACCACAGCGACTACAAAACTCTCGGTAGACGCCGGAGAGGCTCTCATATCGCTGCATTGTGCCTGCACCAAATTCCAAAGGCTTTCCATCGGCGGCAAGGATGTTCACTTAGGAATAAATGCCCATGACTGGATTGGAAAGCCACTGGCCAGGCGGCATGAGCGGCAACCGCAGGTCCGTATTGCCGTCTCGCAGCCACCACTTCACATCTTCGACATTCTTTGCCGATTTTAAATGATGCGGAACCAGTAAATCCGGCCAAGGAGACCACGGCCGAGCAGAGTTTGCATCTAGCGGTGTAATACGAAAGTCAACGCCCCCGCAGTGACAACGAGCTTGCAGCTGGCTGCATTTGTGATCTTTCTCTCGAGACGCGTTATCGCTGTCCCTGATAAGTCCTTGTTGATGGTCCTGGGTGGTAGCCAGCCAACATGAAGAGGCTGTCTCTCCTGATTCGCCTGGGAGGAAGGATCGTATCCCATCGTCACGAGTGTCCTCGACCTTTCAATGTCTGATCATCTCAACAGGAGGAGGCTTGTCTGACAACACGCCACTGGCGACCATGGTCTTACCAAAGGCCTCAAGATGAGCAAAAACAAGTGCTCCAACAGGTTCTACAGAAAAAACGGCTGATGCAGTTTGCCTGTTGGTTTTTTTTTGCAGTGCATCGAATCTTGGCCCTGGGGTCTGCAGGTAGTCGTAAGAGGAGTATAGCATGCCTGTTATAGATCGACATCCATTGCAGTGACAAAGATCAAGCGTGGACTGCTCAGCGACTGGATCTAGCAAGACGTCCTGCGCTGTATTACCACACAGGCATGATATTGGTGCGTGTCCTTTGGCTTCCTTCCATGACTAGAAGCCAGTCGATAATAACGCAAATTATTCACAGGTCGAGAAGACTCCAGAGGTATCCCACATAAGATTTGTCTTCCTTGTAGACGGTCAGGAAATGACGGAGCAGCGGCAGAGAAAGATGACATTTAGAATCGCTCATTGGCGACGTAGAGAAATCCAACATGCAGAAATCTGCTCACATTGATCTGGCGTGGCGGGCGTTTGCTTGCTGATGCCGCAGTATACTCTCGTTAGTCGGTACTCGTTAGCCTGGTGATGGCAGCCTTGGCCTATATAAAGCGACCCCGCCCACCACGAGGAATCTGGTTTCAGATTTCTGACAACTCCCAACACCTCACGCAAGAGATCTCTTTTCAAAGATTCAAACGATCAGAACGAGCGAAATAACAGCTCTTAATTCCTTCATATATTCATCATGAGTAGGTCCATGCTGTCCCAATCCCTCGAGTGCTTCTCATATCATGTGTGACCAGCATGGTGGGGTAGCAGGTGATGGCGGGGTATTACTGCTACTATCACCACCATCGCGTCGTTGCTTGCTGAATCTATGCGCCTATGCGAGGTTCCGCTCTTGTTACGATCGCTTGCTACTTTATCCTTCCTAATCTCTTCACCGAATTTTGCACGAATCACTGAGAGACTCGAGATTGTTTGGCTGACTTGGCTTTCTCTGATAGGCGATCACGGCTGCACTTGCGGTGCCTCTTGCCAGTGCCCTGCTGGTCAATGCAACTGCCCCGTATGCTTTTCCTTCTTGCTCGCTGATACATACCTTTCTTCAATTCGTCTGCTGACTATCTTTTCATTTATAGAAGAGATGAAGCACTTTCTAGAGCTTCGCTAGCTTTCGGTGAAACTTGATCGAACTCGGTTCCTAGTGCTTGTGGAAGAAGCTGGGATGGGGTGCTAGACAAGTAGTCTGGGACAAACAAAGAAAAGAAAAGAAAAGAAAATAAAAAATTGCTAATGAGATTTGGTCTGATAAATGTCTCAATCTTTCGACTGCACGCGGTGATGGCTCAGTGCTACAGGCCTACAGCAGTAATAACTTAAATAGGCATCATCAGATTCAAGTATCCGTGTAAACATATACCTGTATTCCGAGGGTTTCCATCAACACTGGGAAATATATTATTCGAAATCTTAGAGGCCCCGCAAGGGTCATTCTTGAGCTGACAGCAACCATGGAAAGACACTCAGCCTGTTTGACCCGAGAGTCGACCATCCACCATCACCACCACCCCAGAGAAGGTTGCCTGCAGTCCACTCAGATCAACAGACGTGTGACCACTGACAAGGCCGTTCCACCACCCTATCACAATACGCTACGAATGTGGACAGGTATCCTTTCGACCTATGAATCCCCCAATATCAGACCTCTTGATGTCAGGTCCAAGTTCTGGCGCGGATCTCGCGGTTGCAGTTTGAGGTCTGATCCTGCGATATTCCACGAAGTCAGGAAAAAGCATAGCAGCTTCTGAGCCAATAAACTTGCTGATCATGACATACAAGGAGGGGTTGGGAGAGGGGGACTGTCTGTTGCCTGCAGAGACGCTCTGAACAGTAGAGGCAGTGGCCCCGTTGTCTGTAGTCTGTACAGTATCCGCCCATTCGTGGTGTTCCACAAGCTCAGTGCTACTGTACGCTGCAGCCAGAAACTGGAGCTTCTTGCATGAGGATCGCTAATATAGGATCCCAGAGCAAGGAGGGAAACACAGGCAGTAGCTATGCCAGAGCTTCCTGGGCCATAAGACACCGGACCGGGCTTATCCTTGGATACACGGAGTATATCAAGTCAACACTACACGTTCATGGTTGAAAATCCTAACACATGCTCAATTAGGAGCGGTTTCATCAGGACAGACTCCTGTTGTCACAGTGGATCTCATCAACTCCACTACTCATACGTGGTGACATGCACCTACTGCCAGGCATCTACCCTAGTAAGTACCTAGACTAGGTAGACTAGGTGCTGCTATACTCCGTAAATTGTAGGCTGAACCGCTGTAGCAAGTTCAGCAACATCTAGCAACATTCAAGAGCATCACACTGGAAAGCGTGGGAGACTGTAGCTACAATCCATTTACTAAGGAGTCGAGCATGCATCTGTCATATTATAGCAGGGATAACCCTGTTGACAAGGAATCCTTATGCGAACTATTATTCCTCCGACTTGCTGCCTCACTTCAAACTATTGCCCCCACTACCAACATTGCTTTTTTTTTTTTTTTTTTTTTTTTTTTCGCTCAAAAGCTACACTGGAACACGAAGATCCCTGCAGAACGTGGCATGATAGGAGAACTTATCATCAGATACGGCGTGGATGACTATCAATGTCCCAAGGGGCCTAACTGAATGCTTGAGCTGAGCTGGACGTTTCCCGTTCCCTTCCCCCCCCCCACATAGTGACCTCGTTTTATGCCTGGCATACATACAATCGTACAGTGGCATGGCATGGCAGACCTCCCACTGACCATCCAGAGCTCTTTGCAATCCGACTGGATCCTCTCCCTGCCGAGTAGGGAGAAGAAAAAGAAGAGAATGACCCGGGCTTTGCGTGGGGACTCTCTATGATTGATCCCTTTCCAACTGCCACCAAAAGCAAAGACTATCGCGCTGTCTCACTTGACCCGCGCTCAAATCGGCCTCGTTCAGGTATAAAGGTAGGCTTCATCTCCCTCTAATCCTCCTCCTCCTTCCTCTCCATTCCAAGCCTGTCCTCCTAAGCCAACCAAACCAACCACAAAAAGAACCTCAAGTAGCCTTTCTACTCCCCCCCCCAAACCAAATCAATCACCATGACTCCCTGCTCTTGCAACTCCTGCGGCTGCTCCAGCGACTGCAACGGCTGCTCCTGCTCCTCCTGCGGCGTAAGTTCCCATTAATCATCCGGTTTGTCACATTGCAGCATATAGCTAACGGTCACTGAAGCACTAAACGAGCCCTCCATCCTCAAGACAAGACGACAACACCATGAGATTCCCGCAAGATGTTCCGGCACGGATTCGTCGAGTTTGATCAGGTCGATGGCGTGAAGTTGGTCTGATTCTTTGTTGATTTTGGACGCATGCATATGTGAAATATCTACGTTCTTCGTCCATCTGCTCTTGGTTTCTTTACGTGGACACACGCACTGGCTGGGGTATGATGGGATGGAGTTGTGCACTCACTCGTTTCATGAGATGACTATATATTCAAGCTTGATATCCAAATATCCTGCTGTAGAAGACCCTAACTGTGTACACATTGACGCAAGTAGGAGAGGCGTCGTAGAATGGTGATGACTTCTTGCTGCAGCGGCTGTTGCTGGAAAACCGGCCAACGAGGGATGAGAAGCGGGCTCGTCTGCGCTGACAATATCCGATGACGAAGTCTCAATATGCAATGCTATTGTACCTGTGTGCTATCATAAAACTAAACGCTATACACCAACTTGTAACATGCACCCAAATCGACATGCTTCCCCTACAGCTCATCCTTGCGTCTTGGTGCCACATCCCCTTCCTCCTCACCTCCCGGGCATACCGCCGGAGTAGTAGCGACCATGGAATAGACGCATTTCTCGTCCTCCATCACCTTGAGGATTTCATTCTCCTCACCACACTCCAGAATGACCGTGGTAGATCGAGCCGGCCCGTTCCAGCAGGTCTGTCCATTCGCATACACGAGAGACACCCGCTCCTCTGGCACCATCTCACCGGCCTCGTTGAGCTCGTCGACGGTGACACTTCCAATGCGAACGAATTGACCCATCCGGACGGAAGCACCCCCTTTTTTGGGAATTTGCTTCGTTTGGTCCCAGAAGCAATGCTCATACGTGTATTCTCCGGAATCCTTGGAGATGCACACGCCTTTGAGAGCCCGGAACACGCCGGCTTTGCCATAGTCGGTTTCGAGATCAGCCTGGTGGTTCTTCAGCTCGGTGTATGACTGGGCAAGTTCTGTCTTGGCTGCTTCAAGGGCGTCACGCGCTTCGCTCACTGCCTTGGACTCGGTAGTTGTGACTTCGTCTTTCTTGGGTAGGATGCCATTGTCCTCAAGGAAGCCTCTGATAGAGATCAATTTGTCTTCAATCAAAGACACGAAGGAAGGAGGTAGAAACGCCGCCAGCTTGTAAACTTGAAAAAAGATCAGCAACTGTAGCGCATTCAGAATGTATCGGACACTACAAACCCGCATCGGTATCGCTTGAGTCCTCCTCGGCTTCCCACTGCTCCCAGTTAACACCACTTTCGTCACTATCAGCTTTGGCAATCTCATCCAGGTCGCGATCACGCGCGCTATTCCCGAGGTTGCCAACATCTTCGCGAGCAGCATATTCCTCCCAGCTGCGTACCGCCCGCTTGACTCCTTCATCGTTGAAGTTGGGGTTGTATTCAACCTTGAACGTGGACAGGATATCCTCAACCTCCTTCAAGCGTGACCGGGCTTCATCCCGCTCCCGGCGAACTTCCACCAGTGCGTCCCGGAGTTCTTCAACCCTGCCTTTGGCCAAGGAAGCAAGGATATTCACCTTGCCCGTCTTCTTGCCTCGAACAACTTTGCTCTGTTCTCGCTTCTGCAGCTCCTCCAGATCGACCTCCATATTCTTGACCTTGATTTCCTGTGCCTGGATCTCAGCTTCTAGTCTCTTGATGTGGTCCTCGATCTCCTTTTCCTGTCTACCGGAGTCGACGAGCAGATCCCTCTTTTTCTTCAGGGCAGCAGTCATGGACTTCTGCCTCTTCTCCTCCTTCTTGCGCCATTCCTTGCCAATCTCTTTGCACTTGTCTTCGCATTTTGTACCGCCTACACGGGCCCACTCGTCACTTCCATCACAGCACAACTCGTAATCGCAGATACCATCATTCACGCGCTGGAATGGGATATATGACGGCTTGTGGCCTTTGTTCTTGCAGTAGAAACCGGGAAGGGCCAATGTGAGTTCAAGGTCGCTGTTCCCCGGCCGATCTGCGACAGTCAATGGGAAATTGCGGGAGAGATAAGAACAAGCCGATGTTCCAGGCTCATCGCTACCGTCCGGGCAGTCACAGTAGTCATCGTTCACGGCAGAAAACGGGATCTTGATCGCTGGGTTGGAGATGCAAGTGAATGTCGTAGTGTCCTTGTAGAACTTGGCAACTAGAACACGCAAATAAAGAGGTTAGCTTGTTCATAGCAGGGACATCTGGCAAGTATTTGTCGTTGCGCTATAAAGCATTCAAGCTGAAGCCAGCTTGCAACGGGGCCTGAATTGAACAATGTAGTAAACTCGTGTTTGTATACTTACATTCTGGGCCGACACCTCGAGGTCTCGCCGAACCGTCACTTGCAGCAGCCACAGTAGTAGAGCATGCCGCTATGCTCGCAATGACGAGCGCTCCCTGAGAAAGTATCATGATAAAAGCATTGAGCTTCCTTGCCAATCCTGTATTGTGCCCAAAAACAATCGGTCCAGGGGAGTGTGGAGAGAGCTTCTGGCCAGCTGTTGATAACGCCCACTTCGGATCTACTCGATCTGGGGGAACAGGGCCCGGCGTCTTAGTCATCCCGCTATCATGCTCCGAGTGGCAAGCAGCAAGCTGATATCTGATCGGTGTCGCATCAACAAGACTTTTTGAACACAGGTTTGAACACAGGCGTCTTGGTCAGAGTATTCAGTCGACATGGGTAATGATGGTGGCAGGTAAGTACTCTCCCGTTATACAAACGACGTGCCTAATTTTCCGTCCAAAATCTAACCTGCCACATAGTATTCCAACCCGCCGCGAACTCGTAAAAGAGGCGGCGAAAGCTCCCAGTACGGCGCAAGTGAAAGAAGCCCAGCGCGAAATGCAGGAACATTTCTGGACCACCTGTCCCTTGTCGCATAAGCCGCTAATCCGACCGATCGTCGCCGACTGCGTCGGTAATCTCTACAATAAGGAATCAATATTAGAATTCTTACTTCCCGGTGACGACGCCCCGGGCATCAGATCCAAAGCGGACTGTGAAGAGATTCTGTGCGGGCGCGTGAAGGGTCTTCGGGATGTTGTCGAGCTGAAATTCGAGATCGATACCGAGCGTGGCGAGCATCCGGGCAGCAAAAATGATAGACGCGAGGTGTGGATTTGTCCAGTCACTGCTAAGCAGTTAGGCCCCGGTGTCAAATCGGTCTATCTTGTTCCTTGCGGCCATGTCTTTTCCGAGGAGGCTATCCGCCAACTCAAAGACGATATATGTCTCCAGGTAAGGCCGTTCTGAAACCCAAATCTCATTATCATCCGCTAACCAGCTTTACCCTCATAGTGCGACGAGTCATACACAGAGGACAACGTGATCACTATCCTGCCGCCAAAGGAAGAAGATAAACAACGACTGATGGCCAGAGCACAAAGACTAGCCGAACAGGGACTCACCCACTCGCTCAAGAAAGCCCCCGGCTCCAAGAAACGCAAGAAGCACGCCAACGGCGATTCCACCGAGACCGCTGTCAATTCCGCGGGAGATTCCAAGTCAGCTCTGGCATCTCAGGCACAGAAGGATCGGGCTGCCGCTTCGAGTCGAAGCAACACATCGACTCCTACCCCCAATACATCGAACGGTATTAAAAACGCGTCCACGGCGATGCTGACCGCGCGTGTTCTGGAAGAGGAGAACGAGAAGAAGAAGCGGCGGAAAATGATCGGTGCGAATGAGAACATTAACAGTCTGTTCACCAAGGGTTCTAACGGCATCAAGCCCACCACTACCGACTTCATGACGAGAGGATTCACGTTACCTGCGGGATCTAAACGGTGATGACCATTTGCTTACATTAACATGATTTACTTTTCCCCCCAAAGGCGTACAAGGTTACTCGGGTATTGTTAATCGGCTACTGGACCGGCTTCCTTCTTGTTCGAAATCGACTACAGCATAGATTTATCGGGAGTTATACAAGTCAATAAATTTTTCTTTATGAGAACAGTCCATTGTATTGTACAAATATACACCGATTCGGGAAAACATGCTACATAAACTTATGACAATATAGTGAAACATTTAGAACTTTAGGCATCCGTCTATTCAATCAGACCCCGTGCACGAAGCTCCGATTCGATAATCTTCCTTCGTCCCAGCTCCTCATCCTTGTGCAATGCCGTCTGGCGCTTGGTGAAGAGTTTAACGTTGCGCAGATGCTGCAGCTTCGCATTATTGGCAAGGTGATCAGCCAGTTTGGTGGGCTTAGGTTGAGTGACTCCCTGGGCGTACTCCACGGCCTGCTGGACGGTAGAGATCGAATGCATGACAGGATCGGGGAAGAAGTGGCCGCTCAATTGATAGAATCGCTTCAGGAACTGTGATCATAACAGGTCAGCCATAGCCCAAGATAGGGACGTGGTATCAGGAAGACGTCGATGAACTCACAGCAAATTTGACATCCGCATCGCTCAACGGCAGAGAGAGGAACCCCTTATCCGGCACCGTGCGGTATCCGAAGAACAGCGGGATGGTGTTGTTCGATGCCACTCCCTCCACGCCCTCCTCATAATCAACAGCATCCTCTTGGACTTCTTCAGCGGAGGTCTCGGGTGCGACAGCAGCTTCGGCTTGTCCTCCAATCTGCTCAAAGATGTACACGAGGGCATCCTTTGCCTCATTGTCCGGGTAGACCAGGGACTCTTCCCACTGAGTCTTTGCGTTAGGATCGATCTTGCATTTCCAGATCAATTTGAAAACCGGTTTCTCGTGTGCAGCGACGTCGCAGATGCTCGCAAGCGGCTTCTTCAGCGCATGCATCAAGCACAGTTCGACGGCTGCTTGGTGAGCGGCCAGATAAATATGGCCCTTCTTGGTGAGTTTCTTCTTGAGCATGAAGCTAAATTCAAAGTTAGTGTTAAAAGTTCGGAATCGCTGCTCCCGCATTGCGGAGAGCATGCTGAGCGGACCAAGAGAAGCACGGGAGCAGAACGTACGGGTTGAATGTATCGGCTGGCGAGGGAGGAAGGTCGGACCATTTTCCCAGATGACCGACGCGAGGAAGTCCCTTCCATGAGCTTGCAGGCACGTAGTTATCCTCAGAAACAATCTCCTCTGTGGCAGCGGTCTCAGTCTCCAACGCTTGGGCAGGCTCGGAAGCCAGACCCTCCTCCTCCTTTCCAGGTTGATTTTTCCATCTCCGTTCAAGGACACCTTCACCTCCATATGGATCCTTTAGACCGGGCGGGCTGTCTGTTCCCCAGATCTTGCGGCGCACACGCTCGGTCAGCGGTGTTGCGTTGGAGGCATTTCGCAGGAATTGGCGAACGAGGATTGGGCGCGGCCGCACTTCCTGTCTACAAGTCGAGCAGACGTAAAGAGACCTAGGTCCCTGGAGAGATGAGACCTCCAGGTTCAACAGCCGCAATGATTGACGCATGACTGCGATGTGGCCGGAAATGTCGAGTACTACCAGCGTTCGAAAAGTTTCAAGATGCCGAGCGATCTTCCGGACAACTGTTATCACGTGATCTGGGACAAAGGGCTTGGCGCTTCAAGGGCACTAGGTTGCTATTTATGCTTCGGGGAGCATAACAATTGCATAAGAGTAAAGTTAAGAAATTTACTTAAAGGAGAAACGATATAGGAAATATCCAATATGCCAATGCCATAGTGTATATACATGTGTCTACGCTGATATTATACTAATAACAACAATTTGCTTTAATCAAAAGAAAGGGTATCGGGAAATCGGTTTACTCCCGAACGAACATACCAGCCATGCCCATTCCAGTTCCAATGCACATGCTGACCACACCAACGTCCTGGCCAGTGCGCTGAAGCTCAGGAAGCAGAGTGGCGAGTTGTCTAGCACCAGTAGCACCCAATGGGTGACCAATGGCAATAGCACCACCCTTAGGGTTCACCTTGGCCTCGTCGATTCCGAGCTTGCGTACACTGTACAGAGCCTGAGAAGCAAACGCCTCGTTGATTTCCCAAATTCCGACATCCGAAACGTTCATGCCAACCATCTCAAGGAGCCTGGGGATAGCGACCGCGGGTCCAACGCCCATCTCGTCGGGAGCGCATCCAGCGATAGCGGTAGCGACCCAGCGAGCCTGGATTGATGAAGTCAGGCCAAGTTCGGTGGCGGTAGAGCGGCGCATCAACAGAGCAGCAGCAGCGCCGTCACTGACTTGCGAGCTGTTGCCAGCGGTACTGGCGCCATCTGCTGCGAAGGCAGGCTTCAATGTGGCCATCTTCTCAGCGGAGATATTGTGGCGAATGCCATCGTCCTTCGCGACAGTGATCTCCTTGGGAGGGGCATCAGGGTTCTCACGGTCGAAAGAGAGAGTCTTCACGGGCACAATCTCAGCGTCGAATAGGCCGGCTTGTTGAGCAGCTGCGGCCTTCTTGTGCGACTCGGCAGCAAATACATCCTGATCCGCTCTCGAGATACCGTATCTGGACGCGACATTCTCAGAGGTGAGTCCCATAGGCATGATGCAATCCCTGGCATCCTTCGACGGCGAGTCCTTCAGCTCGGGCCAGAGGACAGTGGGGATAGCCCGAGAACCGTAGTTACGAGTCATGGATTCCATTCCACCACCGACACCGACATTCAGGGCACCGGCACGGATTCCATTACCAATGGCAGTAATCGCGGCGAGACCAGATGAACATTGCCTGTTGATCGTGTGGAAAGGAACGGTGTGGGGGAAGCCAGCGTGAATCTGAGCCATACGTCCTGCTTTCGCACCACCAAGCTCCTGGAGCACAGATCCAATAGCGACTTCCTCGATCAGAGCAGGATCCAAGTTCGGGTTTACCTCAAGGGTCGCCTTGAGAACATTTGCAAGGAGTTCTTCGGGATAAGCATCCTTGAAGCCACCCTTCTTTGCTCGAGTTACTGGCGTACGAAGTGCCGAAAGAATAACGATGTCCGAAGGAGACTTCTGGAGGACCTGACGAAGGCCACGGGGAACGGGAGAAGCCATTTAGGAGGTCGAGGCAACCGGCGTACGGTTCACAGTCGTAACTCGCTTTCTAAAACAATTGATTGATGATAAGGGTGTTGAGGCGTGTGAAGTTGTAACGCTGATTTGAACCACCGGGAAGACGACTGTACCTATTCCGAAGCAGCCAGGAAGCTCACGACTAGTCTTTGCCTCAAATTGTTGAGTCAAGAAGATGGGGACCGAGTAGAATACTTATAAGAAGGGCTATAGCCTATATGGCCAGGATTCCGGGGTTTCGGGACCCATCGCGCATGGACAAGGCCTTTCAAAGCAGCCATCAAACTGCCGGCAATGGAGATCGGTTAAGGGATCTGCCGCCGAGAGAGAAACATGAGAGGAAAGGCTGGGGGGAGGCTATCGGAGATGTGGGGATCTGGAATATCTTATCACGCAGGCGACAGAAGTAGATTTGAAGAGAACTTCACACGCAAGTGAGCTACCCAGTGCTATGCTGTAGAGCTGTGATTCTTTTCCCTTTTAGGATGATTGTTCACTTCAGCTCTTTCTCTTTCATTCTCAACTATAACCCATACAGAAAGTTGCGCTTTTCTGATCGGGGGAGTCCCGGCTGTTGATCGGAGCCCGTCGCTTATGTCATCCATTTCAGATCGGCTCGTCAGAAACGATCAATAAAGGTGCTGCTTCTACAAAAGTGGTTGGTATATCTGCGCAAGGAAGTGATTAGGCATGAATGTACATGTGACAAAAACACGGATATAGGGTGCCTCTAACAGAATGTCGAGATCCAGGAATCTTTGCTTCTGTGGGTATGTTGGTTCAACAAAAAGAACGAGACAACCTTGATTTCAGGTCAAGTATTATCGAGGGGGTATGATGTGTGGCGAAGAAATTTGTAGCGTTACATGTGAAGGGTATCATGAGAAGGGGTGAAAGTTCAAGTACGTATAATGTGGCTGTAATGCCCAGGGACTTTGTGCAGGCATTTGTCACAGTCGGCTCGGAATCCCATCGACAAAGTGACCTTCTTCTTGCGTGAAGGAGTATTTGGACGAGAGATGAGCTGCTGACCTTGGCCGAGAGCGTTGATGGAGAGAAGATCTTGTTGGGGTGGTCCTTGGTATGAATTAGGATCGTGTTGTAACTTCGGACCAACTTGAGAAGCGAAAAGCGCAGAAGAAGCAGAGCGAGAAGCACTACTTGTCATCTCTATATCGCTATTGGGAAACTTGTCGCATGTCATCACGTTGTTATTTTCGCTGATCGGGCTCGGGAAACGTTGATCAGACCATGAGGAGAGGAGATCCTTTCTAAAGGCCGGGTCTTCACGCTGGTTCTCTTGATCTTGGAGCTCTGAAAAAGGTTGATTCGTCATGGTCACAGAATGAGCATTCGCGTGCTTACTTTTGTATGTTGACAGCGTATTCGGTTGTTCAGTGAAGCTCAGGAATTGATTGATACGGAAGTGGTTTGAAATTGGCGACGGCTGAAAGCTCCCGTTGTTCTTGCCACTGCCAGGCCAGGTATGTGTGATTTCATTGTTTGTTTGGCGCTTAATTTCCTTTTCACCATCGATATCCATTGCCGTGCTGTATAGAGGAGCGGTTGACTTGAAGGTCTGCGGAGAATGATGCAATCGGCTTGCTACTCCCGTCAAACATCTGTGTAGCGTCCCAGTATATCTGCCTTCATCTTCATCCGACGACTCGGCAGGAGTCAAAGTAGGCAGATTAACCCTTGGTGGTGTTTGGTGATCTTCGGCGGAGGGGAATTTGCGGAAGGGATCTAGTGATGTACGTAGAACTAAAGGGCGTGGCTTCTGCAAGATTCGACTGTCAGATACTGCAAATCTCCGTATGCGCAAGGATGAAACTCAGTGTTTGATTATGAATCGGAGGTTGCATCCAACGTGAAGAAAACGAACCTTGCTTCCATGAGCCACATTTTCAAGGGCGTCTACCAGCTCGTCAGACTCTCTCTGTCGTTTCGAGGATAATCCCAACATGCTCGATTCAGCGTCTTTCCCATATGATAGAGCTCAAGCCGATACCTCTCCGCAGACCAATATCCAGGTATCGTAGCTAGCAATATGTTGAATGAAGTACCACCCAAAGAAAAAAGGACATTGGAGGAATCTCTCAGGTCAGGCTAGAATGTTTTGGCATGGAGAATAGAAATGAGAGAAGAAGGATGGCCGACAAGATTACGATCACCGTTTCAGAGAGGTCTAGGTAAGTACGGAGTAGGTAGTTCGTACTTTGTAACCTTAGTCCAGCCTAGTAGACTGTTGAACCCGCAAGGTTGCCCGGTATTTGGTCTTCTAAGTTCTAGTCCAGAAAGCGGAGTAGCGGATCCTGGTGGACCCTTGAAGAATGGCCGATAGTTAAGAATAATCAGCATATTTTTCCACAACAATTATCTACTACGGAGTACGGAGTAGACTACTAGTTAGTTAGCTTGGTTGACTACCCAGTTTGTCTTAGTTTATATTCAGTTCAATGCAGGGATCAATACTCTGATATTCTCGGTGGTGTACAGAGTAAAGCCATTTCATAACGATGGATTCAACTGCTACCTACTAGAAACCTAAGCTAATATAACATTCCTCGGACGATTAGCGACAGCCACACTCAGCCTATTTTCCGTTTGTAGGAAAACACCATCCCAGCTGCCCAATCATTGAGGTTAAGCAATAGTCAAGCAATAAGAATGGAAAGTGATACATGCCCGCGGTTACTCCTGATAATCCCCATCTTCATCATCCTGACTGTTTGGGCATGCAAAGTCAAGTGCACGCTCAACAGCATCATCATGAATCCCATCAAGTAAACAGCATTGAAACCCCTCAAGGTCCAAGTGGAGCTTTTGTGACGCATCAAAGTTCGGAGAGCTACCCTGGCAGGATAGAGGGATTACATCTCCAGCATAAATAGGAGGTAAACATCCGGTCAGCTCAGGGAACACACGCTAGTAAAAGTTATGATAGTTAGCTGTGCCCGCAGTCATAGGAAAATTATTAGAGGGGAAGTATTCACAGCACGGCCTCTTCTATAAGGTTCAGAGTCCTTCAGCACCCAAAATTCTAAATCAGCGGTGATTGGACCGATCCAATCCTCCACTTGCACTATATCGTCAATCTTGTGGTTCGGGCCTCTGGCCAGGGCGCTAAGGGTGTATGTTGCTTGATCTCCCTGGTGAACATGGTTACCTGCCGTTGACGATGTTGACGACAGAATATCAGCATGTTTGCTTCTTCCAAGTGGGTTCCCAAAGTCTTCCAGGATCTTAGCAGCACGGTCTCTAAAGGAGTCACTCTTCTGTTGTTTCAAGAGCTGTTTCTTATCCTCATTATAATCTGCCAGGATAACAAGCTGAACTTGGCCACGACTGTGTAGGAGCCATTGCTTCATATCCCTTATAAGATCATCATGTGTTTCACTGAAGCCTGCTTCAAAAATAACAGTATGGTAGCGGCGGTAAGTCTGTGGGTCAGAGAAAATAAATGATTGATCAGGGGACTTTTTTAATGCCTGACGCTTGGTGCCATTGCCATTGATTTTGCCGTTAAGACGAACTGAGGCAGGTCCAGCCCAGAGTTTTCTCGCTTCTTCTGGCATAAGGATCTCGCTCTTCAGTTGATAGAGACACAAAACTGCAAATGAACCCAAGCTTTGATGGATAGAACTGGGCATTGCGTAAATAAATAGAGTATCTTCATCAAAGTAATACCTCACTCCCGCCTTGTCAAGAAGCTGGATGATCTGTCTGGATTGTATCAATTCATGATCAAGCTGAAGTTCTAGACTTGATTCCCGATGGCGGCTTGAGAGATGGGCCTTAATTATTCTGATGATCTTGTCTAGCCTCCGTTGGGCTTCATCGCCAGGTCTGTATTGTCTGGTGACACCTTGTATGAGTATATGTGCCTCAGATATCGAAGCTTGAGACGTTGCTACTGACGACATTCTTGAAGGAGCTGACGAGCAGTGAAACAAAGCGGACTTGGAAGAAAATGGCATGAAGGTCAATAATCGCGGTATTCAAAGGTGGAAGGAACGAGAGAGGCTGAGTTGGCGTGGAAGTTTTGGAATGTCATGACATTTGGAAATGACTTCATATGAGATCATCATCCGCTTATTTATGGCTTTGCTCTAGATATCTGCAACAAAATCTAGCAGACGCCTACAGAAACAGGCCAGCAAATGAATCCATGGTGTAAGGATTTTATATAAAGGAAGGACCACCACATGGTGGAGAAAGATTAGCAGAAAGGGTGGTAACACGGTGAAGATGAGGTTGAAGATGACGACAGTGAGGTAGGCAGAGAGGCAGAGGCAGAGGCAGATTTGATGGGGTACGGGAGGCCGTGCGCGGCACCCAAAACGACAGGCGGTGGGGCAGGAACAGCGGCAGAACAGACCTTAAAGCGTGAACAAGTTAAACAACAGTTACAGACTCATTACAGGGCAGCACGTAATAATAAAATATAAAATGAAATGATGAGGTTACTCTTTCTAGTGTTTTATAAAGCTAATTTAGTGCTAGTCAAAGTGAAACTAACCAAGTAGTACTAAAGAATATAGATATAGAGATTACGGAGTAGAGACCCTATTATTATTGATTGAGAGGATCAGAGAAGAAAAGACCTCAAACAAATTCATCATAGCTCTATCCAGTATGTACTATTGACTTTCAAGTCGGCTTGAAGCTCAGCTGTACGTAGTAATCTCGTAAGTCAGCGGACGTCATCTGCATAAAGGTATAATATCAGAACTCACTCAGCCGGAGTCATACTCAGATCAGAAGGATCTCAATATGCACCGAGACTTCTCCGAACGACCTAGACTACTTACTGTACAACATCCCGACTAACTACTACCAGTAGTCTAGTACCAAAGACAGTCCGCGCTCCATTGGGTGTTATCATCTGTCGCGCCAAATGCATCAATGCACCATTTTACATGGGCCATCATCATGCCTTCAGCAGGAGTGAATAGATTCGCCACATGGTCTCTTGAATTCTCGAGACTACTGCACCTCAGAGTACAGGGTGCTTGCATAGAAACAGCTGGCTTTGACTAGGATAGATATACGGTAAATAGTGATGCTCCGTGGACGCCGAGTGTCTGTATCCTCCTACGGTCCCTCACATATCTTCTAAGAAACCTAAGGGTGCATTTGGGTACCTCAAATGAGGTCCCAGATACAGGTTCCTTGTCGTGGATACCATGCAGAATACAGATTACAGCCAAAATTTAAGGTGCGCTCAGCCAAGGAGGGATGTTTCTTCACAGTTCATAGAACCTAGGTAGGTACCAGGTACTTGGCGGGATGTCCATATTCCATGGGGTACCTAGGAAGTAGGCAGTCCATACAATGCATTACCTTTGGACAGAGGGGTCATTGCGAGTTTGCAATAGGTCCAGTAATTACAATACGGGCTGATGTGAATGGTCAGATCAAAGTGTGTTTGGCACTCCGTTACTTTTTTTTTTTCTAATTTTATAATTTCTAATTTTTAGGTTATATTTTTTTCGTGTGTGAATCATTTCTTCGGCTTCCCCCACTTGCCCGATATGTGATAATTTTACCCTTTAGTCCTTGACCAAATTGACTGGACTATGCTATAAGACCAGCTCTCTATCATTCTATCATCGTCTTCTGTTCCTCGTCACTGAGCCTGCTCTTCAATTGTTCTTGGAGTCTTCATTCCATTGAATTGTCTCTTCTTGGACCTTGTACCGATCTCTCCTGTCTTTCCCTTCGTGGTCACACTCTTCAAGCACTTCTTTTTTGCCTCCGACATCGCTTCTAGTCCTATTAAGTCAAGAAACCATGCCCCTCGTCAATACTACAGAAGTCAACGAGGACACTCGTGGTATGTGTTCCTTCTCGTCCTTGCTTCATTCGGCCTTCTCGGTTCAATTAACTTATTAATTTATCTAGTCCTGGGATACGATGCCCTTCTTCCTCCCCATTTCCTCCAATCCGAAATCCCAGCTGTGAGTCACACCATTTCTGCAGTGAAATCTTCTCGATGTGCATCCCAGCAATTCCCCCTGAGTGGAGGCTCTACCAGGCAATGTAGAAACTAACAAGTCTTGCTATAGCCCGCCCACGCAATTGAGACAGTTCGTGCCGGCCGGAATCAGGCCATTGAGATCATTGAGCAACGGGATGACCGCCTCCTGGTCGTTGTAGGCCCATGCTCGATCCATGATCCTGTTACGGCTCTCGAGTATGCCACTCAGCTGAAGGAGCTTGCCCAGAAGCTCTCGGGGGACCTCTGCGTCATCATGCGTGCCTACCTGGAGAAGCCTCGCACCACAGTGGGTTGGAAGGGTCTGATTAACGACCCGGATATTGATGAGACCTACAACATCAACAAGGGCCTGCGTGTGTCTCGTAAGCTCTACGCTGACCTGACTGGTATGGGCATCCCCATTGCGAGCGAGATGCTCGATACGATTTCTCCTCAGTACCTGGCGGATCTTATCTCTCTTGGAGCCATTGGTGCCCGTACAACCGAATCGCAATTGCACCGGGAGCTGGCTTCCGGTCTGAGTTTCCCCATTGGCTACAAGAACGGCACTGATGGCAACTTGACCGTTGCTATTGACGCCATCGGTGCTGCTTCTCACCCGCACCGCTTCTTGGGTGTCACCAAGCAAGGTCTTGCTGCCATCACCAAGACTTCAGGCAATGAGCATGGCTTCGTGATCTTGCGTGGAGGTAACAAGGGCACAAACTACGACCGGGAAAACATCAAGAGCGCTCGTGAGGCCTTGCGGTCGAAGAAGCAGCGTGAGGTGGTCATGGTGGATTGCTCCCACGGAAACTCGAAGAAGGACCACCGCAACCAGCCTCTCGTCGCCAAGGAGGTTGCCGATCAGCTGCGTGAGGGTGAAGATGCTATTATCGGTGTCATGATTGAATCCAACATCAATGAAGGTAACCAGAAGGTGCCTCCTGAGGGCCCCTCAGGATTGCGCAAGGGTGTCAGCATCACTGATGCTTGCATTGACTGGCAGACAACTGTCACCGTCTTGGAGGACTTGGCCGAGGCCGTTCGTGCCAGACGGGTCGCCAAAGCTTCTCAATCAAATGGTGCCTCGCAGTAAAAGGGTTTCCTTGGCCAATCTCTTGGCTAACTCTTGATGATTTCTTCAAAAAGGGGTTTTTTTTTGATTCAGATACCAGCGCTATTGGGCTATTTTTCTCCCTTCCATCTTTGCGTTTGCTTTCTATACTTTTGGCGACCATCATCTTGATATATGTCTCATGGAATACTAGAATCTATTTCACAACAATTGATTCCAAAAGAGCCTGGTTGCGGCATAAAGTGCTTGAAAAGTTTGTCTAATCTAATGAAGCTCTTATGTACGATGTGGTTGTTTCCAAGGTGCATCTTGGGGAGTTAAAGATCTAACAGATTATCCCCAGCTATCCGTGAGGTTCATAGTTCTTCTTGTACATATAGATCCACACTTTATGATCTATTTAGAGAGCACGGATGGTACGGCCTTGAGAGCAAGGCGATCGGTAACAAAATATATGTACACAGTATGCGAGGGGGCCAGTATTACAGAGATCAAGCTAAAGGCATGAAAGATCAAAGGACTCCCTAAACAGACGCCACAACCCCTCAAGAATGGTGAAAGTTGAAAGGAGATGTAGTAATAGAACAACAGATGCCATGCAAACGTGATGGGAACAGCAGGCAACCTCATCAGAAGATGCCGAACCGGGGTATGACAGGACAGCCCCGATTCCTTTTTCCTTATTTATCACGTTCATCGTCCGGTCAACCAACTCGTCCAGCTTCGTGTTGTTTGCTTCGCAGCTGTCTCGACGTTCTCAGCAAGAACATCGAGCTGTCCTTGCTGTGCTGGTGGCGCAGGTACGTGGGCAGGGGCATTGAGTTTGGCATCCTCCAGGGCCTTTGCATTAAGCGCCTCTAACACTCCAATCTTGTTGTCAGCAGCGCCCTCGATCTTGGGCGTTGACTCGGACGAGAGCTCGTCCGTCTTCAATCCCCCAAACAGATAAGCCTTGGCCTTGTTCCATGGCTTCTGCGCCTTCTCCTCCTCCTTCTTCCGCTTGAAGATCTCACCGATTTCCTCGTTCTTGATCATCTCGAGTTGCTCCTGTGTTGCTGATCCGCTGGCATAGGCCACCTTTGCATCCTGCAGCCTCTGCAGTTCCTTCTCAACCCACAATACCCGCTGACGACGGTTGTATAGCGTCAAGGATACCATAGAGTAGATCGTGAGAGCACCGCAAATGCCTAAACGGGGGGTACGGGGTCAGCACGTCAGCACACTTCAATGCCCACCAGCAATAACAACAACAAAGACCCGAGGAGCTCCAGCTTGTGCTGTTTTTGATGATATTAACCTACCTGACGCGGTGATCAAACTGTAAACCATCACCTTGTGAGCCTTGTTCGCGAATCTGCGCCCTACATCGATGAACTGGTCCATGCGGGAGGTCGATTGGGCCAGCCGAGCCGCCCGTGCCTGAGCTCGCAACCGCTCAACTTTCTCCTTCGGGGTCTCTGGGTTCCCTCCGGGACCCTGTGCTGTGCTGCTCTTGGCGTCTGCCATAAAGCCGGGGAGCTTGTACGGTGCCGCACCGGGCTTGGAGCTGGCGTAGGGCCCTGTGGCCGTGAACCTTGTCGCGTCGGCGGCGGATCGGGACATCGTGGATCGGGGATGGAGAGATGTGGAAAGTGAGAAACGGGATTCGGGAGAGGCGGCTTCTGGTAGTTGTCTGTCTTGCGATCTGTTGATGAAGAAGACAGTGCCGGCCAATAACGGTATGAATGATTGTCGCTAATTGGCAACGTCAGGCAGCGCAGATGGCAGATCGCGGAAACAGCACAAGCGGCGACAAGAGGATGGATCGGGGAAAATTTCAGCGGAGCGAACGGTCAATGGACAGAAGGAGCCAAGACCCGCCCATCGCCCACTCAGACTGTCGACTACTCCCGGCTCTAATCCACACACATTATCCGTATCTATAGTTTAGATTTAGATCTTTTGTGTTGGACGCAAGTACAGGGCATTGTCAATTTTCTATAAACGTATCTGTTTCAAATCGACCGATTTTGGATTCGTTGTCAAGACACCCGCGATAGCTCTCATGGCCACAGAAGGATACAACTCCGCGGACTTAACGTCTGTGTTGAGGACACTATCAGCATTATCAAACAATCAGAGCCATCATCGGACTTCTGCCTCTGTACACCAGAGCTCTTATCCTGGCACTCCCCCTGCCGTCGAAGACGAGGATGACGACCCATATGAGCCAGCAGAAGCTTCGTCGTCGTTGCCCGTAGCTCAGGTACCTCCAGCTCGTCCCCAGCAAACACCGACTGGGTCCGGAGCTCCGACAGCCCAGGCAGGAGCCCATCCCAGCTCAACAGCTGGTGATTCTTCTACGATCACCACATGGCCCGCCGCACTGCGCCATGTGATGAGGGCAGTGTCGCAGAACGAGGAATCCCAACGGCGGATACGACGCTTGATTCAAAGCCAGCATGACCACGAAAGGCAGTGGTGGCAGGGCCGGGAAGCGCTGTTGACGAAACAGAAAGCTCGAATTGAGAAGAAGAAGGAGCTGGATGCGGTCTTGTGGGTTTCCTTAATCTTTTTGGCAAATATCCAAGAACGCTGTTCCTGCCCTCCGAGAGCTTAGTTGTCTCTAGTCGGCTTTGCTGGTTGTGCTAATGAGTTTGATATAGGCGTTCTGTTGGTGCTCCCGTCGATACGAAACAAGTTTCTGTATGTCCTACGCCCCCTTGAACAGGAGATCCTCCAGACTCTTCCTGCCCTATTCGTGATGGAAGATGAAGACTGACTAGCTCTACCTCAGACCGTCGAGGAAGACCAAGCGGAATTGGGGAACTACGATGCAAAAGTCTACAAGGCTTCTAGGCAAATGGCAGAAGCAATGACATCCGAGCTTCGCGCACTGAGAATCCCCTTTTTCACTCTACGTGAAAACCTCATCTCCGAAGTTTCGAAGCACCCGCGAGACGATGCTTCTGCGTCTCATTCGCCTCATGGATCTGGCAGCACGAAAGGTGATCCTCTCACCAGAGAGGAAGTGTCTGTTCTGCAGCGTCGTATGCTGGAGCTGCTGCAGGATCTTTGCAGAGAATAAGTTTGTCCTGCGTCATGGTTCATAACTTGCTTCATCGGATCCCCGGTGCCTGGGGTATGGTCAAATGCACTGACCTTAACACCTACACGGGATGCGACTCCATGTCCAGCAAGATAGGGCACCTGCTCGTACAATTTCTACCTACACAATAATATGAGCAGCAATCAGGTTCTCTGGGAAGACCAGATGCTTCTGGATTCGTTACTCATTATGTACATCGAAAATCTAAGCAACAGGCCATCAGACCAAACCCTCTATCACGTACGCCTTGGAGACTCATGCTCCATTTGTCTCTTCATGCAATAGCCACAAATCCGGAAATACAATGCAATCGCGAAGAAATACTCGATAATGGAGGACACGGCTAAGATTAAGCAATAAGAACAGACACTGAAACCCGAGCTTGTCCACAACCGACGAGCCATACCACCTGCAGAACACCGGCACAATGCAAGGCAAGATAAACAGAAAACAAAAAAAAGAAGAAGGGGGGCGGGGGAGGAAGTAGTGGGGAAAATTGTTGCCCGAACAAGATGAGAGAGGGATGTCAAAATGATGTCTGTGAGGAGGGCCACTCATTTGACAAGTGGGACCCAGGTTTTCGTTTCTGAAATAATTCATTGCGATTTCTCGGCCACAGCGACGGCAACGGCAACAGCTGCCCCCATAATGGCACTCTCCGGTGCTAGCTCCAGACGGATAAAAGAGCTCGCGTCGACATCTGATGTTCCTTGTGATGTGTTGGTTTGCTTTGTGAGCTGGTCGAGGTAGTCCTGACAGCGATCTCGAAATCCAGGATACTTGTTTATGACACTACCGTCACAGGCAATTGACAGACTCTGGTAATCATCGTCGCTCTCCACCACCGTTATCTCTTGAGTGTCTTTTGTGGACGATGCCTTCGATTTGACTCCCTCGGGGAATTCTACGCCGTTGCGTAAGCACCACATGCTATGGATTGCCGTGGCCAAATATCCCGCCGCTCGCTTCGACACAATCTGGCAAATCTGTCGCAAGAAACGCAAATCCTCAACCGTTGGGGACACGGGGAAGGTGTGTTCTTTCTGGAGAAGTGCAGCCGAAGGAGCCAAGGATGGTGAGGTATCGGCCTCGAGAAACGCAACGATGCTCGTATCGAATGTGTAGGGGTCACGCATCGAATGTGGAAGTTCTCCTCCAAACAACTGCGCAGTTTCGACCGCCTCCGTCATAATGAGCCGGACAATCTCACCCAGGTATCGTCCAGTGATCATATACTCCAGAGGCTGATAGTCCGGTCGAAGGTGGGTTCGGTTCAGAACGTCATCCCAACGGGTCATTGGCAGGATACCGCCACCAAACATACTCATTTCAGTGTTAATAATCACATGCTTGGCATAATCAAACCAGCCTGGTGGCCTGGTACCAAATTTTGACAAGCCTATCTCATGCACGGGGAAATGGAGTGCAACATTGGTGCCTGTTCCTAAGATGAGGGACATGCGGGTCTTTGGTTCGATGTAGGCTCGTGATAGAAGTGTAGCCGAGCTATCGTTCACGATTGCATCCACTTGCACGTTGAGACTGCGGCGTTGGCATGATTGAACGATCAAATCTCCCAGCTCTTGCCCAAGCGTACCGTTGGAGCATAAAAATCCTTTCCCCATGTGAATGACAAGACCGCTGCTGATAGAGGTCTGTTCAATGGGAAAGGACCATGACAGCCCCATGGAGAGGGGCACGGCTCCTCGCCCATAATCGGCACTCACTTCCAGTAGCATGGACTCGATTTTCTCGGCCATCCAGTCGAAAAATAACGTGCCCTCCAGGAGTTTCACGTCATTGTCGATTCGTGAAAAGGATTCTCGCAGGATCTTCATGGCTCCTTCGCCTCCCAACTCGATCAAGGCAACTCGAAATGTGGAACCTCCCACGTCCAAAGCCAGGTAGGTTCCCTTTTCAGTCCCTGAGGGAAGAGCATGATTGTACGACGGCAGCATGCAGACAGGGCTGGACTGTAGACATGATCTGAATTGCTCGCGGATTTTCTCCGACATAATGATCATGTTGCGCAAAGTCAAGGGCGCCGTAAACAAGCGGTCCACCTCCTCGGCGAAATCATCAAGCGTGCGACGTCTCCAATGCGCACCCTGGAAAATCTTCCGCCGCTTACGCGAAGGATTCCGAAATAGAGAAGGGAACAATATCATTGCCTCTAATGCAGCGACCAAGTTGGAGAAGAGCTCCTGCATTCTATGCAGAACCTTGACAAGGGGTGCTGCCATAATTCGGGGTGGTTCGAAGCGGGTTCCCTAGATATCTACCTCACGACGTGGGGAATATCAACCGTAGATACAGTCCAGCCTGCAGACGGTTGATGATATAGAAGGATACTGAGCAGTGAACGCAAGACGAGTTTGCTACAAGTCCATAGAGAGCTGCGTCTGATGACTTCTAGAAAGTTGGAATGAGGCGATTAAGTAGATCGGGATGAAGCAACACGGGACAGCAGGGATGATCGACCAGTAGGAACAGGGGCTGTGTCTTAACCGAAAATGGAGTCGGGCAGCATATATGAGGAACTCAAGGTAACACTGACTCTGACTAGAGTGTCAAGTTGAACCTTGCTCGGATGGACGTGTGGAGCCACCTTTCTTTCTTTCTTTCTATATGGAGGCGGAGGGAGGAGATGGAAAGGAGAGAACAAGGAGATCCGAGGCGTGAGAACAATGGCTGTAGCTTCAGACAAGACTCAATAGAGAAAGGATGAGATAGTCCGATAGACAGATAAAGACTCTTTCTCCAGAAGGATGCTAAAGATATAATGGCGGGCAGGAAAGTTAAAAAGGCCCAATGCTGTGTAGTAGTTGCACGGTGGAAGCTGCAGCCAGAGTAGATAGTTCCGAATGTAGAGTAGTATTACTATTATATTATCGTAGTAACAGTCGTCAATTCGTAACAGATTTGGGGGGTGACGGAGCACTATAGATGGATTGGAGGGAGCATGGAGCATGGATCAACGCGTGTCCATTCCAGACAAGATTGTCACAAGGGGGGTTGTGTGGAAGAAGAGGAGGAGGAGGAGGAGGAGGAGGAGGGAGACTGGGAGAGCGACTACTTGAAGCAACGATAACACCTGCAAGGAGAAGAAAAAAAATAAAGAAGGTTGGGAGTGGTGGAGCACACAGCAGGTTGAAGAAAAAGACAGATGATGATCTGGAGACTTCGTGGATTTGACTGATGAGGAAGAAGGGAAACAGCATAATTGAAACGGAAAAAAAAAAAAAAAAAAAGACAGAGGGAGTTGACAGAACGCGACAATTAATCAACAGGCGATGGTGATGCTCTCGATGAGAGTGCAACATCAACTTGACTTTCTCTCTTGGGATGTTCAGTCGGTCAGGTATGGTAGTATTGTATTGTAATTACTACCTGATGGCTTCTAACCCTTCTACCTACAGAGTAGAGTAGCTTAAGAGAACATGGATGTTGATGTATCTACAAGATCTCAAGAAGTACATACAAATCAGAATGGTGATTCAACATCAATCAACCAACACAATGCAGAGATCTGATTTCTAATGGGGGAGGAAGGTGATAATCAGCATTGGATTATCAGCCTGGTCCTGTCCATCCAAGCCCCAGTGCAGTGGTGATCAGCCATCAGAGTTACATTCCTCTGCCAGCATACGTAATCCAACCTCCTGGATGATGTCTCGGTTTTGTCATGACTGTTTCAATACTGGTGCCACCATCTGTTCCTATACACCTTCCAACATATTTTTTGGACAGAGAGAAGTCGATGAGTATGATCCTATCTATCTGCCCACCGAAATGGACATTCCTGCTGACTATTGAGTGTTGAAATGGGTGCCAGATTCCTCACTGTGGCTGGTTTTTATTTATTTATTTTTTTTCCCCTTGGTATAATTTTGCGGACAGGTGGTGAGTGGTATGTGTGACACTCCATGGGTGCAACGGTGGTAGTCACTACTCTCAAATCAGGTAATTGTAATTTTATCACCGCCGGAACTGTTGCACTCAGGGCGATGTCAGCCTTGGCTTTCTTGCTAGACAATAATATATCTAGTAGTATCTACAGAGTACTACTAGTTGTAGTAGAAGTCGTAGTAGAGTACTTAGTAGTAGTAGCAGTTATCAAGAGATTACCAATTGTTATGAGAATAAGAAAGAATCAAGGTACATCTACTCTAGCAATGTTTAATCCGAGTCGAAACAACCCTACATAAGTACATACCCACTAGGTATCTACATACCTACTGCATAGTGCATACGCTTGCAATAAAGGGATGATACACTTGCCCATTATTATTGTGACTGTGTAGCATCACTACCTCATGATTATTGTAGAGACTCATAGTATACACTGTTCTACTCCATACTCTGCCCAATTCTTCACCGTAGTCCGTACATCTGTGGCGCTGATTTGTACTACATGTCACCATCTGCCGAAGATTAGTAGTAGAAGCACGGAGATTATCTTACCTCAAATTGTCCAAGAAAAACACTCGGATTAACTCGAAGATCAATCCTAAGATCTGGTCCAACAATGGTTTCCATGAACACGGATGATAATAGACAATGACAGCGGCAATGAGATAGATACTTGACGTCCTCTTCGGATGCGGACTGGTTTCAATTGATTGTCCTTTGTATTTGAGAAATATGCAAGCCCTCAGCCACATTGAAACACACAGTGTTTGTTTGCATCCAGATCCTTTCGATCCAGCAACCTGTCCCTGTGGATCATATACCACGTGGTTCAAGTCAATAACTATCCAGGTGAATGCCAAATTGCTAACATATCCTTTATTCCTTTTGCAAGATAAAGAGAAAGCAGACGGAAACATCCGACATATATCAAGAGCAGGGTGCTCATATGTTTCAGAAAGTGATGCTCCATAGGTATCCTATCCCGTCTACCAGGGGTACCTACATACAACAAGGCTCCGAATGTAACGCCAACTTTCCCAACCCTTGCTTCAACCCTCAATCGAGGACACTGACTCGGTAGGCTGAAAGCGCCAGCTGTTCACTTTACTCCTAATTTTTTTTTTTTTCGGAACACTGAGTATTTGGCAGATATGTCTTTTAGTAGTAGTAGTTGTTAATGATGATGATGATGATGATGCTCGCCAGCCAAGAGCTCGACGACTCTCATAGTGTGCAACTATGTACTGATACTGAATCCCTCGGAAAGAGACCGATATCAGTGGAAACTGGAACCCCAATGATGGTCTGTGTGGTCGTTGTTGACCTTGACCTCACTTCAGGTTGCAACTATAATCCATTATTCTGCAGAGTGCAACATTGTGAGACAGATCAACCTGCCTACTCCTAACATTATTGAAATAGTCTGCTGCACCACAATATTGGAACTCGTCGCTGTAGATACTGCTGACTGCTCGGTACCTTCCTTTGCTGGTTGATGGACTGACACTTGACCGTATTCTTGTTGTAAGCACTATAAAGGGTAGGTATTTGTGCTATGATTATGAAAGATAGAAGCGCAGAGCATGCGATGTTGTATTGCGAGTTCAGCCAAGGATGTTTCCTGCACCCATGTTTTAGGCTTGAGGAACCATCGGCCTGACTATCTGATATCGACCATTTTTCCATGATCTGTCGTGGATCGGTTGATGGTGCTAGTCAAGTGGGCAGGTCCATACTCCATAGTAGTACTCTGTAGTACCCTTCATCGCATGAACCACGTGAGGCTGAATCATGTGATTCGCGTAGTATCTCCTTCAAGTCGAAACTCGATCTGCAAGTAAATGCCATGGGTTCTTCTATTTCCCACGCTCATATCAACAGAGTTCGAATCTGATCTTATTTAGAGCCCATAGTAATGGAATTATTTGTTTCGGTGTACACCTAAGGCAGCAGGTCCTGCGCAAAATGCCACAATATGTTGTCAACATTGCTTCTTATACTAACGAGTCCATCAGCATATCTTCATCTTCTAGGCTGGTGTCTATCCAGGGTTGAAGGGACTGCCATGCTGATATCGAATATAGGGTGACATCAACATTACCGAACTAGGACATCATAACCATTATTGCGATATATCAGCCTGTGTTGTTTTCTGTTACCTAGCCCTATCCATCCATCTATCTTCCATAGTCAGTCAGCAACGAAAACAATCACATAATATCGAGTCACACCAAGAGAGCGATATGTCAGTCGAAAGAGTCAAAGACAAAAGAGGTGAAGATATCAATGTCGGCGACGACGTGTGGACCCGGTACCGGGGCGGATCGCACGAAGGAGAGGTACCGAACCCTATCCTTTGATGATATCTCTTTTCTGCTGGGGAGATTCCCCAATCCTCTTGCTGATACATAATTCTCCTCAGGTTGAAAAGATCGTGATGGATCAGGCCGAGGCGCGCGAGGAAAATGTTGCTAATCCCCCCAAGGTACGGAGAAGCACCCTGCCTGCAGTGCTGCAGCTGTCTTGAACAAGAAAGTAAAGTGCAGAGGCTGACTATTTGCGGTGTCTAGGTCATCTTCCAGGACCAACACGGGCACAGAGTGGCGCATAATCCGAGTACCCTGCAAAAGACAGACTGACATTTCCGCTGTATATACGATCATCTGAGTTCAATGCCATTGCTTGTTATCTGCTCCACCATGGCAGCTGTCGTCACTTTTCATCGTGTCGAAGTCGACGATGCGCTGGCTATCACATGCTTTCAATAACATCCTTCTTGTTTCTCCACAAGTCCACCCTATTTTGAGTTTCTCTTCTCCAACTTGTAAGTGAGCAAATGGGGGAAATGGCTCATCAAAATGAGAGAAAGCCTTCTCTGCGGGAGGTCCGATGGGATATTGCAGCTGGTGTCATAGGGAGAGTCGCGAGGGTTCTAATGACCTGCACTCATACAACATTTCTGCTCTCATAATCAATCTTGCTTTAAGCTTACATGCATGACCGGACATTCCGAACCAAGGCTAACTCAACTGAAGATCGTTGTAACTGGTAATACTGACTGTTCACAGGTGGTCTTGGATCGTCAACCGGGGCGTGGCTCTGAAGATTATTCCAGAATCCGATGAGATTGACAAATGTCCAGTCATTTCGATGTCCTCAGTAACCAAAACACAAAAGCAAACTACACTGTTGCTGGCGAGCATCTTCAATCCACCAACGCTAATCTCTTTCCAATGCGGGGGAATACTGACCCCAGGATTGAAAAGCCCCGGCATTACCCCAGTTACAAGTGCCGACCACATGTGAAAAAATTTTGACCCATACGGAAGACTTGATTGCGCAGTTACATCCAGTTTCCCCAGGCAGTGGACCGAAAGGATGCGGGACAAAGTGTATTAGATTGGGGTAAGGATCTTTAGCATTGCGTCGAGCTGTCCTGCTGTCTTGGCGAACCTGCTTCTTGCCTCTTGGTGAAGTGATCACCTCGCGAAAACTGGAACCTCCCGTGAAGATCCACCTGAGTGAACAGGAACTTTGGAGTGGACACTAAGTAGATGGTGAATGAGGAAAGTATGCTGGCTCACTATCCTATCGCTGGCCTCAACCCCTGAATTCCTTGTGCTCAGCTTTCCCATGGACGCTAGTTTTACCTCCGGGCGCCTATCTGACTGGTCATTCTATGGTCATACGCATTTGAATAGCGGCGAATGAACGATTGAATCGCAACTTATTAACCGTGAAGATATTGATGGTAGAGTCCGAACGTGAGACATGTCAGCAAGACCGAGGCACTCCACCAGGTGGTGGAGGATGGGGATGGAGGAGAGGAGGGGAGATCGACTTCTCCATCGAAGGCAGGAGACAGGATAAATTGACCCTCTCCCCTTGAAGATGGCTCATGTTAGGCGGCCGTCTTCTTGTAGTGTTGTGCATTCAGTGTCGCCTGGGTCAAAATGAAGTGGAGTTCATTCCTGGAGGCAGCTCTCCTTTGCGGTGCGATCTTGAGCCCTGTCACTTCAGGTGCAGCTCTACCTAGTGATACAGCATCGACAGCTTCGGACCAGGGCCTCGTCTCGACCTTGTCAGCTGTGGCTAATGACCCGGCAATCAATGATACCCAGATAACCACCACCGTCTCATCAATTGTGTCTGGGATCGACGAGACCCAGCGCAAGCAGACGACCAAGGGGGATGAGTCTGTCGAAAGGGCGTTCAAGAAGCTTCAGTCCGTCTTTTCAGATGGCACACCTGATTTCCTAAGATTGGCCCGCGAGATTGTCAGGATAGGACTCGTACCTGCTGATATTCTCTCCCTTCTCAATGGGTACCTCAAGCAAGAACTCAATTCGATCAACAATCGGAACCCTGTTCTGAATAATCAAATCATCTACCCAGCCAAGGCACCAGGGGATGTTCCTTACTCTGTTGCTGAGAAAGCATTGCGAGCGGCAATCTATATCCCCAGCTCATTCGGGTATGGAAAGAACGGAAAGAAACCAGTCATCTTGGTCCCCGGAACAGCCACCCCTGCAGGCACAACATACCACTTCAGCTTCGCGAAGCTTGGAAGTGCCACCAACGTTGACGTGGTCTGGCTCAACATCCCCCAAGCCTCACTGAACGACATTCAAATCAACGCCGAGTACGTCGCTTATGCAATCAACTACATCTCGGCTCTCACAGGGTCAAACGTCGCGGTTATCTCCTGGTCCCAGGGTGGGCCTGATACCCAATGGGCCCTGAAATACTGGCCAACGACCCGAGATGTGGTTGACGATTTCATTGCCATCAGTCCCGATTTCCACGGGACAGTGGCAAGCTCGCTCGCGTGCCCGTGGCTCAAGTCTCTCCTCTGCAGTCCTGCGCTCTGGCAACAAGCTTGGGACAGCGAATTTATCAGCACGCTGCGGGCCGACGGAGGAGATTCCGCATACGTTCCCACAACCACAATCTACTCTTCGTTCGATGAGATCGTGCAGCCGATGAGCGGGAGCCAAGCGTCCGCCATTCTCGGAGATGCTCGGGCGGTTGGCGTGTCGAACAACCAAGTGCAGACGGTCTGCGGTTCCAAGCCCGCAGGGGGCATTTACACGCATGAAGGCGTGTTGTATAATCCACTCGCGTGGGCACTGGCGGTCGACGCGCTCACCCATGACGGCCCAGGCGATCCGTCACGGTTGAACCTCGATGATGTGTGTGGGCGGCTACTTCCGCCACAACTTGGATTAGACGACTTTCTCGGGACTGAAGGACTGTTGCTCGTTGGGTTGGCGGAGGCTCTTGCGTACATGCCGAAGACCCTGCGAGAACCACCCATTGCTGGCTATGCTGCTTGAACCGCAGGACGGTTGTTAGCTGAAATTTAGGTTGTGGTTCTGGAGGCTGGATGGTATAGTTTCAACTGTTTGAAGATTCTTGTCATCGCCGAATCACTGCATGCGCTCTCTGCTCTGGAGTAGGATCCATGAGTACTGCAGCTTTACGAGTCAATGTGAAGTTGTTTATGAATGTGCAACAGGTCTTGATAATGAGTCTATCAGTTCTCGGTAGAAGGTCTAGTCATAATTTCCGCGCGGCATCCTCGTATCACAGTCCCAAAGCTGTATCGAATCGGATGTGCAACTTGCCGGTGAAGCAAGAGTCGACTCTCGACAACTGAGAAGCGATAGCCTAGGTTTGGCGCGAAAATCTATAAAGACTCCATAAGGAACGGTGTGGTCGTCAGCCCAGGTTCTAGATCGTCCCTTCATCATAGAATGACCTTTGGTGCACAGGAGAAGGCTTGACCATATTCAAATACCGGTTATGGAGTCTTCAAACAATCACTGCCTACCTCCTCCTCCTGTTGGAACGAGTCGCGACGCGACGATCGAAAAGATAAGCCAAGGATACCAAGCGATGTGGATCTGCGGATAGTCGATATGGGCTTTGTTGCACTTGCCGGCATCCGGCCTATCTCCATATACTGTGTAGTTATTCAGTCGATGCTTGGATTGAACTCCTTCCAAAGTCCTGTAATTTCGCTGAAGACGCCAGTCCATTGACATTGAGCCCTTTATGATTCATTTAGCTTTAGTTTATATGGAGACATATAAGTTTTCTTCTTGATCTTGACTAAATCCTATCGTGGACCATAGCTTACATATAGTTCTAAAGTTGACCATGGAGAGAAATGATACCCCCGGGTCATATGCATTGCTTGATCACTATTGATAAGGCCTTGTCTTGTGCCATAATCCTCGATCCATGAACTGAAAGCAGATCCTCATCGTCCCTAAACAATTTACCGAATCCGCCGATCTTTATCCTTCAGTGTTGCTTCATGATACGCCACGCTGGCCAGTTACGATTCGGCAGTCTAGAAAACAAGTCGCAGAACCTTGGCCTTGACTGGTCCTGCCAATTCTCTGGCCAGTCGCTCATCTCGACGAATCTGAAAGGCTGTGTGCTTCATGATCTTTTCCTCAAGTTCACGAGCTGCCTCTGCAAGTTTGTCCTCTTGGAATCTGGGCATGTGAAGTCGGATATCGACCCAGTCCATGACCGGTCCATACCGCGCAAATGCAAGAAGGGGCAGTGACCACAATTCCCCCACTATGAGATCTATGGGCCAATCCCGTATGGACATGTCGACATGCAAGACTTTCAGTGATTTGCAATAGACCCTCAGATCATCACAGGCGTTATACCACGCCATGTCGCTCATGGCCTTCCACCAACGATTATGTAGCAGTGCAGGTTCACTGTACATAACGTGATTGAGCTCGACGTGTTGAACTGCTAGTTGCGCGTCTTGGTTGGTAATTTTAAGGAAGCGAGCAAGGGTCCGGGTAGTATTGAAGATGAACTGCGTCCTGGCATAGAACAAGCACAGCGTATCGCGGTACATGCTGCGGCATGTAAGTAGGAGCGCGAAGGGAATCGGGTAGCGCGGACTGCGGCTGTCAATTACTTGTGTGCCAGGGTTGCGAGGCCGGAGCTGGCGTTGGTAGAGGCGGTAGTGGACTCTCTTAGCATGTTTCTTCGGGTCCTTGTCCTTTAATCGCAGGACTTCAACTCTGTGAACGGTAAAGACGTGTTCGTAGATTGCCCACCGCAACTCCCCAGGAAGACGTTGGAACGGGGAGAGTCTCGGCGAAGATTTTGTGGTCATGCTCATCCTTCCTCCCCCCAAACCTATTCCTTTCGTGTAGTCATTGTTTGGGGTGCTCTGCAATCCGGAGGGACTGGGATGATTTTCCTTGACTTCGATCTGCCTAGTGTTGCTGTTTGCTAAAGGCGTGCTCAATGGTAGATGCTTGTCCCGAGTCTCCTTGACTATCGCTGTATTCTCAGCACCTCGTGTGATTGACGATGCTTGGGGCTAACTCACAGGAACGGGAGATCCTCTCTGCACTGGCAGCGTCGTGACACGGATTGGCTTTGGGGGTGTTCACTTTCTTGCTCGTGGAAGGACTCGGTTTTCCTTGGTTTGTGTGTACAGTAATCGTCTCCGACCTTCTATAGCTTGTGGTACTCTTTTTCATTCATCGTCAGCCGGTCCAGATCCAAGCAGGTCAAGACGGTACGGCCCAGCGCCCATAGGACAACGAACCTTGAAGCCATTTGTCTCTCCGCTGAGCGAAATGGTCTTTTGTCCTCTTCTGCCAGCAGTAGACTGCTTAAGATATGTGAGCTCTAACAAGTAAGCTAGAACTGGAGATGGGTTCATTCGTCTCCTTACGTTGCTTCTAGGGTACGTCTCTCCAGGGAAGCCGTTGGATTCTTTCGAATTCTGAGACTTGCTGTTTGAGCTGTAGACTCGTGTACATCTACCTTGGCCAGATTTGAGTCCACGGTCCCCTCGTTGCCCACGACTTTGCTGACCTGGAGCTGCCATTGCGAGAGGTGAGTGGATGAGATGAGGAAGGAAGATGGTGAGGACAGAGGAGAAAGAGGAGGAGGAGGAGGAGGAGAGAGCAATGAGAAATTACAGAACAGATAGTCTGATTTTACTTATATAGAAGGCACTTTGGCTGTGGTCACTCAGTACTCATAAACTTACATGCAAATCATTCACTTCATCGTTCCTATTGTTTCTGTATAGGTGAAGTGGCCCACTCTATTGTTAGGTCAGTAGTATCTGGTCATTCACAGCTCATTAGTGCATCTATCAACGCTTGCCTATTCATGATGTGATAGTGTTATTATGAAGAAAGAAGAGTAATGAAGTCATCTCTCGCCACGGTAAAGCACCACGATTGATGAGGTTGTATACGACTATTCTATAGCTTCACACTGCTTAAAGTCACTTGACATCAACACTAGTCCCAAAGCAGACATCCAGCTTCCGCAACTTTTCAGGCTGATCTCAACAGCTCTCTGTTCCTCTTTATCTTTGCTCACCAATCCCCGAGTGATCTAAAATCTCTCTACCCCGTCTCCCAAGGCATGTCGTTTTATTCTGGTGCTCTCCGGTCCAGCAGCCTCCCGACTCGAGCTCAATTGCTGTCTGTCCTACGTCCCGTGCGATCATCACCGGGACCCCACCAACACCAACCTCAGCTGCAGCATCACCGCCGCCCCTATTCCTCCCCCTCCTCCCCTCGTCCTCCTCCATCCTCCTCATCATCCCAGTCCTCCCAATACGGCCGCTCGCAATTCAAAATCCTCCCATTTGTGACCATCATCGCCATCGGTACCGGCTCCTATATCTTGCTCGTGAAACAGCGCACCGGCGTCCGCAAGCCGCACTCGGACCAATAAACCTCCTTCCTCCTTGACAACCACCCCCCAAAGACAAAAATGGCCAACACGGAGAACCCCCCCGCCATTCCTCCCCACCAGCCCACTCCACCGCTGACCTCGACAAACACCACCCCGCGCTTCTCCCCGGAGGATGTGACCGTGGTGTTCCTGCTGGGCGGCCCCGGCAGCGGCAAGGGCACGCAATCCGCCAACCTCGTGCGCGACTACGGCTTCGTGCACCTGTCCGCGGGGGACCTGCTGCGCGCCGAGCAGGTCCGCGAGGGCAGCCAGTACGGCGACCTCATCCGCACGTACATCCGCGAGGGCAAGATCGTGCCGATGGAGATCACGGTGGCGCTGCTGTCGAACGCCATGGCCGATGCGTTGGCCACAGGCTCCGTGGCCGGCGGGCCCAGCACGACGGGCCAGAAGAAGAAGGCCCGCTTCCTTGTCGACGGTTTCCCGCGCAAGCTCGACCAGGCCGTTTTCTTCGAGGACACCGTCTGTCCGTCGGAGATGACCCTCTTCCTCGACTGTCCTGAGGAGGTCATGGAGACGCGCCTGCTGAAGCGCGGCGAGACCTCCGGCCGCGATGACGATAACGCCGAGTCCATCCGCAAGCGCTTCCGTGTGTTTGTCGAGACTAGTATGCCTGTGGTGCGCGCGTTCGCGGAACAGCACAAGGTCCTGTCGGCGTCTGCTACGGGGACTGTGGATGAGGTGTACGCTCGGATCCAGGAGGGATTGGAGAAGAGGGGTATGCAGCCTATCTAAGTGGAGAAATTCACCTATTTCTTGTTTCTTTTTTTTGTTCTTTTTTCTCTGTTGTTGAGATCTGCGCCGTTGTTTGAATATATTGTGAACCGTTTCCCCCCTAAATTGTTATATAGACATTCCCCATTCCACTCTGTTTAGAAAGACAGCGATTCGTCCATAGAATACAACTCTTATCACTTCTAATGCACTAAGTGGTTTTCCTACATTACAGAGAGAAAAAGAGCATAGCATGACATGATTCGTGATTGATGATCTGGCCCAATCCTAATACTAAACTAAGATGCATCCAGACTGCCGTCTCTAAAGCAACACACAAATAGCTACCATATGAACATACTGTAGCCGGAGCAGGAGGTGGGGGGAAAGAGGAACGAGCGAGATAATTGCACCGCGCAAGAGTTAAAAAAGAGAAAAACAGGGGGGTGTCTCCTGATCCAGAATCAACGTGACAAGAAAAGAGTAGTGAAAAAAAGGAAAAAAAAAAAAAAAGGAAGAAAACGGAACACCTCGATCATTACTTTTTCCATCTTTTTTCAGCTTTTTGTATTTGCTTGCTTTCAACGGGGGGTGTCAGGATATATGAAATCTAATAATTGCCCCGTCTCCCCCAAGAACAACGAACTCCAATATTCTAGGATTTCGCGCTTATTCTGCACCTGCGACCAACTCAGTTTCCCGGGGTTGCTGTGGTTGTGAGGGCTGGGATTGCTGCTGCTGCTGCTGGTGCTGAGGGTTACGTCTCCGGTCTCCGCCCTTGCCGCCCTTCTCGCCCGACTTGCCCTGGTTGGCCTCCTCGGTAGCCGCCTGCAGGCTCTCGCGGATGAAGCGCTCGCGCTCGGCGCGGACAACGCCCAGCACGTTCTCCAGGCTGCGGCGCCAGACCATCAGGCGGCCCTGCACCTCCGCCCACTGCTTCTCGCCGAAGACGCGGTATGTGGCCCGGTGCACCAGGAACTCGGAGCGCAGCTGCGACAGCTTACCCTCGACCAGACCGGCACGGATGGTGTCGATGACCCACTTCTCAACATCCTCCGTGGGCACGCGCAGAGCCGAAGCGATGGTGGCGTAGGGCAGGGAGCGAGAGGGGGCCGAGGCGGCGATCGAAGCCAGGGTCAACAGGCGCAGCTTGTTCTGCAGAGCCTCGCCGGCATCGGCCAGAACGCCGCCGGAGATGGAGGCGAGAGGAGTGGCCGCGACGAAGTCTTCGTAGGCGTCCAGGGTGTCGGCAGTGAAGATCTCGAGCAACTCGAACAGGGAGCTGTCGCTGGTGCGAAGGGCCTGGATGGCATCGGCGGCGGTCAACGATGTGAAGTCGAATACGGCGGGGCTCTTGAGGGCGGAAGCCAGGGCCCGGACGGCCAGATCGCGCGCCTCCTTGCTCGAGGACTCGTTGGCGGGGATCGTCTGCAGAGCCTGCACAACGTGGCTCTGGGCCAGCTCGAAGTCACCGGAGGCCTGAGCGGCATCCGCGACGGCCAGGTGCAGCTTCTGGGCCTCCTCCTCATCCAACTCCCAAGCGGCCAACCAGGTGGGCAGCTGAGCGGTCAACTGGGGCTTCAGGGCCTCGAAGGCGTAGGACGAGCCGGACTGGCGAATGACGGCGACGATGGCCAGGAGAACGTGGTAGCGGCTGGAATCGGAGGAAGTGAGGGTGTTGAAGATGGTGGTCAGGATGGAGATGGCCAGCGTGGGGCCGAACTGAGGCGAGGTGGTGATGGGTTTGGCGAGATAGGTGCAGATGCGGGAGAGGAACATATCAGGGTTAGAGGCCTGGTGCACCAGATGCACAAGAAGGTTGTAGGCGGAAATGATCTCTGGAAATCATATGTCTTAGTTAGCCAAGATGAACTGGGGGGTCCTTTTTGTTTCTCCCTTCCTCTGTTGCGTCCAACCTCGTATATCTTTCTAAAACAAAAAAGAAAAAAAAAGACCATCCCACACCCACGCACACACACACACACACACAAACTCACCCTTCTCGGGAGCCGCATTCAACACGGCGGCAGCGGCCACCAGCTTCTTGAGAACTTCATCGCGTTGCTTTCGGTCGGGTTCCTCCTCAGACTGTTCTTGCTGGCGAAGGGGCTCAAGGAGAGAGGAGATTTCGGACTGCAGGCTGGAACCCTCATTTTTGCGGAGAGCATCAATGTACTGGGCGAACTCATCGGCGAGTTCAGTGAAGGTACCCTCAATGAGGAGGGTGTTGGTGGGAGCGGGCATGATGGGCGAGGGTCGAAGGGGGGAGGGAAAGAAAAGAAAAGAAGAAAAGGAGAAGAGACGGAAGATCTCGATAGGGGAAAAGAGAGGGAGAACGGGTGAGATGGGATGGCGGTGGAGAGCGAAAGAGGCTGCCAGTTAGTTATCGATAGAGGAGTTGAAGCCGAGAAGGGCGAAATTTCAGTGTGGGCAAAACTCTTGGCGAAGGAGTTTTAATGGCAGCACTCCAAACACTCTGCGGAGGCCGCAAGTATGAGAGAGAGAGAGAGAGAGTGTGTGTGTGTGTGTGTATCACCAATTGTTCTCAATAATTCAATTGATCAACCATTACTTTCATTCTCATCTTGACACTGGTATTTTTATGAAGAAAAATTGATTCTGAGCGAATTCGATGGGTTGCGCGCAGGTTGATCATCGTGACCGCGTTCGCGTCGAAGGAAGCCTTTCTTTCAAGGAATTACTACGTACTTCTTTCTTTCTACACCTCTCCCAGGTCTAATGCCGATGGATGCAATACAATCGATGAGGAATAGTCGGATGAATTAGTCAATTATGAAGCGCCAATCCCATGGCATACTGTATTTGCAGGCTTCGATTAAAGAAAGTCATGAAAAGCGTGTAATGCATGCAAAGGATCATAATATCACAAATGGCTCAATTACGAGACGAGGAACACGGGGGAATAGTACGGGATGCATGGTAATGAGCAATGCACGCCCAAACACATTGGCGCGAGAAAACAGACAAGAAAGAAGCATTAGACCGAGAGGGTTGAGGGATTAAGCCAGAGTATCTCCGTGAGTTCAGTTTGGGTTGCTGCTGCGATCACAGCTATGGTACATCATTCCGATTTACAGCAAAAGACGAGCGGCGAAGAAGAAGACGGTCGCCATCAAGCCGGTGGAATGCTCCTGGCCCACGCGGATGGCAGCATTGCTGGTCTGAGCGCTGGCGGTGCTGCTGGTGGTGGACGAGGCAGTGGCAGAGGTCTCAACCTGCTTTCCAGTGGAGCTCTCCGTCTCCGTTGCGGTGGGAACACTGGAGGAGGAGGTTGTGGTGGTCGAGGAAGAATCCGAAGAGAAAGGGTCCTCAGTGCCGCACTTCTTCTGAGCATCCTTGCACTTCTCATCGTCATCCAGGGTAGCCGCAGCAGCAATGCACTGGGCAAAAGTGGCCTGGCAGACAAAGAAGGGGATGGTCTGTGTGTAGGGCTCTACATTGGCAGTGGTACCGTTGCTGCAGACACAGGCGAAATCCAGAGTTTGCTACTCGTCGCCGGGGTCAGAAGGAGAAAAGAGACAACAACAAAGCCAAGAAGGGTGGTTTAGAACGTACGGGATCACATGAATTGCTGTTGGTGGTTCCACCACAGATCTTCGGGCAAGCGTTCCGCTCAGCCAAACACCAGGAATCTACAGATCGTCACCCAGTCAGCTACTTTTGCGTCAATTGATCTCACAACAAACAAAAGAACCACAAAACAGAGAACAATGAAAAGAGAATAAGTGGTAATGAAAAAAAAAAATAATAATAATAACATACTGCGCTCAGCGGGGAGGATCTGGCCGATGTTGAAGCCAGCGGGCAGAGTGTAGCTGCTGGTCGCGGCAGTGGCAGCCACCAGAGTGGACAGGACAACAGCGAAGGAACGCATGGTGTGGAGAGAGGATCGACAGTCAATTGATGATGAAGAGGGAGTAGAGGAATTACGAATAGAGCAAATCCTATGGGGAAGGATAGGATAGTTGATGATTATGATGATGATGATGACAACGACGACGACGATGGAGGGAGGGGGAATAGAGAAAAGGAGAGGGAAGAAGAAGAAGAAGAAGAAGAAGAGAAGAAAGTGACCGAGAGAGGAAAGTAGTTGAACTCTTTAGTAACCGGCTTAGATTTAAAAAGAGGAGGAAATAATAAACAAGAAGCAAGTTTGAGGAAACTTCCAGGGTAGAAAAAATAAAAATAAAAATAAAAATGGAGCAAAATAGAGCGAAAACAAATAGAAAAATAAGGAAAAAAAAAGAACCAGGAGCAAAGGAGGAATGCGACTTTAGCGTCAGTTTCGACAGTAGTAGTAGTAGTCAATCAGTTAGTTAGTTAGTTATGTTAGTTATGGATTAACTGGATTTACCCATGGTAGATGGTGATAGTAAAAATCCTAGTATGCACTATGTACACAGAGTAACTCCGTAGTAGTCTGGGTATCAAGAATCTTCGCAGCCTATCTATCTATCTGTGTTCTGTAGCCACCGACTAGGTACCTACTGTTAGTGTTGACAAATAATACAGTCCCTGGGATGGATACGGATTGACAACAGTGAAATGACAATGGAGACCATGGAGTCTTGACTATTCATTCATAGGGGAAAATTGAATCCAATAAATGGAAACTCCGTATCATATTATTTATTCCTACTACTAGAGAACTACTAGCCGAGTATCCAGATGGATCCCCATACCAAACAGAGGAATGCCATGTCTTTCGCTGAGGGGGGTTTCTGTTGGTGCCCAAAGATCCATCCAGGGATCAAGTATGTAGTAACTACTAGTACTACTAGTCAGTTAGTAGTAACCGACTCTCTACTTGACAACATACATAGTTGACTGAGTAGTTATATGAATCCGTTGCGACTGATCTATCCTCAACAACGGATAATGATCTCATATTATGATCACCCGGAGATATTAGATGTTTGATCAGCCGATGAACACCTCCAGTATGCAGGAGAACCACCTGATGAAGAAATCACTCCCTCCTATTGTCATTGATCATCCCTTGTCTTCAGGAATTAGATTCATCCATTCAATCTCCATATACAATCAGACAACGATCTATCTCGATATTTCTATTTCACTCTCTTCCTGTCCTGTCTCTTACCCAGTCACTTAGGACTTAGGAGTCTCCCAGAGATCAAGATAACGGATCTCACCGTGATCGGCGGTGGTTCTTCACCCGAATCCTAGCCGAGGTCTGATCCTCCCCCCCAATTGTCCAATGTTAACAACTTTCAGTTGAAAAAAACAAACCAACATATAAAAGCCAAAAAAAAAAAACAAAAATTAAAAAAAAAAAAATAAAAAAAAATCCCATTACTCCCACAAGCAAGCACTTATCCAAATTCCTACAGAGATAATCACCTCTCCCACACCAACCATGGCAGACGACCATCCACCCTCCGCGCCGCCTCCCAATGCCTTCATGAGCGAGCCCACTTCCGATCCCGCCCTGCTCGATCCCTTCCGCGCCATCCCCTGGTCCAACTCGCTCCTCAATTCCCCCGACTACTATCCCATCCGCACCTGGTCGCGACACCCCAAGCCACACACCGGCGAAGATGGCTTCTTCGCAGGAACCCTGGCCACCCCTTCCACCATCCCGCACTGTCTGACCCTGCGCCGCCGCACCCTCCCCTCCCCGCCAGCACAACTCCCCGTCTGGCCCAGTCCCACCGCCGCACCCTCCGCTGACCCCTCCCCAAACCCCGCCGATATCATCCTGCTGCTGGATCTGGCCACCCCCGGCGTCAGCGGACACCCTTCCACCGCCCACGGCGGCATCGTCGCGACCCTCCTCGACGAGGCCATGTCCCTCGCCGTTGCCGTCCATGCCCCCGCCGCCGCCGCGGACCACCCCCGCGGCCCCATCTACACCGCCCAGCTGGATGTGCGCTACAAGAGGCCGCTGCGTGTGCCGGCCCTGGTCGTCGTGCGCGCCAAGGTCGTGGCCCGCGTCGGCAGGAAGTACTGGGTGCGCGCGCAGGCCCTGCAGGAAGAGACCAAGGACGATAGTCCGCGCGGCTCCGGGGCGCACTTGGAGTGGGCGAAGAAGAAGGTCGTCGTGACGGATGCCATGGCGTTTTGGGTGCAGGCTGCGCCATCATTGTAGTCGGACATCACTCCTCTGGTCCAAATGAAAAAAAAAACAAAACAAAAAATAACAAGTAGGGGGATGAATACTATATATATCTATAGATCAGTTCGCTTAAAAGATGTCTTTCTACCCTCGCAATAGATCCACATGAATCAAACCCGCTACAACTACATCTTCGACTTGCGCTCCCCAATGTTCCGGCTCGCGTCCACTATCAGTCCCACCTGGTTGCTCAGCGCCACAACTTCTCCCTGCGCATCCAGCACAGTCACATCCAGGTCCATCCGGCCATTGCGCACCGACCGTGTCTGCACGCGGCTGTACAGCCACTCCACCCCGTCCGCCGGTAACCGCTTCTTAAAGTCGATGTTGAGCGTCACCGTCGGATACCAATACCGGGCCTGTGGTCCCTTCTGCGTCGCAGTGTCCTTCGCTTCTCCGCCACCCTCCGTCGCCGCCGTGTCAAACCCATCCAGCACCATCGGGAACATATCCGCCAGGAACGCCACCGCCTCATCCGTCCACCGACCTTGAGTGTTCCCCCCAGGCCGAAACCGCGCCCACTGGTCGACAACCCGTGGCTTCCCCAGCGCCGGATCAGGCCCGAAGAACTCCACATGCTGCGTCGCACGCCGAAACAGCGGGAACGGCGCCGCGAGCCGAACCCACTGCTCGTCTCGGCCGCTCGTCCCTAGCGCCTGTAGATCCACGCGGCCCTCCGGTCCAGAGCCGGGGATCGCAGCCGGCAGGAGCGTCCATTTGGTGGGCGCGGACATGCCCACTTCGGCCGAGGGCGGGCTCACCGTGATGTAACCGGCGACTTTGATCTCGAGATCTTCGTCGTCCCAGGATGACGGCGACGACTTAGCCGTCAAGGTTGTGTTTCGCTTCTTATCCTTATTCTTCTCACTGGGCTGCAGCAGCGCCACGTGGATCGTGCTGGTGCGCGCTCCGAGCTTTGTATCCTGCACTTTCAGCAAGGCCGGGCCGGCGGCCGTGCGGCGCAGGAACGCAAGCTGCATGGAGATGGGCGTGGCCGCCTCCTTGTACCTGGTCGGATGTGTGTATGCGAAATGCGTGATTGCCAATTGGTACAGAACCGCCGTGGTATATCCCCCGTGGGGCACTGTATCGTTCTTAGCTTGAAGGACCCTTGGCTGTAGGGTGATGTGATTCCATAGTCGACGACATACCAGTCCCGATGCACCAGTCATCTCGTAAAACAGCTGAGTATCGATAAGGATCCACCGGGGTTACCTTGATCGCCTCGTCAAAGGTCTGGTTGGCTGCTGGGGCTCTCATTCTGATGAGTATATTTCTTTATCTGTTGACACTGAGGATGGGGGTAGAGGTGAGATCGAGAGCGGGTCAATCTAGATGAAACCAATCAATTCCCATAGAGAGAGTTCGAGTCCGACCTGGGTGGAAGAAAAGAAACAACATGCCGGGAGGCTGAATGAAGTAGCAGAATGCGCATCAACTTAATTACTCGGATGAGTAAACAAGCCTCGGTTGCTTGTAGTTGTAGTCAAGAGGAACAGCCGAGTGCTGACTAATTCCAACCTACATGCGAAGTAAGATATGCAAGTCAACTGCGAGTTATCTGGATACCTATTGATCACTCAATGCTATGTAAGAACTTGTATATTTAATTTACTTAGAATATGAACATGAAAATCGCCCATCAGTACGCCGTTCCCTCTTTTTCTGTCCCCCTTTCTTTCAACGCGTCGACATTATCATCCCATTTCAATCTACCCACCTACCCAACGGCGGAGCCCCCGTGTATTTTCATGCCCTCGTAAGCATCACAGGAGCGTTCCAATATCACTGTGCCGGGGAGGCATTTGCTAGTCTTTCGAGACAAGAAAGGACACCTGTAAATGACTGTGGTCAGCAAGATTATTCTGTAGAGTACAAATTTTGCGCCTTCCGCCTTCCGCCTTCCGATAGGAGCTAGATAGAAACCACTTACCAGTAACTCCTTGTGTCAATGTTGCCTTGGCTTCAGTGCTGCGAGATCCCAGCGTGACCGTTATTGCATAATCAACGGCTTTGGCGCTTTTCAACTTGTTGGCCCAACGGAACACAGGTTCATCATCACGGCTGTCGCCAATGGCCAGCAAAAAGTCCGGTCGTGGAACATTCTCATCTTTCTGACTCGCTTCCACACATTCGCGCCATACCAGTTCCGCCGCCGAAGCTTTGTTTGTGTTGGCGGGTCCCACCACCAGGGCACCATCGACCAGCACGGCATGGACCCCTTGGCTGGCGCACGCGTCGTTGATGTGACTGGCGCACTCGGAAGCAAGCCGAGAGGCGGCTTCATGATCATCTGCCGACCCGTAGTGGAACACGAGGGAGCAATGACGTCTTTCAATCCAGCTACCTTCCGATCGCTCCTGGTAGTAACTGAGAATCTGATTGACTCCTTCCTTCCAAGCGTCCGTCCGCTCCTTGTTGGTTAACTTGAGCCATTCTTCCGTGTTAGGCTCCCGCACAAAACAGCCATTCTCCGCAATCAATCCAAGGCCAGGAACGCGCCGGAAGAGCCGCTCCATTTCTTCGGGCATCCTTGAGCTCATGACGTAGACCACGTTCTTGCTATCTTCTGTCAGATCCGTCAAGGTCGTAATAGCTCGCTGTGGGGTCGTGACGATGATGCTCTTCGGGGAGCCCCAGGAGGCAAGAGTGCCTTCGTAACCCACAATGATCAGTCGGCGAGCTGATTTGCGATACATCTCCTCAACGTGGTTGACTGGTAAGCGTGGCACAGCCATGATCTCGCGTGAAGACTGCTCATTCCAGACACGGTGCAAGGTCTCGTTGAAGGATTTGACCCAGTTCCCTGTGGAGTTTTTCAGAACGGCTTGGTGTAGTTGCGTCCACACCCGCTCCCGCTCCTCTTCGCCCCGTGTCAATGCAGTGTTAATGGCTTCCGCACATTGTCGATAGTCCCACGGGTTGACCAGCAAAGCATGGTTGCCGAAGATGGATGCGCTTCCAGTGAACTCGCTCAGAATGAGAGATCCGTACTTCTTGTTTCCAGACTTTGCATATTTCCCGTCTTGGCAGTAGACGAATTCATGGCTGGTCAAATTCATTCCTTCACGCAAACTGGTGATCATCAAAGCATCCGCAACCGAGATCAAGGCTAGATATTGAGGGAAAGCAAGATCTTGCTTCAGGAATACCAAAGGCTGGTGTGCAAGCGTCGAGTGCATCGAGTTGATCCGCATGGCGATGTCGGAAATCATGGCCTCGAGCTCCGGTTGCTCAGTTGTGCTTGTGGCAACTTGAATCAAAACGACCTTCCAAAAAGAGTCAGCACAGAACCCTATGGCGTATCAGCAGGAGAAAATGGATTTACCTTGTCTCTCCATTCGGGGTATGTATTCAGGAAGAGCTCATAGCTCAGCAGCTTCTGCCTAATTCCGCGAACCTGGTCGATCTTATCGCGAGAGACAATCAACCGTTTCCCTTGGTATCTGTCCGAAATGGTCTTGATCCACTGCTCAACATCGGCAGCTTGACGTCGCTTATCCCAGGAAGTTGGATCAATGCCAATCGGGAACGTGCCCACATTGACGAAGCGGTCTTCCAGCTCAATTCCTTCATTAGTGGCTTCTACGCAGAGAATGCGGCTGCAGGTTTGTAAGAAATGTCGGCAATACTCGTCGGTCTGGAACCCAATCAAATTAGCGCCAAGCATACCCTCAAGCAGCTCTTTACGAGGCGCCAGGCATCTGAACACCTCCGAGGAAGGAAATGCGATGTGGAGAAAGAATCCGATCTGGGCATCAGGAAGCAGTTTGCGCAGCATCGCAGGGACGAGCAGCAGGTGATAGTCCTGAATCCAGATCGAATCGCCGCGTTTCCAGTTGCGAGCAATGCGCTCGGCGAATGCCTGGTTGGTTTTCACGTAATAGATCCAAGAATGATCTTCGTATGCTTTGCTCTTCGGGTTATCGGGGATTTGGTAATGAAACACAGGCCAGAGAATGGTCTTGCAGAAGTGGGTATAGTGCCCGTCAAAGTCGCCGTCGCTGACATAAACGGTCAAGGATCCGTACTCATCTTCCAGCCGTTCAGCGATGGCGGACTTTGTGTGGGGGGATAATGCATCCGTGGGCATTCCCAGCGTGCCCACCCACACCTTGTCCTCCAATTGACCTGCATCTGTGGCCGATCGCACGGCATTGCGCAGACCACCATTCCCCTGCTCGGCTGTCTCGATTGTCCACTCGGCCTTGGAGAACGACGTTTTGCCGCTGCGATCCTGAGTAGGTTCCGGCTGACGGGCCTTGTAGGGCTCAACTTTCAATGGCGTCTTCTCACGAATAGGTTCCATCACGGTAACACGTGGCTCCTGGTGCTTGAGGATCGATGGGGACGGCGAGATGGCGGGTCGAGCCTTCGGCTGATTCAAGACCGTTGTGGCACCCCAAGCGGGAGAATGGGCTTCGCTCTCTCTGAGCGAGTTGACATTGGCAGCCCCCATGGTTGGAAAGGGATAACTTGCCGGTTCCTGTTCCGCCTTGGTGATATCCGACGTGAAGATCCGCTCATGTTCAGTTGTCGCACCAGGCGTCAAACCCACCTTGCTGACACCATTCTGTCGTTCAAACAAGCTGAGTGCGGTCCTGGGCGCCGGTGTCACTGCCTGAGACGGAGGATTTGAGATCGGAGGGCTACTGAGGGACTCTTCGGACTCATCGTGAAAATTCACGGTGTAGGGGAGAAATCTGGACGAGAAATATGTTAGCACGATCCACGTATCCCATGTGTTCCAACACTTAAAAGACAGCAACTCCACAGCAATTGACATACAATGAAGCAATGAAAATGGTCATCGTAGCGTTAATTGAGTATGTCGTACCCTATGCAAAAAAAAAAAAAAGAACCAAAAAAAGAAGAGAACAAAAATGAGAGGTTGAAAAAAGGGCAATGCGTCGGTGAGAAAGAGAAGGAAAAAGGAGGGGCGGGAAATGAAGAGCTCTCAAGGTGTTTCTCAACCCAGCAGGGACATCAAGAGAGGGATAGAATAGGGAAAAGATCAATGACACAGAAGACAAAAAATCGAAAAGCCGCAACGCAGCGAGATAAGAGTATATGAAGATTTACCACGGATCAGCTGAAGCAAGTAAGTTGGAGCAACAATGTCGTCTTCCTTCATGGCTACGTCATGTGAATCAACGCAAAGAAGAAAAAAAGTACAGTAATCATGTAATGACAATACCAGCAAATAAGGGTGGGACTGCCTGGTTGGAAAACCTGACACCGAACAATGGAATCAGGAGATTTTCCCAACAGGAGACATGGAAACAACAACTCCTTTTCTTTTTTTTTTTTTTTGGATGGATCAGCCCTGTCTATAGAGATTGTATTATCGTGGTCTGCCTAGACTAGCAAATATTAGGCTGTATCACATAGTCTTTATCAGGAGTGTCTAAAGTAGTGACGGAAGTAGCCTGTGATCTGAAGCTCAGTGATTACACATTATTGAGAATGAATGATCATCTCATCTAAATTGGTTACAAAGCTAGATGCTGATTGCTGATTGGCTCTCATGTTGCAGATTGACACAATTGACATTTGATGAGGGGTGCAGTCACATGCTGATAACGCTGCCCCTTATCGTCACCTGAACTGCGATACCTCAGGCAGATTCTTGTCGCTTCCTGCTCCTACACCTACCTCTTCCGGTCATCTTATATCTATCATAGCATTCAGGAACTGTACGACTGTCTACAACAAGGACTCCGATCAAGCGAAGCTGCCGTTCCTCTTTGCGCGAGCTCCCCTCCATTGGGTCATGCCATTACGAATCACATCGGCTCCGGTATCTGGTATCCAAAAAAGAAAGAAATCTGCAGCTTCGAGGCCTCGCGCCTCGCCCTTCGCTGGACTCGCACGCCAGAAACCCTCCGTTCAATCCTCGCGCTCTTCCAAACTCGACGGCCTTGATGGCTTACACCAGGAAGATTATGTTCAAGAACAGCTCTCTGATATCGGGGTCTCCCGATATGTGCCACAGACGGCTGCGGTCGAGAATGTGATCCAAGCCATCCGCTACATTCGCGATAACATGTTCGAGGATATCCCTGCTCGAGCTGGGATGAATAGCACCCGAATCGCTGAGGTGCTCAACCTACGCCAGTCGCTACCTCCCCTGGCCTCCGTTGCACACGTCCACACCCTGATTGATGCGCCTACAACTGTGGAAAAGGAGATTGTGGATCTGATCAATGCTGGTCGCATCCGTCGGCTAATAATCCCTGGGAGAGGCAACGATGCGGCAGGCCTGGGGGATTGCTTAGTTCTGGCGGAGGATTGGGAAAGGCTTGTGCGAGAAAGCAGTGTTTTGGACGCATCCATCAAAAGTAAGGACGGATTCTCTTGGAGTCAAGACGATGTTAGGTTTCTAATCAGCCCGCACTCCGCAGAGAAATTCCTCCAGGTTCTCCGCGAGATCGGGAACAAATCGGCCATTTTCGCTTCGACTCTCACCCAGTTGGAGTCTATGGCTCTTGTACGCGCCGGCTTCTTAGTATCATCGTCGTCGCTTGCCAAGGGTTCTTTGAGTGTTGCGTCGCTTCCTGATCTTCCCTCTTCTTCAGCCGCCGCGTCAGCTAGTCGGAGGGACGGTACTGGCCAGTCACGCGATTATCAGGACGGCAAATTGCAGTCTCCATTCCACACAGCAAGTCTGTTCCTCTCGTTGCCCAACACTGGGCCCTATCTTCGCCTGCTTGGTGCAGGTCGGAAACACCTGCTTTCTTTGCTCCAGAAATCTCGTTCGAGCGAGGCTCCCGTTTATCTCCTTCGTGACCGCTGGGATGGTGCGATAGAGACGGAGAAGAGTGCGGCGAAGCGTATGAGGGGGGAATTCGCGGGGACTCTCCCTGGAAAGACAAGAAAATGGAAGGAGCTTTACGGCATGAGTTTCCGTTGGGCTTTGGAGGAAGCCCAGGGAGCCGGATTGATCGAGTTGTTCGACACTGGCAGTGTTGGGCCTGCGGTCCGCGCGCTATGAATACATCGCATGGGATGTGAGAGCGTCAAGGGTGGAAATCCCGGTCGCTTTCGACCCTCGTGGAAACTCAACCATACACTCTATATATGTAGCTATGTGCATCTTGCCATATCATCTTTGGCCCGCCTCTCTCGAGGACTTCAGACAGCAGAGAAAGGATGCTAAGTGAGTGACCTTCTTACAGACATCCTTGGAACAGGGTATTCTAATATGACTCTGAGCTACGCAATTGGGCATGAAGCTATGTGCATCTATCTAATTACATCTGGTCTGATGTGACTGGCGTTCAAAACTACAATTGACCCGAACTCGTGAAATGATACCCATCGAAGCAAACGAGAAGAACTCATTTGCTACTTAGAATACAATGCCAGCCATCTTATTCCCACTTTCAAGATCTCTTCATTGCCTACAATCAGGAAATCCAGGACACGGTAGAGCCGCTAGACGACTAGGTCATAGCCATCCGGGATCAGCATCATCTCCACCATAATAAACCAACATCTCCATCTTCCTTGCATCCTCCTCATACCTCCCATATCGGAGCAACAGAAACCGCCCTACATAAAACAACAAAATAATCATAATCATAATCATAATCATAATGGCATCCCCTCTCATCCGCCTCACCCCACACCCATTCTCCTCCCTCCCCGCCCACCCATCCCTCGACTCGTCCTCATCCTCCTCCCCATCTCGTCCCTCCATCCAAGAATTCCTCCGCACCATCCTATCTGAAGCCCAAACGCTCCTCGCCGACACCATCCCCGAAACCTTCGAAGTCGACCGCAAACTCCGCCCCTCCCCACCCGCAACCGCCAACGTCCAGCTCTGGAGGCGCACCCTCCGCCCCGCGCCCGGCGCCGCCTCTTCGCGCAAAGACGAGTTCTGGGCCTGCCGGAAGAGCATCCACGAGGATGCGGTGGTCGAGGGCTCCGCCTCTTTCGACGAGTTCCGCGCGGGGCTCCGCGACAACCACGCCGAGAACGAGCGCGCGTACACGCCCAGTGTCGCGGCCCTGAACCGGTTGCTGGACTGGCCGATTGAGCCGGAGATTGATGGGTGGGAGCGGGTGGTGATGCAAGGTGAGTTTTGCGCCCGGTGCGATCGGTGACGTTCGATTCTTGGCTACGCTACGCTACGCTACGCGCTATCGCATCGCATCGCATTACATTGCATTGCTGACAGCAGGCGTTCCCTACGGCTCAAGTGAATCTCATCACCCACAAGTTCCACCCCAGCGTCCTGATCAGCCCCCGAACCTTCATCAGCCTGCTTGTCTCCGCCGACCTGCCGGACCCCGTCGCCAAGGGCTTCGTGACCGTCCAGATCCCGCTCACGGCCGACCCCGTCGAGACGATCCCGCGTGCCCTGCGCGAGAAGATCGCGGCGAGCGCGCCGCGGAACGCGATCTTTGCGTCCTATGCTAGCGTCGAGCAGGTGCTCTCGTTGCCGTTTGCCGTGCGCTCGAACTCCGATGCGCGAAGCAGCAGGAAATACGTCGCCCAGGTGGAGTGGACGATGGCAACCACCTCGGATGCTGGCGGGGCTATCCCTCGGTGGGTACAGCAAAGCTGGACGCTGGGCGGAGTCCCGAGGGCGATCACGGCCGACGTGGGTCTGTTTATCAAGTGGACGGGCCACCGTAGGATCACCAGTCATCCTGCTACAAGTACAACACCTACTACTGTTCCTGCTGCGCGTACGAAACCCGCAGAACCTACTGAAGAGCAGGACACTTGATGACACCCCAGATTCTCCCAGTGATAGCGGGGGTCTTGTAAAAGAAATGAGACCAATGCTTCAAATTGCGCGATGTTTGAGAATGGACCAACCCGAGGCTACAGCCTGTAATACGATTGTTTATATGAGCTTGCGTTCTGCAAATACGCAAGGGGAGAACGACATGAGCGAGTCCTTTCAAAGCGTTCTCCGGTCACATGATCATCAATCTTCTCCAACAAACCAATCCAGGTGCCCTATGCAATATCGCCTGCAATGGCTGTCCAGCACATGAATGCAAGAAGAACGAAGTTTTGCACACCATACTCCCCGCTCCGCCGAACTGGAAATATACCGCGGAGGGAAGGACATTGAAATGAGATATCGTAAAGAATAGTCAAAGGGAAAAAAAAAAAAAAAAAAAAAAAAAAAGAGGTAGACGTGTAGTCTTGAAGATAATAAAAATGCCCTCGACATCGGGAGAACCGTGGCGGCGGATGCTCAACCGGATATTATAAAAAAGCGAATAGATGCGCAAGCAAGGTGTGAGTGAGAGATTAATGACAATGACAAGTATGAAGCAGGATGAAGAAAGAAAACCTTCTGTTTGGTGAGCAGGTTT